TTCGAAATTCTGTAAAGAAGGTTTTTAAAATACTTGAATTCTATTTCCTTTAAGAATAATTGAATATTTATTACAATTAATTGAAAGTTTTTGAAATAATTGCAATTTTTTAAAATTCTATTGAAAATAATTGAAATTCTATAAAATTCTATTAAAAATAATTGAATTTTATTGAGAATATTTGAAATTCTTTAAAATTCTATAAAAAATAATTGGATTTTACAGAAAATAATTGAAATTCTCTAAAATTTTATTAAAAATAATTGAATTTTATAGAAAATAATTGAAATTCTCTAAAATTCTATTAATAGTAATGGAATTTTATTTAAAATAATTGAAATTCTCTAAAATTCTATTAAAAATAATTGAATTTTATGGAAAAAAATTGAAATTCTCAAAAATTCTAATAAAAGTAATTAAATTTCGTAGAAAATAATTGAAATTCTCTAAAATTCTAAAAAAATAATTTAATTTTATGGAAAATAATTGAAATTCTCAAAAATCCTAATAAAAGTAATTGAATTTCGTAGAAAATAATTGAAATTCTCTAAAATTCTATAAAAATAATTGAATTTTATAGAAAATAATTGAAATGCTCAAAAATTCTATTACATTTAATTGAATTTTATTGAAAATAATTGAAATTTTCTAAAATTCTAATAAAGATCATTGAATTTTATAAAAAATACTATAAATTCTCTAAAATCCTTTTAAAAATAAATAAATAATTGTATTTTATAGAAAATAATTGAAATTCACAAAAAATTCTATTAAAAATAATAATCGAATTTTTTTAAAACCAATTTTATTGAAAATTTTGAAAATAACCGAATTAAATTATTTGCCAAAGTAACTAATATTATTTTTAACTATTTTAATATTTTTTGCAGCTTATCAGAAAGAAAATCAAAATTCTAATCAGGGAGAAACAAAATCATATTATCATTATATTTTTGTGGCAACCTACGTAACTTTTTTTTGACTCAAAAAAGAAAAGAAAAGAAAAAATTCTGAATTATTCTGAACAAAAATTTGAAAACCTCCTTGATTAGAGGATTTTATATTTGCTAAAGTATTATTATTTTTTATAAGACCCTAGACAGATGGGCTCATTGGGATTTACGAGTTGCACTATATACTGTTAGAAAAAAAAAAGAAAAAGAAAAAAAAAGATAGTGCACTCAACAAGCGAGACGGTAACATTTCTCTTGCCTCGTACAAATGCCCCCTCCACATATCGATTGCATTCTCTCTCTTTTCCTCTCTTCGATGTTTCTCTCTTTTTCTCTCTTGCGTTTCTCTCTTCTTTTCTATCTTGCGTTTCTCTCTTTTTCTCTCTCTTGCGCTTCACTCCTTTTCTCCCCCTTTCTTTCTCTCCTGCGTTTCTCTCTTTTTCTCTCTTTTTTCCTTCTGTATTTTCTCTATTTTCTCTCTTACTCTCCCTATAGTTCTCCCTTTTTTCCTCCTCTTGCCCTTCGAGCTCTTCTCTTCAACCAACAGAACTCTTTCTGTCCATTCATCCATTGTCATAGCGTCAATGCAAGCGTGTGGTGGGAGGAAGGGAGTCACTCACACCCCTTTGCCACCCACATCACAGAGTAGAACCTGAGGCGAGAGAGAAAGATAGATATATATATATATATATAAATGAAAAAAAAAAAAAAATTAAAGGAGAAAAAAAAACACAAACTCCTCGGCAACGTGGCGAGCTCGAGCAGCGTAAAATCTGAAAAAGCGAGAGCCAGAGAAGGAAAAGCAGTCCAGAAGTCAGGGTTGTGACAGGAAACCCCACAGAAGGAGGAATACACATCGAGGGGTCGTCTTTCTCTCAGTGGGGACCGTTTGGGAAAATTCTCATGCAAATCCCGCTTAGAAACAGTCGCTTCACTTTTTCCTGTTTAGAAAATTTTTAGATTTTTAGAATTATATTCCCGAATTTTTTTTTTCTGTACTTCCTGAAAAAAAAATTTTTTCCTATTAGTTTTTTTTGAAATTTTATTACTTTTGTTTTGTAAATTTAAATTTTTTAATTTAAATAATAGAAAAAAATTTCGAACAGGAAATGAAAATTATATTTCAAAAAATAAAATTAAATTAGTTATGCTCCACTTTTGCATCTAAAAAAAGAAAGAAAATAACAAAATTTCTTTCCTAATCAAAAATTTAAATTTTTCCACTCAATTTTTGTCAGTGAAAAAAAAACAAGTCTTTTCTATTTCCTTTTTTTCTTCTAAAGTGAATATTATATTTTTAAAAATTTGAATATAATTTCAGGGTGGCCACATGTCGGTAAAGTTAGGGAAATGTCAGGAAAAAAAATTGTTTATCAGGGAAATTAAGAAAATTGAGAACTTTTTCGACTTTTCTTACAAACATTCCAACAAAATACAACAATTTTTAGTAAAAAGGTTAAACTTATTTTGTTTTTGAATCATTTTTTAAATAATTAAATTTTTCAAATATATATCTATAATAAAAATCTATTTTGAATAGTTGAAATTTTGTAAAATTTAATTGAAAATAATTAATTTATTTCCAGTATTTTGTTACAATTTTTAAAAATCAATTTTCGAAGAATTTTAATTGAAAATTTTGAAAATAATTGAAATATCAACAATTTTGATGAAAACTCTTTAAAGGTAAATTTAAAAATGAAAATTAATGAAAATTAGTTTCTAATTTTTTAAAATTCAATATTTTCAGTATTTTCAATTACATATTTCCAAAAATTCAAATAAGTACAAAAAAACTTTAAAAATTTTTTAGAATTATTTTTAACATTTTGGAGAAAACAATCATGCTTAAAATTTTTAACTAAAATTCAACAAAAAATTTATTAGTCTTTTTAAATTATACAAAAATTCTTTTTAAAGATTCAATTATTTTCGAACAATGTAAATAAAAATTTATGAAAATTTACTTTTTGGACTTATTAAAATTTTTGAGAAATCGTGGTCCTGTTTATAATTAAAATTCTTCAAAAATTTGATCATTTTTATTTATATTTTTCAAAAATTCAATTATTTTTAAAAGATTTTACCAATTTTTAATTGTTTGGATATTTTTCAAAATTGGAAAAACTATGATAAAAATATTTCGTATCTTTTTCCTTTTATAACTTTCCTTTTATCCAAATAAAAAATTCAAGAATAAAAAATAGTCAGAAAATTTAGATTTTTCAAAATTCAAAACAATCGAAAAAGGAAAAAATGAAAGTATTTTATTTATTTCTTAAAAATGCCTTATTTCTTTTTTTTCTTTTAGTTATTGGACACTATTTGAATTGAAAATTGCATTTCGACAATTGAAAATTAAGTTTCATTATACAAAAAAAATATTTTTTATCTTAAAAAAAAGGAAAAGAAAATACATAATAAAAAAATTTCTAATTAGAAAATTTAGATTTTTGAATTTTTTACAATTTTTACAATGTTTACAATTTTACTTTTATTTTAGTTTTCTTGAAAATTTTGTCATTTTTGTCATAAAAATTTATACCTATCAATTTTACAATAAAAAAGTAAGTCTGAAAATTTAATTTACATTCAAAAAGTGTTGCCTTCCTTTCTTTCTTTTAATTCTTCTTGAAACTTATCATAAAATGTTAAGAAATGAAAATTACATTTTCAAAAGGAAAGAAAGAAAAAAAATTAAAAATGTAAATTTAAAAAATGTTAAATGTAAAAAAAGTTTCATAATCAAAATATTTAGATTTAACAATCAATTTTTAGAAAGGAAAAAAGAATCGAAACTTTAATTCATATAAAATGTTACGTAACTTTTTCCTTTCTCTTGTTTCAAAATTTTATTAAATGAAAATTTCATCTCGAAAATTTGAAATTGGATTTAAATTACAAAAAAAAAAAATGCTTTTGCTATGAGACTGAAAATGCGAAAATTTTTAATTCCAGTTGAATGAATATAAAAATTTTCAATTCAACAGTTTTATAATTAAAATTAATTAAATAAAACGGTTTAATAATAATTATTGAAGAAGAATTACCTCTGTTTTTTATACCTTTTTCGTTGCAAATTGTATTAAATCCGCAAAAATAGTTTTCCAACAATTGAACATTTGTTGCAGGAATTTTTTTTGTGAAAATTTTCTTTTAATGAAAATTTCTTTCTTCGACGTGATTTTTTTCTGCAGTTTTGTGCAATTTTAGTTTCAATATCAGTCAGAATTTTAATAGAGGCGGTAAATCCAATTAATAATTCCAAATATTATTTCCAAAGAAATCTAAATAAATAATCGTAAAGAATTGCAAATAAAATTCGCCAAGAATTGCAAATAAAATTCGTCAAGAATTGCAAATAAAATTCGCCAAGAATTGCAAATAAAAATCGTAAAGAATTCTAAATTATATTCGTGAATAATTTCAAATAATAATCGTGAAGAATTCCATAAATAATAATCGTGAAAAATTCCAATAATCGTGAAGAAGTCCAAATAATATTCGTGAAGAATTCCAAATCATAATTCAAATTCCAAATAATTTTAAAGTAATCCAAAAAAATCCAGAGAATTCCAAAGAAAATTTCAATTAATCGCAGCTGCAATATCGATATGATAGTTTTTTTATCCATTCAAAATTTGACAAAAATGGTAGTTTTCAGTAATAACTGTTTTTCAAATAATAATTTCAATCAATGATGTAAAGAATTCCAAAAAAATGATAGTCGAAGCCATGGGAATAACTGCACAATATTTTCCATCATTAATAAACAATATAATTCTCAATTATATGTTAATTTAATTTTAATATTTTTTAATTAATTCTCTGTTAATTAATTTAAATCCCAGTGGTTCCAAATCCTACCAATAAAAAATCCAAAACTCGTCATTTTCCAAACAATTGTAATCACAAGTCCACAGAAAATATTAATCCAGAAAATTTCGTTCCTCATTCTTTGAAATAATTTTCCTTTTCTCACTTCCTCCTTCATATATATTATTCACTCGACAAAAAATCTAACTGTCTTTTTCGTTTTCTTTTCAGATTCCATTAAATCCGGTGTCGCAGATGATCTCATAATCAGCACGTTGTTTTTTGAAAGAGATGACGACCATACCGTCATCATTTCCTCGTGATGATCTAAAAGAAAAAAAAAGCAAACGGAAAAATAAGAAGAAGAACGAACTGTTATTTTTTTGAGAAAAAAAATGGAAGAACCAGGGGTCAAGAAAATTTAGCACGTGGTATTTTCAAAATATTTAGGGACTAAAATCGAAACCGAAAAAATATTTTTCAGTTTATATACAGTCTTCAAATTCAAAATGTTATTTTGAAATCAAATTTTTGGAAATAAAAATTACAAATACTTTTTTTTGTAATAAATTCTCATCTACGCTTTTATCTATACGAAAAGAAATTGTAAAATTTTGTTTAGAAAATTATTCTCAACTTGTTCAGGAAGCAATTCCCAAAAAAAACAACTTCTGTACAAATCACTTTCTAATCGAAAATTCCTTTTTTATATATATATTAATAAAATTAGTGAAAGAAACAATTTGTTCATAATGTAAAATTGTAAAGCGTTTAAATTTTTAAATTTTTTGCTATTCTAAACTTTAATTCTAAAAAAAAAATTTTCGACTTACTTTTTAATCAAATTCCTTTTTTTAAATTACATAACACAAAAAAAAAAAATTAGAAATCAATTAATTTGCGAATATTTTTGTAAATACGAAATTTTTCGAGATGTTTTATGAAACTTCTCAAAGTGTGCAGAAATGCTTCATTGTAAATAATAAGAAAATCTGCATTTTTGCCTCTTTTTTATTATTATTATTATTATTATTATTAAAAAAATGAGAAGTTTTTTTTTTCTCTACTGTTTCTTAATCATAAGCATTATCTGTATTTTTGTTAAAAGTGCTTGCTTCAATAAAAATGCATTGCACACCGAATTCCGTTCTCTTTTATTTATTAAAAAAAAAAAGAATAATATTTTTTTAGAAAACAAAAAGAAATTCTTTTCTCTCTTTCTCTATGGTGGAAAAAAAACATTTCACCAGCCTTTTGGAAATAAAAAAAAATTCTTATATTTATAACACAATGAACGTTTACGAAAGTGTCTTCCGGCCTTTTTTCCATCAGACTATAAATATTTTACAGTGTGTAATCGCTTATTTTGTAATATCCTGCGCATTAATATATCAATAATGAGAAAAAACCCACGCTACCATCCTCCTACCAGTATAAATATGTACAGTGAATGCAAAAAATTGAGATAAATTTTAGAAAAAAAGAGTCTATTTTTCCAAAATTAGGAGAATTTTTTTTTTCTTTCAATTTTTTTTAATTTGAGTTTGTGGAATTTATACGTTTGATTAATTTTAATTTACAGCCGCGTGTATATAAGTTGCCTTCATGTAACAGGATATGACTGGGACAAAAGTTTCGGATTTCCCATATAATACAGGTTGTGTAAAAAATTATGGTGGTTCCACCTGTACTTCTTGCACATCTGTTGCACTTATTATTCGCATTAATTTGCTTAATAATTTTAAATTTCACATACTGTTATTTTCGAAAAAAAAGAGAATTCCTTTTTTTGTAACTGAAAAAATGCTATTGAATTTTTTTCTTTCTACTCTGACACAGGAATAACAGTTTCTCTTCGTGTATAGAATTAAGGTAAAGAAGGGGGATTTTAATTCTTTTTTCTTGTTTTTTTAAGTTGACGGAAATTTTGTATTAAAAAAGGGATTTTAATTTTAAAAAAGGGAATTCAATTTGAAAAAAAAGATTTTTCGAACCAATAACAAAATTTTACTATATTATAGCGCAGGCCTCGGATATATTATGACTTTTTCAACTATTTTCAAATAATGCGCGACTTTTATCGAATTATATTAAAAAATTGCGACTTTTTCGACTTTTCTTCCGAATTTTGTGACAAAATACCAAATTTTTAGTATAAGATGCAACTTTTTTCGATTCTTACAGTATAAAAAATAGCTGTAGATTTAAGTTTTTCGAAAATTATTTTTTAATAATTTTTCTAATTAAATTTTTGAAATATACAATTAAAAAGATTTTTAATAATTGAAATTTTGTAAAATTTAATTGAAAATAAATCATTTTTTTCAAGTATTTTATTAAAATTTTTGAAAATTAACTTTTGAAGAATTTTAATCGAAAATTTTTTAAATAATTGAATTCTCAAAAATTTTAATGAATAATCTTCAAGTAAAAAATAAAAAAAAATGAAAATTAATGAAAATTTGGTTCTAAAAATAATATTAAAATAGTTTTGAAAAAATAGTAATTCTCTGAATTATTTCGTTCTAATTCTTTAAAATTCGATTATTTTCAATATTCAATATTTTCAATAATTCCAAAAATTCAAATACATACACAAAATAATAACATTAAAATTTTTTAGAATTATTTTTAACATTTTGGAGAAAAAAATATTTGTAAAAATTTTTAATTAAAATTCTTCAAAAAACTACTTAGTTTTTTTTTCAATTTTACAAAAATTCTTTTAAAAAATTCAATTATTTTCGAATAATTAAATAACAATATTTATAAAAAAAACTAATTCTTAGAATTGTTTTATCATAATTTTTTAAGATTCAATTACGTTCGAACAAAGTAAATTAGAATTTTTAAAAATTTACTATTTTAGAATTTTTGAGAAATTATTTATCCTAATTAAAATTCTTCAAAAAATTGATTTTTTAAATATTTTTTAAAAACTCAATTACTTTAAAAAGATTTTATCAAATTTTGAATTATTTTCCAATGATTTTACTATAAACTTAAATTATTTTTTAAAAGATTTTACTAAATTTCAATTTTTTGGACATTTTTTAATTGTATGTAATTGTCTTTCAAGAATTATTTAAAAATATTTTTAAAAAGTTAATTTTACGAATTTCTTTATTAAAATTTTTGAAAAATTTAATATCTTTAAAAAGAAAAATGGACGGTTTTAATTATTACACAAAAATTTAATTTTTGTATTTAAATAATTAAGTTTTCGAAGAACTTTCGGAAAATGATTAAAAATTAATATAGATAATTGATTTAGTGATGAAGTTTAGTTAAAAATTGTAGAAAATAATTTAATTTTTGGAAATGTTATATTTTTAATTTTTAGAAATTATTAAATTTCAAAAGTTGAAATTTATAAATTTTATTTCCTGTGAAAAAAATAAGAAGTATTTGAACTTAAATTTTCATTCTGCAAAAAAATCAGCTTTGTGATAAATTTTATTTCAATTCTTTAAAAGGTAGGTACTTGAAGTTTTTACAAAAATCTTATTAAAAAATTATTAAATGAATCGAAATTTTTCGAAATTGAACTGAAAATAATATTTCTCGAAGAATTTTATTAGAGATTTTTAAAAAATCGAATTTTTATTTTATTAATTTTAAAATGAATTTACATTGACAATTTAAAAAAAAAAATTAAAATTTCGAAAAATTTATTTAAAATTCTGAAAAATTAGTTTTTGAAAATATTTAAATTCTATTTTTTAAAGAGAAGAGGCTTTTTTTTAAATAAGTACCTAATTGAAAATTTTTTTAATATAATTATTAAAATTCTCTAATATTCTATTAAAAATAAATGAATTTTTAAAAAATTTTATTGAATATTATTCTGGAAATAATCAAGGAAAATTCATATCAATTTTTTACTTTTAAAAATTATGTTTTGTTTTACAATAAAACTCAGGAAAAAACAAAATTAAATTTTTGTAGTAATCGTGGTTTAAAGAAAATTTTAAAAAATTTTATAAGAGTAATTGTCACCGAAAATAGTAAAATTTGCTATTGAAATCATTATTTCCAGAGTAAATTTTATAAAATTTGAAGTAAATTTGAATTAAAATTAGTAAAATTTATTTTGGAAATAGTTGACAGAAATTTCAGCAGTTTAGGTTTTATTTTGTAAAAGTAGTTAAAAGTAGTTAAAAAAACCTTGAGAAAATAATGAAAAAAGATTTTTTTTAATTGTCAGAAAATAATTTTAGTTTCAAAATACTAAAATTATTACAAATATTTCAGAAAGTAGAAGTTTTGTTCTTCAACGTAACAAAAAAACTTTTTCAATTTACAAAAAAATGACAATTTTCCAAATCCAAATTCCAAAACCTTTTTTTCTTTCAATCCATTAAATTTTTTCTTTTGTGCCGTTTTTTAACTTTTTTTTCAATAATAAAAAAAATAATTCTAAAATAGTTATAACTTAATAAGAGGAAAAAATTGTTTATAGCTATCATATTTTTACTTTTTATATAATAAATATTCTCTGATAGTTATAACTATCAGAGAAAGTTTTTTACTTTTCTTTTCACTTTAAAAAAAAATAATCTCGAAATAATTATAATTTAATAAATGTAAAAATTTGAGAGAAAAAGATGTCAATTTGAAAAATTGTCAAGAATTAACATAAAAAGCAGAGGAAAAAATGAAGTTATCCACATTCGTCAATAATTGTCCTTTTTTTTACGGATTTCTACTGGAGTTTCAAAAAATGAAAATTTCGATTAAATAAATATCAAATTTACTTAATCCACTGTCCAATACATTTTTTTTTTAAACATTATCAACTATTTTACATTAGTATTTAGCGGAATGACAATTCACTGTAAATGTATAAGTTAAATATAATTTATGCTAAATGTATACAAAAAATTAATTCTCGAATGCATTAGTATTACACTACACACTACTCAGCAAACCAGAAATAATATCATTCAGGTACGCACTTCAAATACTGTATTATCACAAATGTATATATTTAAAATTTATATATTGTTTCTTTTTCATTATTATTTTGCTTTCTCAAATAATGTTAAGTGCTTATTTATTTTATACAATTATCTCAAGATCTCATGTTACGATTTTTTTTTCTTTTAAATGCAAGTAGCAACTTTTTATTTATTTATTTTTAATATTTGCAAAAATTCATCAATAAAGTTTCAAAAAACGTGTCTTGATGTTTATAAAAAGCCAGTCGAAACCTAGCAAAGCCTAAAAAATTCTATTGAAAAGGATTCTAGCCGGAGCCTATTTCGCGTTTTATGTACATACAGAATATCGATTCTTTCTTTTATTTTCTTTTTTTGCTAAATTGATTTTTCCTTTATCGACATTATTTGTAACTTCAAGTTTTTTTTTATCATACTGTTAAAAATGTTATTAAAACATTAGTAAACATTTTTTTTAATTGGAAAATAATTTTTAAAAATTAAATTAACTTCAGATGATTAAAAATGTTATTAAAACATTAGTGAACATTTGTTTTAATTGGAAAATAATTTTTAAAAATTATATTAACTTTAGATTGTTAAAAATGTAATTAAAACATTAGTAAACATTTTTATTAATTGAAAAATAATTTTTCAAAATTAAATTAACTTCAGTTGGTTAAAAAATGATACGAATGGAAAATAACTGAAAGTAAAGTACAAAAGTAAAAAGTAAATGTACTTTAAGTACTTTTTTTTAAAAAAAAAGTTATTAAGAAAATATTTAAACAGACTTTTATAAAAAGAGCGAGAGTCGAAATTTACTCGTTCGACAGAATCGAAACTCATCATCTTTTTCGCTTTAGGAAGTTTTGATAATACATAAAAGAAGTGCAGGCAATATATAACGAACTTACTTTAATAGATATTTGCTTAAAAGTCGAATAAACTTGTAGCGCCAACGAGGCTAAAAAAGCAAGAAAATCTTAAAAAACGATTGGGCATTTATCAAAGTTTTTTTCATTATATGTTTAATCGTTGAGTATCCGAGAAAAATCCACACAAGTAAAATATCCACTGACATTTTAACAATATTCTTTCTTTCCTTCTTTTTTTTCTTTCTTTCTTTTTTCGTTAATTTCAATCTGAACTTGTGTGGGAATTTCGAAACAGTTTGAAGATGCGAAAGCTTATTTAAATTTTCTAATTCTTTTTTTGTGCGCAGGCCATTTTTAATATTGGAACCATGTCACTCTCCTATTCTTTTTCCTCATCCCTTTTGTCATTCTCTTAATTTTTAAATAATAATAATTATTGTTTTCTGTTTAATATCTGTTCATAAGTATAAATTTTATTACTTATGAACTTTTTTAACTATAAAAAATTTTTTTAAGTCTATAAATTTATATAAACATTATAAATTTTTTAAATTCACAAATTATTGTACTTAAAGTTCTAAAATCGATTTTTTTTTGAGATTCTCATTTTCAATAGTCCTTTTTGCGAAATTTAAAATCAAAAGAGTAGATTTTTATTTATCTTTCTATTAACTTAGAATTTATAAAATTGAAACTCGTGTTTCTTCCTAATAATAAATAAAAGATCTTTGAATAAAAATAATTAAAGAATAGTAAAATTTAACGATTAAGATTTTTAAAAAATTTTGAGAGTATAAAACAATATTAATTATTGAAAAATAGTTTCTTCGAAATATTTTTAAATATTTTGAATTTGTTTTTTTTTTTTTTGTTAGAAATTTAATAAAAATAAAGAGTTCATTTAAATTTGAATAAAAACTAAATTTTTATTTAAAAATTTAACAAAAACTAAATTTTCATTTAAATATTCAACAAAAACTAAATTTTCATTTAAAAATTAAATCAAAATTATATTTTTATTTCAAAATTAAATAAAAATAACATTTTTATTTCAAAAATTTAATAAAAACAAAGTTTACATTTAAATTTAAATAAAAATTACATTTTAATTTCAAAAAATTAATGAAAATCAAGTTTTTAATTAAATTTTAATAAATATTGTATTTTCTTTTAAAAATATAACAAAAACTAAATTTTCATTTAAAAATTTAACAAAAACCAAATTTTTAATTCAAAATTAAATGAATATTACATTTTCATTTTAAAATCGAATAGAAATTGCAATTTTATTACAAAATTAAATGAAAATTACATTTTAATTTCAAAAATTTTATGAAAATAAAGTTTTCAATTACATTTCAATAAAAATTACATTTTATTTTAAAAATTAATGAAAAACAAAAATTTTCATTTTAAAACCGAATAGAAATTGCTTTTACAAAATTAAATTTTTATTCCAAAAATGTGATAAAAATTGAATTTTAAGTTAAATATGAATAAAAATTACATTTTTATTTAAAAATTTAACAAAAACTAAATTTTCATTTCAAAATTAAATGATAATTACATTTTTATCTCAAAAATGTAATAAAAATTAAGTTTTAATTTCAATTTTAATAAAAAAATCATATTTTCAATTGAAAATTAAACAAAAACTAAATCTTCATTTCAAATTGAATTGAAAATTAAATTTTCTTTTAAAATTAAATGAAAATTTCATTTTCATTTAACAATTAATAAAAAATGATATCTTCATTTAAAAATTAAAGAAAAACTACATTTTATTTTAAAAATGTAATAAAAATTAAAGTTTCATTTAAATTTCAATAAAAATTACATTTTTATTCAAAATTTTATTAAAAATGAATCTTCTGTTAAATTTGAATAAAAATTAAACACTAAACTTAAATTCCACTTGAAAAAAGTGTCTTTCAGATCACTAGTAGTCCCTAAATTTTAAATAAGTAATTTTGATTATAAAATTAAATTAAGTTAAAAAAAATGTTCAAATTAAATAAAAATCTTTATATAAAACTAAATAAAATCCAATTATAAAACTAAGTTCAATAATAAAAATATAATTAAATTTTCAATTTGAATGATTAATTCATAAAGTAATTCAAATTTGAAATATAAATTTGTAACTTAATTTTCTTCAAGTTGTCATAGAATTAAAATTCAGTTAGAATAAAAATAAAATTAAAAATAGTTTAAAAGTTTTTTAGATTCAAGTTAAAATATAAATGATTTAAAATAATTAAAATTAATTTTTCATATTAAAATAAATAATTAAAACCGAATTTTTCAATTTAAAAGAAATAACTAAAATTGAAATATTCAAATAAAATTTATCACGTCAGTGAAGTTTGCAAAGCATACAATAAACGATTAAAAGAAAAAAAATATTTTTTTTCGTGGAAGACAACAAGATTTTTTGTTTAAAAATTTTTCTTTTATAAATTGTGAATTAAAAACTGATGTAAAAACATTTTAATCAAAAATTTATAATAATTTTACTAGAAAAACATTTTTAAACAAACATTAATAATAATTTTAATAGAAAAACTTTTTAAAACAAAAATTTATAATAATTTTAATAGAAAAATACTTTTTCTCTCGAATCATTCGATTGTATAAACGTTATAAACTTCACCAACATATTAATTTAAAATTTGAATTAATAATTCAAATTCAAATTCAATCGTGAATTTCTGAAAGGGCTCAATTTGAAAAAAGCGTCAGTTTCCTTTTCACATAACGAATTAATAGTGAAAAAGACTAACGTTTTTTTTCCTTTTCGAAATTCGCAATTCAATTTATATTAATGATTTAAATTTAAATATTCAAATTCAAAAGCAAAAAAATAAAATAAAATTTGAATAATTTAAGTTTCATCATTGATGTAAAAAAATAGAAAAAAATGTGAAAATTGTAACCTGTTTTGAAGGATGACAGAGCCCCAAATAATTTCTTTCTCTCTTTCTCTCTCTTTCATTCTCTTGCTCACTTAATGGTAGAAATTTGAGTTTACTATGAAACGTCCAAAATGTAAAGAATTATTTGTAAAATTTCACTAGACTATTTTTGTTTCTTTTCTTTTCACTTTTCTCTCAAGTGCGAATGAGACGTCGCAATGTATCTTGAGCAATGCGAGTCCATCCTTTACGCAAAAATGTTTCTGTCGTTGATGGTAAAACTTTTATCGGCGTTATAAAGTTGTGTCATGCATTTTGATTATCGTATGCTGCCCAGCGAGCGTCATCACTTTCATGTGTCAAATATCGGCAACCAATTTTCGATTCCAATTCCCTCAAGTCACACCACATCTGATAATCCTGCGAAAAATATTCAAAATTTTTAAATCCGAACAACTGAAAATATTTTATCGATTAAATTTTGACAGGAAAAAAAATTGGTAATTAAAATTTTGATATTTTACGAATTAATTATTTACTATTTCGAAATTTCGGTTAAATATTATTATGTACTCGAAATAATAATTTCGAGTTAAAGAAAAAATGTGAGAAGTTTTTTTCATTGAGCTGCTTTTTAGAAATTTCTTTTTTTCACTTACCTGTAACCAAATGTGTTGTAAACTTTTATCAACAGTATACCTTTTCCTTTGCTTCACTTGCAGCAGATTATTAATCAAATCGATAGCTAAAAAAAAGAAAATTATTAATAAAAATTTTTCTACGAAATTTTATTGTTAGGAATTTAAAAGATACTTAGATTTAAATAATCAAGTTACGATAATAATACAAAAAAAAAAAAAAACAAATAACATTTATATTCAGTAGGGTTTTGCCACAAAAACTACATTTTGCTTTTCCCTGATTTTCAGTTAGAATTTTTACTTTTTCCCTGATTCCTACAAAAATATTTCTCGATGATTTTCAAATTCAATAACATTTTTGGAAATTTGCATTATTTTTAATAGAACTTTATTCTCTATTTAATTTCACGAAATTTGAGTCTTAAGCATATAAATATTTTTAAAAATTCAAGAATCTTAAAACAATTGAATTAGAATTTCTAAAAAACCTCACTTTTGTAGAATTTTTAATAAAATTATTCAAAAGACAAGTAATTAAATTATTATTTTCAAAAATTGTGTTAAAGTTCAAAAAGAATTCAATTATATTCACAAATTTAATAAAAGTCATCCGAAGAATTCAAATTATTTTCATAAGTAATAAAATTCTTCGAAATAATTCCATTATTTTAAATAAAATTTTTAAAAAATTTCTCAATTACTGGATTACAAATTACTGGATACATTTATTATAATTGCTGGATACTTTCAAAAATTCCAATAAAATTTCCACAAGAATTCAATTATTTTCAAAAGTTTTAATAGAATTCATCAATAGAATTTTTTATTTTACAAAATTTTTGATAAAATTCTTCATAAAAATTCTATTATCTTCAATACATTTTTAATTTAAATCCTGTTAAGAATTTAATTATTTCCATAAACTTAAATGAAAGTAAATCAATTCAATTTTTATCGAAAATTTTAATTCAATTTTATGTAAGAATTAAATTATTTCAGATTCAAAATTATAGAATTTTTCATTATATTATTTTCCATAATTTCGGGTATTTTGTGATTTATATTTTGGATATTGTTAATTTTAAAATACAACATTTTTGATATAAAAATTGTTATTATAATTTTTTTAACTTCTGTAATTTCAAATCTGAAATAATTTAATTTTTGTATAGAATTTCCTTAAAATTTAAAAAAATAATTTCACTTACTTATGAAAATAATTGAAATTATTACGAAAAATTTTATTAACATTTTTTAAAATAATTGAATTCCTTTGAAAAATTTTATTACTTTTCAAAATAATTGAATTCTTACGGAGAATTTTATTGAAATTTATGAAAATAATTGAATTATTACGATGAATTATTATTAATGGATTTATTTATTCAATGGATTTATTAAAATTAATTAGAAAATAATTAAATTCTTTCGTGAAATTTTATTAAAATTTTGTTGAAAATAATTGAATGTATGCAAAAAATTTAACTATATTTATAAAAATAATTGAATTTTTCTAAAGAATGTTATTATTTATGAAAATAATTGAATTTTTAGGAACTTTTATTAAAATTTTTGAAATTAATTCGATTGCTACTAAGAATTTTATAAAATTTTTTATAACGAATTAAAAAAATTAAATTTATTTGTAAAATTTTGTAACAAATTAAGAAAAAAATTGAATTCTTTCGTGAAATTTTATTGAAAATAATTGAATTTTTGCAAAGATTTTACTATTTAAAAAAAAATTGAATTCTTTCAAAGGATTTATTAAAATTTTTAAAAATAATTGAATTATTACGAAGAAGTTTATTAAAGATTTTAAAAATAATTGAATTATTACGAAGAATTTTATTAAAATTTTGAAAAATAATTGAATTTTTTCGAAAAATAGTAGAAATTCAAAAAAATAAATTCTTTCATGAAATTTTATTAAAATTGTATTGAAAATAATTGAATTCTTGCAAAGAATTTTACTATTTATAAAAATAATGGAATTCTTTTTAAAAATTTTATAACGAATTAAGAAAATTGAATTCTTTTGTAAAATTTTGTAACAAATTAAGAAAAAAAATTGAATTCTTTCGCGATATTTTATTGAAAATAATTGAATTTTTGCAAAGATTTTACTATTAAAAAAAAATAATTGAATTCTTCTGAAGAATGTTATTATTCATGAAAATAATTGAATTCGGTCGTGAAATTTTATTTAAATTTTATTGAAAATAATGAAATTTTTGCATAAAATTTCACTATTTATAAAAATAATTGAATTCTTTTGAAGAATGTTATTAATTATGAAAATAAATGAATTCTTTCGTGAAATTTTATTTAAATTTTGTTGAAAATAATTGAATTTGTCCAAGAAATTTTACTATATTTATAAAAATAATTGAATTCTGCTGAAGAATGTTATTATTTATGAAACTAATTGAATTGATAGAAAGGAAATTTTTGAAAATTCTCACCATCGGAAGAAATCTCTTTCCACGGATACGGTGGATACATAAAGGCGGCATTTTGTATTTGCTCATTAATATCCTCGTCCTCGTTGAACGGAAAAGTGCCACTCAATGAAACGTAAATAATAACTCCAACACTCCACATGTCCAATGATCGATTATATCCCTTATTACGAAGTACCTCAGGCGCCAAATAAGCCGGTGTTCCAACGACGCTACGTCGAAAGCTGCGCTCACCAATTATCCGCGCAAATCCAAAATCGCAAAGTTTCACTTGCGTAAAATCGCTGTCGCTACTCAATAGTACGTTTTCTGGTTTTAAATCGCAGTGAACGATATTCTTACTGTGTAAATGTTTAAGAGCAACGAGAATTTGTGTAACAAGAAATTTTGTGATACGTTCACTGAGCCGTCCCTTCTCTGAGCTGAGTATCATTTCCAGCATGTCGCCCTTCAATTTCTCCATAACAACAAATATTCTCTCGGGCGTTTCAAACATTCGATCCAAATTGACAACGCCATTGTGCGATAAATTTTGTAAAATTGCTACTTCGTTTTTCAATTGAGCTTCTTGTTTCGTGGGAAAGCGAAGTTTATCAATGACTTTAATTGCGACTGCTCTATTTGTTTTACGATGAATTCCACCGTAAACAATGCCAAATTGTCCAGAGCCAAGAACTTCGTCAGGAAATATTTGATACAATTGTGTCATGTCAGTCACTGATTCCTCGGGTTCAGTCGATTGTTCCTGATCTGAAAGCATTTTTTATTGTTCAAATATAAATCTATAAAAATATTTCACGAAAACTTATTTTTTAAGAGCATTTATTAAAAGCATTTTTTATCAATATTTTTAACTATAACAAGAAAATAATTCAAATATTTTAAAAAATTGTTTTTATATTAATTTTTAGCGAGGAATAAAATAAACTCCATTATTTTAAAAAAAATCCATAGAAATTCTTCAAAAAGAATTTAATTAGAATTATCAAAATTATCAACGATCAGAAAATATTTCGATAATCTCAATTTTTATATTTTCTAAAAATTGATAGATTTCGAAATCGATGCGTAATTTAGTAGAAAAAATATTTTTGTATCCATAAAAATATTTCCGAATGAAAAAATTTATTTTTACTATTTTCGAAGCATTTATTAGAACAAAAATATTGCTTTATGCTAAAAATACTTCGATTGTTATTAAATTTTTTTCTTTATTTTTTAACTAATATGTTTTTGTATCCATAAAAAAATTGACGAATGAAAGAATTTATTTCTTATTATTATTTATTCTATAATTTTATTTAGAAAAATTATAACAAAAAAATAAATTTCTTTATTCGATATAAAATCTTTGCAAACATTCAATTACTTTCAAAAGAATTTCACGAAAGAATTCAATTTGTTTCTTTTTCGATATCAAATATTTCAAAAGAATTCAATTGTTTTCCAAAATTTTTATAATTCGTTCCAAACAATTCAATTTTATTTGTAAATAGATATTAAAATACTTTGCAAAAATTGAATTATTTTTAATACAATTTTAATAACAATAATTCATGAAAAAATTCCATTTTTAAAAAAATTTTTAATAACATTTTTCGAAAAAAATCAGTTATTTTCCAAAATTTTAATAAATCCATCAAAAAAATTCAATTATTTTTTTAAATAGTAAAATCTTTGCAAAAATTCAATTCTTAAATTTTTTCAATTTTTTTTATTAAAATTTTTAAAGAAACTCCATTATTTAAAAAAACAATCCATAGAAATTCTTCAAAAAGAATTTAATTAGAATTATCAAAAATTTTAACATATTTCTTCTCCAGAATTCAATTATTTTTCTAAGTTTTTTAATAAATTATTTTTCTTCGAAAAAGTTCTATTATTATCAAATTTTTTGCAACAATTCGATGATTTTCAATAAATTAATTTAAAAAATGGAAATTATTTAAAAAGAAAGATTTATTAAAAAAGTTAAGAAACAAAAAAACAAACAACAACTAACTTTAAACTGCGAACAGATGATTATCAAAGATTTTGATAAAATTATGTTTTGAAATTAGAAAAATAAGCGAATGGATTCTCAAGAGTAAAAAAATTGAATAATAATTGTATTTTTTCTAAAATTTTCGTGGCTACAAAAACATATTTTTTACAAAATTAAGCAAAAATTTCAAAATCTACCAATTTTTTGAGAAAATTAAAAATTCAAAAGAGGGCAAAATATTTTCTGACCATTGAATTAATTTCAAAAAATTATTATAAAAACAATTTTATGAAATACTTAAATTACAGAAAATATCGGCGAATTCTCCCCTGAAACTTTAATTAAGAAAAAAGTGATAAAGAAAAGAAAAAAAGTAATAATGAAGAATAAAAAAGGGAAAAAAAGGAAAATTGAAAGAAAAACTTTTGCTTGTAAAAAAATGTTGAAGGGAAAGTAAAGTTTTTAATTACTCGTTGCTGAAGTAACAGGCAAAAGAGCCTGTCGTATGCTAGTTTCCCAAGATCTGGCTACATGTGCTCCTATTCCACTCTCGGGAGGAGGAACCGGTCCATTAGTTCCACTAAACATAGGATCTTCTCCCACATAATAATCTAAATTAGCTGTTCTTAATTCAAAACAGTGCATGGTTTCTGAAAGACAAAAAAATGTTTAAAAAACATTAAATTTAAAAAGAATCGCAATTTTAAAAGTTTTCGAATCAATAAAAAATTGCCACAAAAATTTTATTATGTTTTTCCTCGACTTTCCCCTGAATTTTAGACAGAATTTTGCCTTTTTTCCTAATACTAAAGAATATTCTGATTCACTCATAAAAATAATTAGATACGAAAAACAAATGCTTATAATTTATTTGTGAATATCTTCGACTGTAAAATTATTCGAAAAAATAATAATTTTTTAAAAATAAATATTTAATACCTAATTATTATTTTTCCAAGAAAATTCAAATTTTCAAAAATTTCAATTTAAAACCGTTTTAAATGCAATTATTTATATTAATTGCAAATGTGACTCTTTTAAAAATCAATTTTTTTCGGAATTTGCAAGTAAAACTATTTAGAAAATGAATTATAAATTATAATGATTTTAAGAAATCTACTCGAGAATTAAATTATTTAGAATAAATTCAATTACCAATTCTCTAAAGTTCAATTATTGTCCAGATACAAAAAAAAATTTAGAGTTTTTGTTTTAATTCAAAATTCCAGTCGATTTCAAAGTTTTTAATGTGGGAAAAACAAATTTAAGAAAAAAATTCCTTTTTTTAAATTTTTAACAAATTCAAGAAGAATATTTTTTATATTTTTAAAGGTCGTTGAACAACAAAAACAAAAATTTTCCACCGCTTTTATTAAAATTTTCTGACTTGTCCCTGATTAATTTTACTTTTCTTGACTTTAGGGATAACAGTAATTTTTTTTTAATAAATTACTTTATAAAAACAGGTTATTAATAAATTTAATTATTATTATATTATTATTTTAAATAATAATATTGATTCTATCACTCTGTCCCATCAATCGTTCATTTCAACATTTCTTAATAAATTTTTTGAAAAATTTCCCCAACCCGTGTAAGCTTTGTAATAATTTAAAAATACTGAAAATATAAAAAAATATTTACGAGAATGAACTGCCGTTGGTGGCTCGATGGATAAAATTTCACAAAGCGGTATTTCTTTGTAATACTTTGATCCAGTATCACTTTGAAATAAAGTCAAAGATTTAGAATCTAATCGCCAATAATGTTTCTTCCTCTGTAACAAAATAAAAAAACGGATGAAATTCAACTAAAAGTATTATTGCTTAAAAAATAAAAATATACTTAACGAAAAATGTAATAATACTTTATGAAGTAAAACGTTTAGTATTAATTTTTTTCAAGAAAATCTCACCATTGGATCACGATTTGTAAAATGCACCATCCAACCTTCTTTTAATACTTGAGAACCTCTTTTCTTTGTATGCTTCACACTCTGCACGATTCTCATTAAAGGAATATTGTTACTTGGAGTTGAGCTGCAGCTGAAATACCAAAATACTCTATTTAAAAAAGTAGATAATTAATTTTACAAAAGTAGCAAAAAGTAGTAAAAAAGTTGCTATCGAAAAATTAAACTTGACGACAAAAAAAAACTCGTTTTAGTCACTTCACAAAACTGACAAAAATTCCATTCCATATTTTTTATTTTCCTTACTTTTTCCTAATTCTCATCAAAAATATTTACTTCTTTTTCATCCTGCTAATAAATTGAATTCTTGCAACAAATTTTATTATTCATGAAAGAATTTAAATATTTATAAAAATAATTTAATTCTTGAGAAGAATTTTATAAAAATTTTTAAATAATTGATTTCCTTCGACTAATTCTATGGAAATTCTAATTTAAATAATTGAATTCATGAGAAATTTTCTTATCTATGAAAAATGTTGACATTAACATTAACATTAAATATAAATATCAATCTATTTTTTAAAACAATAAAATTTAAAGTTATAGTTCTTAAAGAAATATGTAAACGTTCAAAACTTTGGTAAAATATTAAAAGAACTAATACAAATAAAAATTGATTAAATAATTTAATTAAAATTAAATTAAATAAAAAAACTAATATTAATATTAAATAGAAAAATCAATCTATTTTTTAAAACAGTAAAAATAAAAGTTACAGTTCTAAAAAAAAAATCTAAAAATACAGTAAAACTCGAGTTATTGAGATAGAAATAATTCAGTCTCAATAAATCGAAAATATGTATGTGATAAAAATACACAAATTGCGAAACGATAAAAAAAAAGTTTCATCTACTCTGGCAATTTACCTTGAAGGTCTCGATTTTTCTGAATTTTCAGTCGTTATATCATGTGAAGATGCGAACTCTGAGTATTTTCCATTCATTGCTTTTTCATCAGTTAAATACGAAGTGAGCTGGGGTGGTTGAGGCAGAGATTCTGCGTCACTATCTCCATCGCCTTCTTCATTTCTTCCATCACATCTTCCTTCAGGCTCACTACCAACCCCACTGTCAGGATATTCGATGCCTGAAAACAATCAAAAAATCAATTAACAAAGAAAATTGATAAACTCAATATTAAATTATTTAATAAATAGAAAATCGAATAAAAAAAATTTTTTTCTCGGAAAAAAAACTAAGAAAGTATTACTTTTATTACTTTCAGAGCCAGGAATTGTCAGGAATTTTTACAGATTTCTTTATAAGATATTATTTTTCTACAACTTTAATTATTTTTGGAGTAAGTTTTACTTTTTCCAAAGTGAATTTTTCATCAAACTTAATAGAAAAAATTACTTTAAACGTAGCGAAATTTACTCTGAAAATAGTAAACATTGATTACAAATTTTTAACTAATCTTCATCACAAAATAAATTATTTTTACTAAATTTCCGAAAGTTCTTCGAGAATTCAATTATTTAAAATTTTTTAAAACAATTTAATTTTTGATAAGTATTTTTGTGTATAAAAAAATTAATTCTTTGAAGAATAAAATTTAATTAAAAATTTCTAATATCATTATTTTCTCCAAAATGTAAAAGTAATTCTAAAATTTTTTTAATGTTTGTATTATTTTTGTACTTATGTATTTGAATTTTCAGAAATATGGAATTGAAAATTGTGAAAATAATTGAATTTTAAAAAATTACAATAAAAAAGTTCTTAGAATTACATTTTTCAAAAATATTTTAATATAATATTTAGAATCTAATTTTTATTTTACAATGTACACATGAAGATTGTTCATTAAAATTTTTCAGAATTCAATTATTTCCCAAAATTTGCAATTCACATTATTTAAAAGTTGATTTTCAAAAATTTTAATAAAATACTTAAAAAAAATCAATTATTTACAATTAAATTTTACAAAATTTGAATTATTCAAACTCTTTTTAATTGTACATTTTCAAAATTTAATTAGAAAAATTATTCAAAAATAATTTTTGAAAGATTATGAAAATAATTGAATATTATTAATTAGAATGAAAAAATTTTAAAAACTACTTTTTTCGAAAATGTTTTAATATAATTTTTGGAAGCTAATTTTCATTAAATTTCATTTTAAAATTTACACTTGAAGATTTTTATTAAATTTTTTTGAAAATTCAATTATTTTCCTGATTTTCAAATTTAAATTCTTCAAAAGTTAATTTTCAAAAATTTTAATAAAATACTTGATGAAAAAAATCAATTATTTTCAATTAAATATTACAAAGTTTCAATTATTCAAAATGTTTTTAAATGTACATTTCGAAAATTTATTCAGAAATAATTTTTGAAAGATTTGTCGATTGTTATTTTTTATGCTAAAAAAATCGGAAAAAGATGCATTTTATACTAAAAATGTTGCAATATTTATAAGAAAAGTCGAAAAAGTCGTAATTTTTGAAAATAAGTCGAATAAAAGTTACTCTACATTTTTATAAAATGTTTTTGTTCTTGTATTAATTAGAAATTAATTTAATTTTTAATTACACGGGAAAAACTTGATTAAATGTTTTATTATTTGTTAAATGAAAAAACAATTAAAAGAAATTGTCCCGTTTACTTCTATGAATAAAATAAAATAAAAATAATTATAAAATGACTCTAAAAATGATGAAAAATGGTAAATAAAAATCGGTTTTCTGTAAATTTACCTGCGTTGTCACATGGATTCTCTCCAATGCAGTCTTTGGGAATTTTTTCTACGCATTTTTTATGGGCATTATATTGGCAGTCTTTACATTGGAGGCCTTGTTTAAATAATCCACGTAATAATTTTTTACAAAGACCACAAACTGTTGGTCTTGTATACGTGTGAACAACAAATGTGTGTGGAATTTTTATTCGCGTTGCCATTTCACGATCGACCCAAACGGGTCTTCCTCCCAAGGATGGTGAACGAGATTGTTTTGGTCCTACGATACTTGGTATTGCCTGCAAAAAATATTACAAATTACAAACAAATTTTTTCACTAATTACATTTATACTAAAAACTATGTTCATTAATTACATTTTCAATTTAAAAAAAAACTATTTTATTAAACGCGAATAATATAATTATATAAATTAAATTTACGTAAGAATAGAATTGACATTAATTCGTTTTATTTTCTATTTAAATAGGAAATTTTCCTACAATTTAAATTTGAATTTTTTTGTTCTTGTAATTTTTTAATAGTGTATTCTTTATTTACTTAAATTTGAATATGTTATCAATTGAGAATACTTTATTTTACACTAAACTTTTATTCTGTAGTATAAATAAAATTTTTAAGAAAATTTTCAATTTATTTTACAAATTGGTGTATAACGGAGAAAGGAAAAAAAGAACAATTTGGAAATAATAATTCGCCTTTATTTAAGTACTCAAATCACATTTCGTTCGGAATTTTTCTCTTTTTTCAAATTATTCCTATTTTATTCTAATATTATTAGAATTTTGAATTATAAACTATAATTTATTTCGATTACTGTTGTTGCTGAATAATTATCATTTTATAGTTATTGTATAATAAATATTTTATTATTTATTATTATTATTATGTGTATATTACTTATTATTTATCTATTTATTTAAACACGTAAACGGTCTTACGTGATTGTATGTTTATTTTATAATAATTTTTATCAATCAGAGTTGTTCAATTCGTTTTTAATTCTCAAAATATTCTCTTTTACAATATCCAAAAATAATTAAGACTCATAATTAGAAGATTTGTCGAATTTGTAAAAAGGCACTTAAAGTACTAACAATTTTCAATAATATAAAAATATTTTCAATAATAAAGAGATTCTCGTATTTTATTCTGATTTTATAATATTCCTAACAACTATAAATTAATAATAATACTATTAAAATAAGAACCTTTCCACCAAAATCTAATTAATACCAACAACCAAATTAATTATATAGAAAAAATACTCTTCGCTCGATTACTTTAATAAAAATATATATTCGTAGCGTAAAGACTCCTTTTTAAGCCAATTTTGTAGATAAAATTATAATATCTATTGTAATAATTAATTTAAATATTACAGGCCTCGGGTCGACTTTAACGAGTCAAAACCGTAGCTTTAGTCGATTAAAAATAGAAAAAAAAATCAAAAAAGTCGTGTATTTAATTCAGTGTTGCCACAAAAAATTTTATTTTGCATTTCCCTGATTCTTCACTGATTTCTAAATTCAATTAATCAAAACTCGAATAATTTCATGCTAAATAAATATTTAAATAGGTACTTTTTATTTCTTTTTTCACGGGAAATAAAATTAAAAAATATAACCATAACTCTTCCAAAATTCAATTATTATTGTTTATATTTTCAAAAATTTGAATATAATTCCTCGCAAGAATTAAATTATTTTTAACAAAATTTTAACACGAAAGAATTCAATTATTTTCCAAAAATTTTACAAAAGAATTCAATTATTTTTATTAATAGTAAAATTCTTTGCTGGAATTCAATTATATTTTCAAAACAATTTTAATTGAATTCCTTGCCAGAATTCAAATATTTCCATAAGATTCAATTATTTCCTAAAATTTTAATAAATTCTTCGAAACAATTTAACTATTTTTATATATATATATAGATACTAAACTTCTTTGCAGGAATTAAATTATTTTTAATCCAATTTAAATAAAATTAAACAAAAGAATTTAATTATTTTCAAAAATTTTCATAAAATTCAATTTCAACAAGAATTTAAAATCCTCTAAAAATAATTTAATTATTCTCAAAATATTAACAAAAATTCTATATAAAAATTAAATTACTTTCAATGCAATTTTTAATTATATTCGTCAAAAAAAATTGAAAGAATTCAACTATTTTCAGAACAACTTTAATTGAATTTCTCGAAAGAATTTAATTATTTTTAAATAGTTCTATAGAATTCTTCAAAACAATTTAATTTTTCCTAAAATTTTAATAAATTTTTCGATCATTTCAATTATTATTATAGATAGAATTTAATTATTACTTTCAAAAATTTTCTATTAAAATTATTAAAGAAACTTCATTATTTAAAACAAATTCAAAGAAATTCTTCAAAAGAATTTAATTAGGATTTTTAAAAATTTTAATAAAATTCATCGCGAGAATTCAATTATTTTCATATAAATAAAAAAATTCTTCGAAGGAATTCAATTATTCTCTTGAAATTTTTTGATAAGATTCTCTTCAAGAATTCAATGATTTTCAACCTAATTTTCATTACTTTTCATTTTTATTTTTACACTTGAAGATTTTTCATTAAAATTTTTGAGAATTCAATTTATTTCCAAAAATTTTCATTTATATTTCTTTAAAAGTTAATTTTCATGTATAGTTTAAACTTTTCACACAATAAAAATCGAAATAAGTTGCATGTTGTAAAATGTAGTATTTTGTCGTAAAATTTGGAAGAAAAGTCGAAATAGTCGCATTATTTGAAAATAGTCGAAAAAGTCATAATATCCAAGGCCTGATATTATAATAATTACAAAATAAAATACTTCCTTTATAAGGAAGCAATATTATGAAATATTTTGAAAATTTTCTTACAAAATCTTACACATCATCTCTCATGATAATTATTTTAATAATTATAAACGTATATTAATTTTATATAATATAATATATAAAAATCGAAAAATACTGCCAACAATTTTTTTATAAGAATTCTATGAGAGAAAATTGAGAAAAAGAATACTATAATATAAAGAATACTATTAAAAATGGACGGTAACGTAATTTTTAGTAAATAAAATTGAACGTAATGCAAAAAAAAAAGTTATAAAAGTTGTATAAAGAAAATAAAAATAAAAAATTATTTAAGGAACTTCTTCCATGGAAGAGATCTCACCAGCGTACTGTTGTTTTGACTTGTATTAGGTGTTATATTCGTACTGTGATTATCATCGCTGGCACTTGTTAAACTACTCGTCGAACTCTGACTCGGCGATCTTGGAACATTCAACAGTGTCGAACTAAGTCGTCTTTGACTCGTGTCTTGCGAACAATTATTTGGAACTTTAATAATACATCGTTTGTGATAATTCATTCCACAACCTGAGGGAAAATAATTCAACAAAACATTAGTAAATAATTCAGCAAAGAGCAAATTTTAATAAATTTTCGTAAATTATCAATTCATTTATTTCAGTTTATTTATTAAATAAATAAATTGAATAAATAAAATTACTAAGGAAATAAATAAATAAATTAACTTGTTGGTGAAACTAAAATAAACTACTTAGTTTATTTATTTAGTTAGTTAATTTATTTTAGTTTATTTATTTAGTTCTTTTCGCTTATTTATTTAGTTTATTTATCTTAGTTATAATGTTTATTTCACTTTAATTATAATTAATCTTCGAAAAAATAAAAAAAGGTTTTTGAAACAAATTCTAATAAACAGATTCAAAAACAAATTTTTTGAATCAACGAATCTAACAAATGTCTCGATCAATAGTACAAAAACAAAGATTATTTTTCTTTAGAAAACTGATAGAAAAAAATCTTATTAACATTAATAGATTTATGATTAAATTTACACCACCCATCAAGACGATTCATATCGGACTGAAGCACAGAGAAATCCTGACAAGGGTTAATTAAGTCGAATAATTTATAACATTTATCATTATCATACAAAAGAAATAAATATACTATTGAAAATGTTAAATTAACTGAATTAAACTAAATTTTTCTAATTTGATTAAATCAATTAACTTTCTTTTATTTCTATAAGTGAAGTAATTAATTTAATCAAATTACGATTCTAATAAAAAGAACTACCAAGAAAAAATCTTTTGCTTTCTAAAAAGTTCCACAGAAACTAGAAAAAGCTAAAAATAAGAACTAAATAATAAATGAATAAATAAAAATTAAATGAAATTAAATAATGATTCTAATTAAAAAAACTACCAAGAAAAAATCTTTTGCTTTCTAAAAAGTGGCGCAACAATTAAAGAAACCAAAAAAAATAACTAAATAATAAATAAAATTAATGAAAAGTAATCAATGATTGTAATAAAAAAATACAAAAAAAAATTGTTTAGTTACTAAAAAGTAGAATAATAAATAAATAAAAATAAATAAACAAATAACGATTCTAATTAAAAAACTAGAAAGAAAGAATCGTTTACTTTCTAAAAAAAAGTATTAAATAAATAAATAAAACAAAAGAAAATTACTGAATAGCGAAAAGAATATGACAAATCTTTTCCTCGTCTAATGAAATTATAACAAAAATAAATAAATCTGCTCACTGTAATAAAATTATTTTCAAATTCCCCCCAGAGAATTAAAGTTCCATAAAGTAATTACCTTCACATTTAAGTCCTTGTCTTACAAGACCAAAAAGCATTTCACCACAAAAGTCACAAAAAGTCGGAGCTTTATAAGAGTGTACCGATAAAGCGTGAGGTCGAATTGGAATTTGCTCGGTTGGCACTTGTGCTGTTAAAAATTCAAGAACTTATCATTAGAATTACAAAATACAAAATTTCAATAATAATTTAAAGTAAAAAAAAGGTGAATTATAATAAAAATGAATAAATTACATTCGGAACAAAAATTACGATAATATTACTAATTTATATTGTTTTCTTCAAAATATATCATTTTTATCAAATTCATTTTTTACTGTTTTTATTATTTTCCTTCTTTCAATTTATTTTGTTTCATTTTCATTTTTATCAAAATATTGAACCATTTTTTTTCTTTTTTTAATTGAATGAGAAAATGTATAAAATTCAATTTCAAAAGAAATTTAAATTTTGAAAAAAATATTTAAAAAATTTATTAAAATTCACCCACACAGAGTGTCTACTATTTTCGTTTAACAAAATTCACAGATTTTTCCCAACTTTGTCCTAATTTTTCCCGGTTTCTTTTTTTCTCATCAAATTTAAATTTATCTAATTTCGAACATTAATAATTAAAAATTATTTTCGAAAATTTTAAATAAAATTCTTTAAAAGAAGTTAATTATTTTTAATAGAATATAAAGAAATTTCAAAAATTTTCAATTATTTGTTTATATAAATTCAATTATCTTGAGACAATAGAATTGAAAAATTTCAAACATCTTATGTTTCAGAATTTTCAAAAACAAATTTGCAAAAATTCAATTTCATGAAAAAATTTTAAGTTAAATTTTTTAATGTTCGCACTAAGAAACAAAAAAATGTTAATAAAATTCTTCCCAAGAACTCAATTATTTTCATAAATAATAAATTTCTGCGCATGAATTCAATTATTTTTAAGGCAATTTTCATAAAATTTCTCGAAAGAATTTAATTGTATTCAACACAATTTTAATAAAATTTCGGAAAAGAATGCAATTATTATCAAAAATTTTAATAAAATCTCCGCAAAAATTCAATTATTTTCAATACAATTTTAATAAAATTTCTCAAAAGAATCCAATTATTTTCAAGTCTTAATAAAATTCTTCTATAAAATTTAAATATTTTTAAAATTTTTGAGAAAATTCTTTATAAAAATTTCATTGTCTTTTATACATTTTTAATTTAAATGTTATCAATATTTTTGAATTTTTTTTGCCTTAAAAATAATTGAATTCACGCGAAGAAATTTGCTATTTATGAAAATAATTGAATTCTTTGGAAGAATTTTATTAAAATTGAATTGAAAATAATTAAACTTCTGCGAAGAATTTTACTATTTTTTAAAATAATTTAATTCTTACGAAGAATTTTATTAAAATTTATGAAAATAATTGAATTATTACGAAGAATTTTATTAAAATTTTGGAAAATAATTGAATATATTGTTAAGAAATTTTTATAAATAAAATTATAATTTTATTAAAAAATTTTAAGTGTGTATCTTGTTTTTAAATTAACTAATAAAAATTTTAATTATTAATCTTCGCACTAAGAAACATGAATACTAGAATGTGACTCTTTATAAAATTCAATTATTCATCAATTATTAAATTAAAATACTTTGAAAATTCGATTTGTTAAAAAATTTTTAATAAAATTCTTTAACAAATTTAATTATTTTCAGTTGAATTTCACAAAATTTATATTTATTTGATAATTTTTTTTGAAAAATTATTATATATTATAAATTAGTTTCTTACTATATTTGTATCAGTGATTGATTTTTTACCATCAAATTAATTATTTTTAACTAATTCATTCATCTACAAAAATTGAAATAAAAAGCTTTTTTAAAAACAAATTAAAATAAAACTTTTTTTAATTTTATGAAAAAATTCCCGATTTGGCATAAAATTTCTGGCTTATTCCCGGTTTCCCCGGTTAGTAGACACCCTGCGATTTTTTTGGTTTTTTCTAATTTATTTTATAATTATTTGATGGTCCACCAAAAAAATCTTTAATAAAAAATTTAAAAAATTTAATTTAATTCCCAGTGACGAATTCATCAATACTTGATTAATACTATTTTTAGATGCAAAAAAATGTGAGAAAAAATAAAAAGATTGAAAATAATTAAAAACCTTCAATTCAGATAGAAGCGTCAAATGAAAAATAGTAAAGAAATTTTTCCAATTTCCGTTGAAGAAAGTTTTGTCATTAACAGAAGTGAATTGTTTTAATGATCATTCTCTCATCATATACGAGATGGAAAAGCATCGGATTTTCAATAGAAAAAAAAATAAATAAAAAATGAAAGAATTCCTCACCAGTGAGAACTATTTCCACTAAAGTTTCGTCAACTATTTCCATTGCATTTGTAATGAGCTGAAGAATATTAGTTGAATTATAATCGTGTTTAAATAACAAAAGTCTATCGAACAATTGACTTAAGCCATGATCAGGACACTTGCTATTTATAAAATCACAGGCAAACTCCTTTAAAGACTTGAGAGTCAATTGGCTAGAATCTACAGTGACTGTATCACGGAGCAATCCAAATTGAAAAAGAAATGTTACTTCGGCAGCTTCCATTTTTTTTCCTCTCCTTTTTTGCCCTTCTTTCTAAAAAAAATCCTTTTTCCGTTTCACTGAAATAGAAAAAAAGAAATTAATAATAGTATTATTGAATTAAGTATGTAAATTATTAATTTTTAAAAAAGAATTAAAAATTATTAAAATATTCTTGTTCATTCATTTCAATCTTAATTTTATATCGATTAAAAAGTTTATTATTATCCGACTGCGCAAAGAAGGTAATATTTTCCACCAACACACACACAATCTTTTAATACTCTTCGAAAGAAAAATTGAAAAGACTTGTCAGATTTTGATGAAGTGTAATAAAAATTTTATTCCTTTTTAAAATCTAACCGTAATAAAAAAATGAATTATTAAAATTCTTCCTTCCTTTTCGACTTTAATCTAGTAAAAGGAAGTCATTTCAATTCAAGTTTTTTTTCTACACTTTTTTTTTTTGAAGAGTAGAAAATTCAAATAAATGAACTAACAACTTAAATTGTTCCAACTCATGAAGAATGAAAACTGTTTCAATTCAATAAAATCTGTTGTGATTTATTATATGAAAAGGGTTTCACGTGAAAGATTTCTAGAGACGTGCAGTTAGTATAGGTGGCTATAAACAAAGAAACAAAATAGAGCGACATTGATTATTGAAAAGCAAACATAATTATATGAAATAATAATAGAAATGAAAATACCGAAGAATATTTTAAATCGCAAATATTTTTTTATTTTTTTTCCCGTGGGTAAATTTTACATTTTTTTTTTAATTTACAAATCGAATTCATCGAATATAAAATTATTAATTGAAATTATCAATTAAAATTATTAATTAAAATTATCAATTGAAATTATTAATTAAAAATAAATATTAAAATTGTTACTTAAAATTAATAATTAAAAATATAAATTAAAATTATTAATTATTATTTAGAACATTTTGTTACAAAAAAATTATAAAAAAAGTTTTCAACGAAAATCAAATATTAATTAAAATTATTATAAGTTACTATTTAGGCCTTTTTAATACAAAATATTTATTAGATATTAAAAGCGATTTCAACAAAAAGGAAAATTAATTAAAATTGATAATTAAAATTGATAATCAAATTGTTAATTAAAAATGTTAATTAAAATTATTAATTAAAATTATTGTGTAAAACTATTGAATAAAATTATCAATTGAAATTAAGAAATAAAATTATTTAATAAAAAACAAATAAAATTGATAACAAAAATTATAAACAAATTACTCGCGGAACGTGTTATTACAATTATTATTATTATGCAAATTACAAAATTTTTTTATTTTCAAATATAAATTTTTGAATTAAATTCATAATCAAAATTTAGAAAATTCACTTATTAAGTAAATAATTAATTATTGATTATATTGTTAAAAATTTTAATATAATTCTTCGCAAATATCCAATTATTTTCATAAATAATAACATTCTTTGCAAAAATTCAATTATTTTTATAAAAAGTAAAATTTTTTGCAAAAATTTAATTGTTTTCAATAAAATTTTAATTAAATTTCACAGAAGAATTCAATTTTTTTTAATTTTGAATAATATTTATCGAAAAAATTCCATTATTTTCTAAAATTTTAATAAATTTTTCGAAACAATTCAATTATTTTTTTATATAAGTAAAATCTTTACAAGAATTCAATTATTTTTATAAAAAGTAAAATTTTTTGCAAAAATCTAATTATTTTCATTAAAATTTTAATTTTCATTAAATTTCACGAAAGAATTCAATTATTTCTAAAGTTTTAATAAATCCTTCGAAACAATTCAATTATTTTTATAAATATATAGTAAAAGTATTTGCAAAAATTCAATTATTTTTAATACAATTTTAATAAACTTCAATAATCAAATATTTAATTATAATTTATTATTAACAGACATGATTATTTCAAAAAGTTGAAAATTTTTTTGTGTAATTCAATTATTTTTAAAATTGACAATTAAAATTATTCAAAAAACTACATTATTTTCAAAAATATGTACCTAAAGAAATTCTTAAAAAAAATTTAATTAGGATTTTAAAAAATTTTAATGAAATTCTTCGCGAGAATTCAATTATTTTCATAAATAATAAAATTCTTCAAAGGAATTAAATTATTCGCAAATTGTTTAGTAAAAAATAAATTTACAATAGATGAAAGTCCACTAGTAATGAATTTAATACAAAAAATTATTTACTGATAAGTTGAAATTTATAATAACTCTGAAGCTAATTAAATTAAAATTTAAATTAACTCTCAAGTTCATTAAATTTCTTTTACTTAATTCTCACTCAAATTAATTAAAGAAAAATATTCACTAGTAAATTTCACCTTAAAATATTCCGAGAAACTTTTCATATCGTTTTTTCAAATCAGTTTTCAAATCAATTCTAAAAAAAGCCAGAAAACAAAAATAAATTTAAAACACGTATCAAAACTTTTTTAAATTCATTTTCGCAAAAAAAAAAAAAAAAATAAATAAATAAATAAAATCTAGATGAAAATTAAAAGAGAAATTAAATTTTAAACATGCGGAGAAATTTTATTTCAATCGTTTTACGAAAACAAATTCTAAAAAAACAAAATTAAATTGAATTAGGTAAATTTAAAACTTTCCGAGAAATTTTTTTTTCACTTCTTTCCATTAAATTGGTTTTCGAAAAATAATTCTAAAAAAAACAGAAAACGAAACGAAGATAAAATTGTGAAAAAAGAAAAATAAAAAAAACTAATGAGAAGAAATAAAAAAAAAATAGAAAAAAGAAATGAGAAGAAATAAAAAAAAGAGAAAAAACGTAAATTAACATAAATTTTTTCAAAAAAGGGAAATAAACAACAAAATAAAAAAATAAAAAACCGAAAATAAAGAAAATAAACTAATTACGTGGATGATGAAAAGAAATTCGATGTTTCTTGAAAACGATAACGGAATTTCGTGAAAAATTACAAAAAGAAACCGGCTGTTACAGTTTGTCAATTTCAATGAAAATGCAAAAAGCTCAATAGTGACAATAAATTGAATTGATTTTATGTAAAATATGTGATGTTAAATTTTGAATGCGGTCCAGTTGGATGCGACAAACATATATATAAAAATATCGGCGTTTTTAACATTGCTTTTGACACACTTTCATTGTGATGACATTTTACAGTTATCTCCAGTAGGTCGACTCACCTTTTTGCTCCGATACATTCAATACTTCCTCACCATCAGGACTCCAGAACTTTTAATTCTCTCTTTATAAATACGAATATATTCCTTAACACTTAAACATTATCAGATCTTTATTTTCTTTTTTTTTTTCTTCTTGAGATTTCCTTGGTGTCAAACTGAAGTTAAACTTGTTCTTTTTCTTGTTTTTTTTTATTTTTTTGAAAAAAAATTTATAATTCTTTTCCTTAATTGTTATTGGTGTAAGTCGTTTTTTCTCAACATTGTTGTTGATGATGGAGTTTCCGAAGAAAAGACTTCCACGTACGAAGCAGTACTGTGTGTCTATACAGTGTTGGAGAATATGTACAATCAAAGTGGTACAGGCACAAATACCAGTTTGACTTTCATCCACACGGAGAAAAAGAGAGACGGCGAGAGAGTTCTCCATTTCGCGTCACCCACTGATGAGGGGGCGTAGTGAAAAAGCGCCAGATTTCAAACACATTGACGAGACTCACGTTCAATTATTGAATTTCTGAAAAATAATTAAAAATCTATACTAATAATAGTTGCATTCCGGTAATCTGTTCGTAGTTTGAAGTTAGCTGTTGTTTGCTTTTTTGTTTCGTAACTTTTTTAATAATTTTTCTTTTTAAATATTTTCAATTTTTAAATTAATATTGTATTCAAAATCATTGAATTCTTGAAAAGAATTTTGTCAAAAAATTTGAGAATAATTTAATTCTTTCGAAGAATTTCATTATTTATGAAAATAATTTAATTCTCGCGAAGAATTTTATTAAAATTCTAAAAAATCGTTATTAAATTCTTTTGAAGAATTTCTTTGAACTTTTTTTAAATAATGCAGTTTTTTAATAATTTTAAATACAAATATTTTAAATAATTGAATTTTATTACAATTTTCAATTATTTATGAAAAAATTTGAATTCTAGCCAAGAATTTTTGAAAATAATTGAAATCCGCCAAAGAATTTTATTATTAATGAAAATAATTGAATTCTCGTGAGGAAATTTGTTAACATTTTTGAAAATTTTAAATAAATTCTTTTTGAAGAATTTTTTTTAAATGGAGTTTCTTTAATAATTTTAATTAAAAATTTTAAGAGTAATTGAATTTTATGAACAATTTCTTTCAAGTTTTTAAAATAGTCATATTTGTTAATAATTGTAATTAAAAATCTCGATTAATACATTTTATTAAAATATTTAGAAAATAATTGAATTTTTCTCACAATTTTTTAAAATAATTGAATTCATGCGAAGAAACTTATTATTTATGAAGATAATTGAATTTTTTAAAAGAAAATTATTAAATTTCTTGAAAAATCGAAATCTTTTGAAGTTTTTCTTTAATTATTTTGAATACAATCCATTTGGTTAATATTTGTAAAAAACAAACCTTTTCAGGAATTATATTACAGTTTCCGAAAATACTTTTTTTATTAATAATAATTTTACTTAAAAATGATATTATGATATTAAATTTTTTCAAAGAATACTATTAAAGTTTTTGACAATAATTGAATTCTTTCGGAGCTTTTCTTTTATAATTATGAAATGATTTAATTAATATCATAAATTTTAATACATTTTTTCGTAAGAATACAATTATTTTGAAAATAATACAATTTTTTGCAGGATTTCAATTATTTTCAAAAATTTTAACAAAATTCTTTGTAAGAAATCCATTATTTTCAAAAATCGTAAAATTCATTGCAGAAATTCAACTATTTTCAAAAATGCTACTAAATTCTTCGTAATAATTCAATTATTTTCATAAATTTTAATAAAATTCTTCGTAAAAATTAAATTATTTTGAAAAATAGTTAAATTCTTCATAGAAGTTTAATTATTTAAAAAAAATTTAATGAAATTCTTCGTAATAATTCAATTATTTTCATTTTTAATAAAATTCTTCGCAAAAGTTCAGTTATTTTCAATTGAGTTTTGATAAAATTCTTCCCAAGAATTCAATTATTTTCATAAATAGCAAATTTCTTGGCGTGAATTAAATTATTTTAAATTGAATTTTAATAAAATTCGTCGCAGAAATTCAATTATTTCCCAAAATTTTAATAAAATTTTTCGTAAGAATTCAATTATTTTCATAAAAAATAAAATTCTTGGCAAAAGTTCAATTATTTTCAATTCAATTTTAATAAAATAAAATTCTTCGCAGAAATTCAATTATTTTCCAAAATTTTAATAAAATTCTTTGTAAGAATTTAATTATTTTCATAAAAATAAAATTCTTGGCAAAAGTTCAATTATTTTCAATTCAATTTTAATAAAATTCTTCGCAGAAATTCAATTATTTTCCAAAATTTTAATAAAATTCTTCGTAAGAATTCAATTTTTTTAATACAGTTTTAATTAAATTTTCTAAAAAAATTTAATTATTTTTAAAAAATTGAATAAAATTCTTGGACACAATTTAAGACTTTTGAAAATAATTGATTTCTTTCAAGAAATTTTATAAAAATTGTATTGAAAATAATTGAGTTTCTGCAAAGAGTTTTATAAATTTGTGAAAATAATTTAATTCTTGCGGAATTCCAGAAATTTTTAGTAATATTGTGTTGAAAACAATTGAATTCGTTCGAGAAATTTTAATAAAATTGTCTGTAAAATAATTAAATTCATGAGAAGAAATTTTTTATTTATGAAAATAATTGCATTCTTCTGAAGAATTTTATTAAAATTTTTGAAAATTATTGAACAATTGCAGTCCTAATTTTTTAGAAATAATTAAATTTCAAAAGGTTTTGCATTGAAAGTATTTTGAAATTTTAATTTTTGCAGGACAAATTTGAATAAAAATTCAAATATTTATTAAACAAAAATTAATGAAATTCGAAAAATTTTATTTAACAATTTTAAAAGGTGAAAGTGAAATCTTAAAAATTGGAATTAAAATTTTTTTTGAAGATAATTGAATTCTCGAAAATAATTAAAAAATTTAAAACAATTGCAAGTTTTGTCAAATTTAATTTAAATAAATTTTATATTTGCAAGAATTTAATTATATTACTTTCAAAAATTGCTTTCAAATATAATCGTATTTTTGAAGATTTATAATTCGAAAAAATCAATTTTCATTCAATTTCATAAAAAAAAGTTTTTCTAACCGACAATGGGAACAATTAGTTTTAAAATATTTCCAACTCACCGGAGAAGATTTAAAATTCATATATTCTATTTTACTTCAATATTTTTAGTACAGTTTTAGTCCATTCACGTATTTGTCCATTGAAATCAATTTTTTCCCAGAAAAAGAAATTTTAAATTTCCCAAAATTTTCAAATCGGAAAAAATTCCATTCGCGTTTTTTTCAATGCGAGTTGTTTCTGCAATTTAAAAAAATCTGCAAAAGAAAAAAATTTGATAAAATTAAACTAATAAAAAAATTTAGAATAAAAACAGTATTTATCGTTTTCATCGCAAAAAAAAGTTACGTCTATTTTATTTTCCAGAAATTATTTTTTTCAAATAGGTATTTTTTAACATTAGTAAAAAATAAACCAAAATAAAAATTTAACTCTGACGAAAATGCTTAAAAATTAGAAAAATATAAACTAAAAATAAATAAATTATTTAACTGGAAAAATTTGTGTTTAAGATTAAACTGTCGATTAATTTTAACTTTATTTATTTTTCTTTTCGGAGAAAAGAAAAGCAAAAAGAAGTAAATTTTCGATAATAAAAAGCAATTTTCTAAATTTACAAAATAAGAGAAAACTAATAAATAATAATAATTTTTTACTTAAAATGTTTCTATTATGAAAGCGATGAAAACAACAAATACAGTAGAAAATGTGTTTATTAAATATTACTGTACATAATAATAGTTATTACAATTACTTTTTCTCGAACAACAAAAATATAAAGTCACGTCTTTAATTTCTCCTCCTGTGCTAGAAGTTGATTTTTAATTTTTTGCAAAAGCTCCTTTTTCACAGTGTCTGGCACGAGACTCCTCGCTTTCGGCCTCACTTGTGCCAATAATGAATCATAAATAACATCCTGACCATTTTCCTTAATAATATCTTTGCAAATAATTTTCACTTGGTCCCTCCAACCGCATTCGACGAGGCGACGTCGTAATAGTTCCTTTAATCTGGAAAAATAAATTTCTTATCAATTTCCCATAGATTTGGAAAAAAAATAAAAAAAAAGGGAGCAAGTATTTCAAAAGCTTGATTTATTTTTCAAAAGAAAGGGAAATAAACATAAATTTCATAATTTCAGGAGCTCATAAATCGATCTGACTGTTGAATTTAAGAAAAAAAATATTAACAAAGAATTTTCAATTTAAAAACTTTTCGATATTTTTTTTTATTGGAAAAAATTACAAAAATCTTTAAATCACTTAATTTTGATAAAGTTTTATTAAGAAGCTTTCGCTTCTTAATAAAACCTTATCATAATTAAATATTTACATTCTCATTTTATTTATTATTCTATTTGTTTATTCCGTTTATTCATTTATTTTTATGATCCACAAGTTTTTAACGTTCAAATGAACGAAATATATTTTATTAAAAATATCCCCGTAAATTACTGATTGCCAAAGTTTTTTAAAAACTTCAATTTTACATTTAGAAACTTTATAATTAATACTTTTTTATAGGTACGCAAAATTATTGTAATAAAAATTTAATTTGAAGAGGAAATAAATAAATTTCGTTCATTTGAACGTTCAAAATTTTAGGATCATTCATTTTTTATTTAAGAAGCAAACGCTTCCTAATAAAACTTTATCATAATTAAATATATTAAAGTCTTAAAAATAAAAATAATAAAGTTTTTTTGATAAAAATATTAAAGTCTTAAAAATAATAGTTTTTTTTAATAAAAATATGAAAGTCTTAAATATTTAAACATTGTTATAGAAATTTTTACAAATTTTCTATCTAAAAATTAACTGCAATGATTAAAAGTGGAAAATGTAATTGTTTTAATTGTTTCAATCGAAATGGATTTATCAGGTTCTGAAAAACTTTTTCCTCTAATAAATAAAAAGAAATTAATAAACATTAAGAATAATAAATAAAATGAGAATGTAAATATTACTAACAATATTTATATTTACACAATTGCAATAATTATCGAATTATTTATTTTCCTCCAAATATTAACATTTCTCTCCTGAATTTATCAAACACAAAATAATCACTTCGGTAAATATTTATATACGGTAGGAAAATAAAATCTCGAATGTCAATAAAATTCTGAACGTACACGAAATTCATTTATTTCTTTTATAAATTTTCTAATTATTGGAATATTGCGTAAAGTATTAAAAAATTAAAAAATAATTCATAGTTTCAATTTACTTTACATTTTTAATTTTTATTGCAGGCAGTTTTTTTTTAAATATTTATACTTTTTCTTTATTTACTATAAATAAGTTCCTCCTTTTGAACACTCAGAATTTTTGGAAAATAAACTCGAGTATAAAATTGCCGGCTATGGAAAAAATATATTTACCCATCACGATCTCCAGACATCACTAATTTTTGATGTGCTGCACTATTCATTGTTGACGATTGTTTATTGAAAAATGGAATATTATTACTTTGCGATTAATTGAGAGAATATTGACCCTTTTGAGGTCTAACAACTCAATTAATGTTTGTTTCGTTTGTTTGTTGTCAGTTCTTGTCACGTTCTTGTTTAGACTTTTGGAGGTTATGTTTAATGTCAAACTTAATTCGAAATTAATCCCCAAGGAGGCGTCAAAAGCATGAAAAAGGGCGCGATTTTTTGAAAGCAAAATAACACAACTTCTGTAAATTAAAAATAAATTAGTGCACAGAATAATAAAATAATTCAGTCAAATTATAAAAAATAATTTTATTAACTATTAATTTAATTGTATTAACTATTAACTTAATTTTATTAACTATTAAGAACTACAAGCAGTAAAGTAAATGTAAAATAATTATAAAATTATCAGTTACCACAAAAATTTTATTCTGAAAATTATTTGGTACACAATGAAATGTTTCTAATCAATTTATTTGTGAATATCTTTAATTGTAAAATTATTATAAAATCATCAATAATTTTTAATTAGTTTTTTCTTTAACCTTTAAAATATCTTCCAAAAATCGAAAAAATAATTTTTTTTATTTAAATAAATATTTAATCATTATTAATTAATAATAATTAATAATAATAATTATTAATTACTCATTATTATTAATTTTTCAAAGGAATTCAAATTATCAAGAATGTCAATTTAAATCTTTTAAAATTATAAAATTATTTACAAAAATAGAAAATAAAACTCTTATAAAATTCAATTATTTTTAAAAAATGTTTCTAATTCTTATTTTTTAGTAATAAAAAAGAAAATTTTATGAAGAATTTTATCAAAATTTTTGAAAATAATTTAATTGTTTTGAAGAATTTCTTTAAATATTTTTTAAAAACACTGTTTCTTTATAATTTTAATTTAAAAACAAAGTAATTAAATTTTACGAAGAATTTCTTTCCAGTTTTTAAAATTATTTTGAAAAATTTCTTTAAATTTGTTAAAAACACTGTTTTTTATAATTTTAATTAAAAATTTTTAAAGTTATTAAATTTTACAAAAAATTTCTTTTAAGTTTTCAAAGTAATAGTGTTTGTTAATAATTGCAATTAAAAATCTCGATTAATAAACTTTATTAAAACTTTTAGAAATTATTGAATTTTCCTCACAATTTTTAGTACAATTTTTTAAAATAATTGAATTCATATAAGAAGAAACTTATTATTTATTAAAATAATTGAATTTTTCAAAAGAAAATTATTAAACTTTTTGAAAATCGAATACTTTTGAAGTTTTTCTTTAATTATTTAATTAAGAGAAAAACTTTAAAAGGTTAATAATAATTTTAAAAAAACCTTTTGAAGAATTATACTAGAGAATATTAAAAAATTTATTTAAATTTTTTGAAAATATTGTAATTTTTTTTAATAATATTAATTGAAAATTTTTTAAGTAATTAAATTTTACGAAGAATTACTTACAATTTTTAAAAATATTCGTATTTGTTAATAATCGTAATTAAAAATATTTGATTAATAAATTTTATTAAAAATTTTTAGGAAATAATTTAAATTTTCTCACATTTTTCTTACAATTTTCGAAAATAATTGAATTTATTCGAGGATATTTGTTATTTATGAAAAAAATTGAATTTCTCTCACAATTTTCTTATAATTTTTGAAAATAGTTGAATTTGTGCGAAGAAATTTGTTATTTTTAAAAATTATTAAATTTATGCGAAGAAATTCGTTATTTATGAAAATAATTGAATTTATGCGAAGAAATTTGTTATTTATGGAAATAATTGAATTCTCGCAAAGAATTTCATTAACATTTTTGAAAATAATTGACTTTTCTCTTATAATTGTATTAAAATTGAATTCTTATAAAAAGTGTATTATCAAAACTTTCGAATATAATTGTTTAAAAATTCGTAACTATTTCACATTTGTGAGCAGAAAAAAATTCAAAAAGAAATTTAATCTTTTTTCTTATCACTTTTTGATAAAATTCTCTGATTTTTTTTCCATAATTAATTATTTTTTCCTAATTTTTTCTTTAATTACTGATTTCCTCTGACCTATGGCAACTCTGATTATTTTACTAAAGAAAAAATAAAATAAACATCAGTATTTTATAAATTAAAGATATTATTATAATGTTTCTAATCACAATGAATAGCGTCAAATATTTTATATAATCGACAATAAAAACGAAAGAATTATAAATTTTATTTCATACTTTTAAAAAATTACATAATATTTAATTATTAATTAAAGACGTAAAATTAATTATCAATTCTCCAAGTCAAATGTTAATTTAATTACTATTGAAATTTTAAAAATTATATCATAAATTTAGAAATAAAAAACTAATCGCAAAGTGCAATTAGAATTAAAAATTAAAATCGAGGTAGAGAAGTAGAATAGAAAAAAAAGCTTATCTCAATTGTGCAAACTCGTGAATATAAAAATTACAACAATAAATATTTATTGTATATATATATACATTTATTCCTATAGTTTTTTATCCGTAGACAATTTATCTAAAAATTCAAATGCATAAGACGTTTAATTCACAAGATTTCTCGAAAAAAATCAATTTTCAAGAAATCGTTAAAAACTCGCAACTTTGTGCTTTATCACAAATGACATTTCTTTCTTTCTCTTTTTCCTTTTTCACTAAAATATTTTCTCTTACATCAATAACTGAGAAAAGCGTTTAAAAAGTCCTATTCACTAATTAATTGGTAGACTAGATTTCCTAATGTATAGTTGGAGAGTATATGTATATATCAAACTGATTAAAATACATAAAAAAATACAAAAAAAAATAAAAATAAAAACAATTGGAAATCTTATCTCACAATAGTTTAAAAAAGAGTTCCGTTTTTATATTACAAGAATGCCGCTGAAACGAGGCATTATTATCGTCAATAATTGATAATTATCTTATCTTATCTTAATATTAATTAAGAAGAATCAACATTAGTTTCGGGATTAGCTTCGACTTCAGGTATATTATCATTTGGTAACAATGCAGACTCTCTGCTTGGCATCTCGATTCAATCTGTCCTAGTAACATTTCTCGATATATTTGAATTAGTGCGATAAAGATAGACCTGCAGAAGTATTGATACATCAATTAAAACTTGAAGCGCTCCACAAATACCAAATTGAATTGGTGCTTCACGATGTATAAAATAGCAAGTTTTAAATGTATCGCCACAAGTCCACATCATCACCATCACAACACTGAAATTTAATTATTTTCTCATTATTTCCTTTTTTTCATGGTAATTGAAAAATGATAAAAAATATTTATTCAATCAGAATAATATCGTAACTCATTATTATTTTCAATTCGAATTCCTTACTTATTAGAGACTTTAATTTAGTTTTTCAATTTTTTTTGTCATTTGAACTTCTTTTTAATTTCTTATTATTTCCTTATTTGACTATTTAATTATTTTTTTAATTGCAAATGATAAAAAATATTTATTCAATCCGAATAATATTTTAACTCATAATAATTATTTTCAATTCCTTATTTTAATTCAGTTTTTTCATTTTTTTTTTCAATTGCATTTCTTTTTAATTTCTCTTTATTTCCTTATTTAACGTTAATTGTCAATAATACAAAATATTTACAGGCCTTATATTTTACAGTGCGTGACATTAGCAATTAAATTATTTTCAAATAAATAATTATTAAATCAAAAATACAAAAAAGTCGAAAATGTCGTTTATCTAATTCAGTGTTGTCTCAAAAATTATTTTTTTGAATAATTTTTCGAATTAAATTCTCGAAGAATACAAATAAAAAAATTTTGAATAATTGAAATTTTGTGAAATTGAATTGAAAATAATTAATTTTTTAAAGTATTTTATTACCATTTTTAAAGATCAACTTTTGAAGAATTTTAATGGTAAAATTTTGAAAATATTTGAATACTCAACAAATTTAATGAAAAATTTTGAATTGTAAAATTAACTATAGTATTTTTAAAATAAAATTTAATGAAAATTAGCTTTTAAAAATGATATTAAAAAATTTTTTGAAAAATATAATTCCAAGAACATTTTTATTCTAATTTTCTAAAATTCAAATACATACAAAAAATAATAAGATTACAATTTTTTAGAATTATTTTTAACATTTTGGAGAAAACAATCATTTCAAAATTTTTAATTACAATTCTTCAAAAAACTATAATTTTAAAAAAATTCTTTAAATTCTTTTAAGAAATTCAATAATTTTTTATAAATTACATTACAATATTTTTAAAAAAATAATTTTTAGAATTGTTTTGTTCATAACTTTTTAAAATTCAATTATCTTCGAACAAAGAAAATAAAATTTTTTAAAAAATTACTTTCTTAGACTTATTCATATTTTAGATAAATCTTTTAAGTAAATTAAATTTTTTTTTAAATTTCGTTATTTTTTATTTATTTTTTTCAAAAATTCAATTATTTTTAAAAGACTACAAAATTTCAATTATTTGTAATTTTTTAATTTGTAATTGAAAAAATATTATCTTTCAAAAATTATTTATAAATATTTGTAAAAAATTAGTTTTAAGAATTTCTTTATTATAAAATTTTAAAAAATTCAAAATTCAAAAGTTATTGAAGTGTAATATTTTAAAAAATTATAATAAAGGAATTCTTAAAATTAATTTTTTACCAATATTTAAAAATAATTTTTGAAAGATAATAGTTTTTCAATTATGTATATTATATACAATTAAAAAAATTCCAAACAATTGAAATTTTGTACAATCTTTTAAAAATAATTGAATTTTTGAAAAATATAAAAAAAAAATAACAAAATTTTAGAAGAATTTTAATTATAAATAAGAATATGATTTCTCTCAAATATTAATAAGTCTAAAAATGTAATTTTTAAAAAATTTTTATTGACTTTATTCGAAGATAATTGAATTTTAAAAAATTATGATTAAACAATTACCTTTTAAAGTAAAAGAATTATTTTTTCAAAAATATTCTAATGTAAATTTTCGAAAATAATTGAATTTCTTAAAAAATATTTAGTAAAAAAAAACTTATAGGTATTTTGAAGAATTGTAATTAAAAATTTTGAAAATGATTGGTTTCTCCAAAATGTTAAAAATAATTCCAAATCAATTTTTATTATTATTTTTGTTATTATTTTTTGTATGTATTCAAACGTTTGGAAATATGTTATTGAAAATAATTGAATTTTAAAAAATGATAATGAAAAAATTCTAAGAATTTCTGTAGTTACAAATATTTTAATACAATTTTTAGAAGCTAATTTACATTAATTTTCATTTTTAAATTTACACTTGAAGATTTTTCATTAAAATTTTTGAGAATTAAATTATTTTCAAAATTTTCAATTGAAATTCTTCAAAAGTTGATTTCTAAAAATTGTAATAAAATACTCGAAGAAAATTAATTATTTTCAACTAAATTTTCAATAATTTGAATTATTCAAAATTTTTTTAATTGTATTCTTCGAGAATTTAATTCGAAAAATTATTCAAAAAAGTAATTTTTGAAAGAATTGTCTATATTTATTTTTCACACTATTAAAATCGAAATTAGTTGCATTTTATAGTAAAAATCCGGTATTTTGTTGAAATATTTGGAAGAAAAGTAGAAAAAGTCGCAATTTTTAAAAATAGTAGAAAAAGTCATAATATCCGAGGCCTGTATTTATATTCAACCAGAATAATTTAACTCATCATTATTATTTTTAACTCGTTAGTCTTAGAATTCTAATTTTATTCGATTTCAATCATATTTCTATAAATGGACTTTTTTATAAAGAGGCAGGATTTTCTTTGTCATGTTAATTACAAATCATAAAAATATTTATTCAATCCAAATAATTTTTTAACTCGGCATTTTTATTAGAGACTAATTTACTTTAATTTCAATCAAATTTCTGATAAATAGTCTTTTTTTATTAAGACAAAGATTCCTTTTTTTAAGTTCATTCTGAATAAAAAAAAATATTTATTCCAGCCAAATAATTTTTTAACTCATCATTATTATTAGAGACTCGAATTTTCATTTCATTTCTATAACAACTCTATATGCGGACTTTTTTTTATTAAGACAGGGTTTCTACAAATTATTCCTTGCAAAATTATTTGATTTTTCTATAATTTCCTAATGACAAATTCATCAATAATTTTTGTTCTCTTTAATAAATACTTAATTAATAAATAAATACATTATTATTATTTTTCACTGGTGAATTTAGTCAAATTTCAGTATTTAAATAAATAAATAAATGAATTATGTAGAAATTCGACTGAAGAACATTAAATTATTATTCTGTTAAATAGAGTTAAATAGAATATCTGATAATTATAAATTCTGATAAATGGAAATTATGATAATTAAATATTTCATGAACTAGATAATCTGCTGCAATAATGTTGGATAAAAAAGAAATTCCGTTAGATAAGAAATCAGTTAATTAAATATTCTTTTGAAACGAAAATGCAGCTAAACAGAAATTTGATATAATAAATTTAGGAACAGTGAAAATTCGAACAAATTTTTTTATAGAAATTTTCATGCATTCAGAAATTTTATGAGATTTTTCCTGATTTAATGAACCAAAATGAAATTCCATGACAATTCAATGATTTCAATCTTTTTCATAAATTGTAGAAACTCTGTAATATATTTAACGAAATTTTAGTCAAACTAGAAAAAAATTCAACTAGAAAATTTTCAATTTATAAAAATTATTAATATTGAATTAAAAGGAGAAATTCAATTAATTCAAATTAAAAAATTTCAAAAATTGATTAAATGCTAAAAAATTTTTTGTTGTTTAATTATTTAAAATTCTTTGCTAACTCAATATTAATTAAAAATTGTTATTTATTTTACAATTTAAAATCCCAAAGTTCAAGTAAATCGTAAATCGATAATAAATAAATAAATTTAAAATAAAATTTCGATTTCGAATAATTCTCGTTCTTCCAATTCTCTGTTTTCCTTCAAACATGAATGACTTTTCTCAACGTCTATACTTGTAATTGTAGATGAACTATTTTTACACACTTTATCATTAAGGAAAATTAAACGAATTGATAAAATGACACAAACCTCATGCCTTCCGTTGACTTATTACCGCAATTGCGTATAAATTGAGGTACGCCCAACATTGCCTCAGTTAATACAGCCAACAATCCCACTACCTCAACGAAAATAGGAACATCCAGGAAGAGGTACATTAAAGCTCCACAGACCATTCCAAAGATCAGGATAAAGTTGAGATACGATTGGAAGTCTGTCCATTTCCAAAAGAATTTAATGTCCATATCTATTGAAATTAGTATTAAAAAAAAGAAGCACTAATAATTGTTTTTTTTCTGTTAGTCAAAGCGAAAAATTTTTTCTTTTTCGAAAAATCATACATAAAAGCCATGAGAATTTTTTCTCCTTTGTGGCTTGTGACGAGAACAAAAATTGGTTCAAATTAATTATTAAATTGTAAAATTAGTCATAATCAACAAAATTGAATATATTAAATATATAAATATGCCAAAAAGTATTAAAAATACTAAAAAGTTTTAAATATACTAAATAAGTATTAAAAATACTAAAAATATCAATTAGATCCCAAAATTAAGGAAAAACAAATTTTAAAAGTTAAAACCAAAAACTACTAAAAAAAAATGTTAAAAAATTAGAATTTTCCAGAAGAAAAAAAATATACTAAAAAATATTAAATATACTAAATAAAAATAAGTATTAAGAATACAAAAAATGTAAATTAGATCCCAAAATTAAAGAAAAACAAATTTTAAAAATTAAAACCAAAAACTACTAAAAAAATGTTAAAAAATTGAATTTTCCAGAAAAAAAATTTCATTTCAAGCAAAATTTAGTAGTGAATTATTTTATCATCAAGGATTAAGAATCAAAAAAAGTTTCTCCTCTTACCAGTAAAAACTCTTTCCCTGGATTTTATAATTTGATTTTTGGCACGGATATTAATACACAGCCTAATCATTAGAAGCATTGTGATAATCATAAGAATACTTTGTAACAATAAAGGCAATTCGAATCGCTTTCCAAACCTGAAACATTTTTTTCATTAGTTATTTTGCATTACAATAAAATTAAATAAAAATTACAATAAAATTCATTAAAATTCACGAAATCAATTAAATTATTAAAATTTACCTGTAAATAATATTTAATATAAAATTTATCTGTAAATAGTTCTAAAAAATTTCTAAACACTTACATTTTTCATTTTGTAAAAATTTTTTCTTACTGAGAGCAAAAAAATTAAATAAATTAAATTCAATAAAAATGTGTGTTGAAAATTTTGAAACGACATTATTTTTTAACAGGAGAACGAAATATTATTCTAAAATTTGAATTTGGAAAAGAAATAAATAAATTTCGTTCATTTTAACGTGAAGAACTTTTGGGCAATTGACAGGCCTCGGAATGACTTTAAGGCTAAAAAAAAGTCTATTTAGTTAATGAAAAATACAAAAAAAAGTCGTTTATTAAATTCAGTGTTGACACAAAAATATTATTTTGTATTGCTGATTTCTAAATTCAATTATTCAAAAGTTGAACAATTTTGTTAATTAAATATCTTTAAATACTTATTTTTACGACGGGAAATAAAATCTAAAAATTTTCAATTTGAAACCTTTTGAAATTTAATAATTTTTAAAAATTACAATTACATTTCCAAAATTAAATTATTTTCGACAATTTTTAACTAAACTTCATTTCTAAATCAATTATTTTTTTTATAATTTTTCAACAGTTCTTCGAGAATTCAATTATTTAAATACAAAAATTTCATTTTTTATAATAATTGTAACTGTCTTATTAATATTTTAGAGAAATTATATTCGTGTTTGTAATTAAAATTCTTCTTCTTCATTTCGTTATTTTTGTTTAAATTTTTCAAAAATTCAATTATTTTTAAAAGACTTTATCAAATTTCAATTGATTGAAATTTTGTTTGTTTGTATATAATTGAAAAATGTTCATCTTTCAAAAATTATTTAAAAATATTTTTACTTAATTAATTTTAAGAATTTCTTTATTATATTTTTAAAAATTGAAAAGTGATTGAAGTATAATATTTAAAAAAAATTATAATAAAGAAATTCCTAAAAATAATTTTTGAAAGATAATAGTTTTTCAATTATATACAATTAAAAAATTCCAAACAATGGAAATTTTGTAAAGTCTTTTAAAAATAATTGGATTTCTTGAAAAATTAATACCTAACTCTAAAAAATTATGATTAAATAATTCTAAAAATTTTTTTTTTTTTGAAATATTATAATCTAATTTATCAAAAATAATTGAATTTCTTAAAAGAATTTAAAAAATTATTTAAAAAGTAATTTTTTGAAGAATTGTTAATTAAAAATTTTGAAAATGATTGTTTTTTCCAAAATGTTAAAAATAATTCTAAAAAATTGTAATCTTATTATTTTTTGTATGTATTTCAATTTTCGGAAATATGCAATTAAAAATAATTGAATTTTAGAAAATTAGAATAAAAAAGTTCTTGGAATACTAAACACCTACTATAGTGAATTTTACAATTGAAGATTTTTCATCAAATTTGTTCAGTATTCAAATATTTTCAAAATTTTGCAATTAAAATTCTTCAAAAGTTGATCCTTAAAAATTTGTAATAAAATACTTTAAAAAATCAATTATTTTCAATTTAATTTCACAAAATTTCATTTATTCAAAATATTTTTAATTGTACACTTCGAGAATTTAATTTGAAAATTTATTCAAAAAGAATTTTCAAAACTTTTGACTATAATTATTTTTTATAATTTTATTTTTTACATTATAAAAATATTTTATAAATATCCGAAAAAGTCAATAATATCCGAGGCCTGGATTGAGAATAAATATTGCGAAATAGAAAATATAAATCAGAATGTGGAAATAAATTAAAATTAACAGTGAGTAAACGATGAACAAAATAAAAAATAAAACAGTTAATGAGTTAAAAAAAACAATTAATGAAAGAAAAATAAAATGAATGAAGAAAAATAAAAAATCAAATGAAGAAATAAAACAATTAAATTTAAATAAATATTACTCGACATTTCCTAAATTTGTAATAATTACACAGAAATATGTCACGGAAGACAAAAAAATCTTTTTTACTTTTTTATAACAATAAAATAATTTATAATACTTTACTGTATTATTTTCAGTAATTAATGCATCATTACTAACAATGCTAACAATATTAATTACAAATATTAATTACGAGTATCAAAAAAACCGATTCACTCTAAAAAACAAGAAATTAAAATACAATTTACTCTTCATTATGTTTATAAACCATTTCGACACGAATAACTATAAATATAATTTAAATACATTATCAGCAATTAAAATAAAAAAAAATGTTAATTTAATACAGATTATAAATGTTTTTATATTGAATACATACCAGAAGAGGATCCGCAGAGTATTGGCAATTAATAGAGCTAAACACACATAAAGTGAAAATCCTTCAGGATCTTCTTTATTTTTAATTTGTCTATACTGTGGAATATATGGCACCACACCACCAAAAATCATTGCACCCGATGCAATCCATCCCGCAACATTTGCAAACGTTATATCCTCATAATTCTCCAACATTTTTGTTTCGTTAAAATTTTCTGATAATCTAAACGTGGCATTTAAAGATAAGCTAACTAATTTTTAATGTAACCTCTTCATCACTGAATAAATGAAGTTACAATTCCACAGTTGATATGATGATTCATCGTCAACAAATACATTTAATTATTTATTAGCTTTGTTTCAACTCAAAAACCTGTTGATAAAAGTACATGCATTATAATAATTAACATATAATGAATAATGCACAGAAAAATTTAATTTTTCTAACAGGTTATGTTTGCAGGGGGAATAAAAGAAAAAGACGAAAAATATTATCAATAATTCTTACCGTTACTAGTTTCATCAAATTCGTCGATAATATCAAATCTATAACAATTATAAACTATTGTAAATTTTCTCTCTTCAAAAATTACATAATTTATTTTATAAAAAAAATTGACGTTTTGTTACAATAGAAGCAGAAGCAAGAAGTGTCAAAACAAAACTTGTTTTTGCGCCGTCACCACCATAAACGGTCAGTGGGGGAACTAATTCTTAACCTCTTGTACTTACAAATCTTGAATTGCGGAATTTTTGGAAAAAAATAAATTGTTTAACAACTTAATCACGAAGAGTGATTAAATGATAAAGGAAATTGCAATTTCCGTAAATTAAGGAAATAGCGAAAACAAGTAAGTTCTGCTTTTGAAGTATTTTTCGTATTTACGAAATTTAACCTTGTTTACATTTTTTATTTTCTCGTCGATTTATATATTATTTTCTATATCTTTTATTCTAGAGACATATTTTGTATCGTATTTTTTATCACGTTTTTTCTAACAAAATTTGTTTTTAGACAAATTTAAACGAAACAATTTTCTTTAATTATTGAAATCAACAGTTATCTCTATTTTGTTTCCATTGTTCGTGAAACAAATAACTCCATTCTTTTGTTTTCTCTCTACAGAAAATAATGGCAACTTCCCGAGTTAACCAAATTCTGAGACAAAAACGTTTTTTATATAATTTACCAGCAATTCCCATATGTTGCTCCAAATTTCCTTCCCATTCGCAAGTTTTCTATTCAAATCAGAGTCAAAATGTGCCAGCAAAAAGTGATCGATCAAAATCGAGAAATCAGATCCAAACCGGATTTGCGGAAGTAGGTAAACGTTTTTTTTTTTACCTTTCAGGTTTCACAGTGCCCCTAAAAAGTATTTTAGGGGAAATAGGGTACTGAAAATTAAAAAATAGGGAACTTTTAGGGGATCATAAAAATTGCTTAATTAAAGATAAAAATATAATTTATTTATAGACAGATACTCAAAGAAAATGTTTTATTAAATTTATTTACAAATTTCTTCAAAAGTAAAATTATTCGAAAACATCAATAGTTTTATTTAAAATAAAAATTTAATCATTTTTTTTCATTGGAATTAAGATGTTCAAAAATTTCAAATTCAAACCTTTTCAAATTAAACAACTCATAAAAATATTATTATAAAACATAAAGAAATGGATCACTCCGAGTCGAAGACTCGGAGTGATCCATTTCTTTCTGTTTTATAATAATTAAAGATGACCGACTGACAAAATAATTATTTTATTATTATAAGAATATTGTTACTGTAATAAAAAAAAAATAATAAAAAAAACTTTTTCAAAAAAAATTAATTTTACAAAATTGTTAGTTAAAAGTACGAAAAACAATAATTTAATTCTACGAGAAATCAATTATTTAAATATAAAAATGAATGATATTGAATGTTTCTTAAAATTTTATTTTTACGAAAAATTGTATTAACAACTTTTGAAAATATTTAATTTCTTTTAAGGAATTTAATTAAAATTTTAATTAAATTTATTATATTAAAGAATTTTATAACGATTTTTGGAAATACAAATTGAAAACTTTTTGAAGAATTTTATTTAATTTTTTAAAAATAATTGAATTCCTGAGAAGAATTTAAATAATAATGTTTAAAAACAATTGAATTCATGAGAAGAATTTTATTAAAATTTTCGAAAATAATTGACTTCTTGAGCAGAAATTTCTAAAAAAATTTTGACAATAATTTAATTCTTGAGAAGAATTTCCCTATCTATTTATAAAGATAATTTAATTCTTGACGAGAATTTTTAAACAATTTTGAAAATAATTTAATTTCTGCAAAGTATTTTATTACTTTTCAAAAGAATTTAATTCTTCTGATGAATATTGGTATTTATCAAAATAATTGAATTTTGGAAAAGAATTTTACTAAAATTCCTTAGAATAATTGATTTTATGTGGAGAATTTATGCGATTTTGTTGTTTATCAAGCTAATTGAATTCTTTTGCAAAATTACTTAAAAATTTTTGAAAATAATTGATTTTCTGCCACGAATTAAATGTTATTTATGAAAATATTTGAATTACATATTGCAACGAATTTTATTGTTTTATTGAATAATTGAATGTTTCTTAAAATTCAATTCTTTCCTCAAGTTTTAATAAAATTTTTCATAATAATTGCATTTTTCAAGGAATTTATTTAAAATTGTATTAAAAATATTTAAAATTCTCCAATGAAAATAATTGAATTCGTAAATGAAATTTTATTATTTATGAAAATAATTGAATTTTTTCGTAGAATATTGTATGAACAAGTTTTTTCTATAATTAAATGTGTTGATAAATTTTATGAAAATAGTAAATATTTAAAAACATTTAATTGCAAAAAAATTTTGAAAATAATTGAAATTTTGCAGAGAATTTTATTTAAATTTTTGAAAATAATTGAATGTTTGGCGAAAAATGTTGCTATGTATAAAAATAATTGAATTCTTGACGAGATATTCATTAAAATTTATCAAAATAATTGAATTCATGCAAAGTATTTTATTAAATTTTGTTTAAATAATTGGAATTTTGCCCAGAATTTAATAAAAATTTTTGACAATAATTGAATTCTTGAGAAGAATTTTGATATTTATCAAAATAATTGAATTTTGGAAAAGAATTTCATTAAAAATCCTTAAAATAATTGATTTTATGGGGAGAATTTTGTTGGTTATCAAGATAATTGAATTCTTTTGCAGAATTACTTAAAAAATATTTTAAATAATTGATTTCCTGCGACGAAAAAAATAGAAAAAAAAAAAAAAATTTTGAAATTTTCAAAATAGGGTACGTTTAGGGACCAAAATTAAAAAAGGGGACTTTTAGGGAAATAGGGGACAGACTATGAAGCCTGACCTTTTCTTTCTCTATTTTTTAAATAAAAAATATGAAAACTGAAAAAGGAGAATTTTGAAAAAAATGTAAGTTTTTCTTTGTTTTTGTAGTAAAAGAGAACACAAAATCAGCTTGGTACTTGTGTGTTATTATTGGAGGAGTTGGAGTAACTGCTGGTATTTTTTATACAATATTGAAAGAATTATTTTCCGAGAGGAGTATAAATGGAATTTATAATAAAGCCACGAAGCGATGTTTACAAGATTCGCGAATTTTGGACGCTCTTGGGGAACCAGTTAAGGCATACGGGGAAGAAAGTCGTCGAGGACGACGAACTCACGTGAGGTAATTTTAATTTTCAAAGTAATTTCATTATTTACAGTTCATTATATTAATATATTTTATTTTAATTTTTATTCACTTTAATTTATCAATAAAATTCAATAACTTAAATTTACATTTAAACAAATTACACGCAAAAAATATTTTTTCTGGAACATTTACAAATTTTATTACATTAGCGAAATTTTTAGTTACTTCAGTTAAGACTTTAGCTATTCTAGAGAAAATTATCCATGTTTCAGGTGAAATATTTTTTCCGAGTATAAAATAAAATTTTAATTAACCGAATTCGATTAAATGATAAATCAGTTCGCTGAGATTTTGTTTAATCAAAAAATCGGTTAAATAAAATTCACTTTACTAAAAAGTCTCTAAAATGCAATATTTCAATGAAATTCAAGCGAATTTCTGTTGAATAAAATTTTTTCCAATTTGTCTCTTGTTTCAAATTCAATATTATTAATTATTAATAATGAACATCAAACCAAAAATAATTGGAGAAATTTTTATTTCTCGATTTAAAATAAAAAAATATAATTTGTAATTTATTCTAAATCTATTAAAAGTACTCTAAATTTTCTAAATTTTATTTAATCAAAAAATTCTGCACAAATCAAATTTTCTGCTAAATTCGACTAAAATGATAATTTAGTAAGTAAATAATTAAAAGCAAATTCTGTTAAATAAAAATTTCTCTGATTGTCTCTTGTTTCGAATTCGATAATTTATATTTATAACAATGAAGAATATTGAACAAAGGGCGATTGGAAAAATTTATGTTTCTCCGACTAAAATAAAAAAACTGCATATTTTTAATTAAAATAAATACTGTAAATCTGCTAAATTTTATTTAGTGAAAAATTACACTAAAATAAAATTCAATTTACCAAAAATTCTGCTATATTTGACGTAAATAATAAAAATATAAATACTGATAAATTAAACTTTTTCCAATTTTCTCTTATTTCGAATTCGATAGTATACAATTATAATAATGATTATTATCAAACAAGAAATAATTGCAAAAATTTTTATTTCTGTAATTGAAATAAAAAAATCCATTTATTTATAATTTACTGTAAGTCTGCTCGCTTGATTTCATTTAATCAAAAATTCTTATAAAATAAAATTTTCTCTACTAAAATTTCTCCTAAATTCGACTAAATAATTAAAAGCGAATTCTGCTAAAAATTTTTCCAATTATCTATTATTGTTTCCAATATTCTCCAAATAATTGGAGAAATTTTTCTATAATAAATAGAATTTTGTATTTCTAAAATTAAAATAAAAAATTTCCAAATTTATAGTTTATTATACTGTTCTTTATATCAATGTTTTATTACTTTCAGACACAATATTATCATGCAAAATGGAATTAAGCACGTGAGAATGCAATTTTACGTTCAGGGAATCCGAAAAAGGGGAACTGTACACTTAGAAGTCAAGGAGGTAAATTTAGTAAAAGAAAAAGTTAATTTTAAATTAAAATTAATTATTTAATTAAATTAAAATTAAAATTTAATTAATTAATAACTATTAAAATATGCAATTTAATTTTAAATTAAATTTAATATAATTTAATAAAAACCTAATTTAATTTTTAAAGAAAAAAAAATGATAATTGAAAATAATGTCAGATTTTTATCGAAATGTACCGGAATAATTAGTTTTTACATATGGAATACAAAATAACAAAGTTTCTTTTTATTACAGACACAATCTGGAGATTACGAGTACGTTTATTTAATCGTAAAATTGGAAGATATGTTCCGTTCAACTATTATTTTGGAAGATATTCGGAATTCCGCGCCAACTATAACTGCAACTAATGAACTGACATCTCCAATGTTTTAAGTATATAATATTTACAAAACAAAACTCTATAATGGAACAAAAAAAAATCCGAATTCGCGAATTTCGATAAATCGCAACTAGTCGTTCATCAACTTCCTGTATATATAATTTTTCATTTTATATAAAACTTTTTAAATACTGTTGTTGAATTATCAGCAAGCGTAATTTACGATTTCGCCGATAGTTTTAAATAAAAGGATAAAAATATTATTAAAAGAGCCGTCTCTTATTTTTATCTATATTATTCTTTACGTTTGCAATTTTTCTTCCATAATTATTACTATTTTCTTTTAATACGTTTTTTTAAATAATTTATTTTTATTCAACAAATCTAACAGTAGAACAATTATAATATTTTATTATTTAATATTTTTTTAAATATCTACAAATTTAATATTTTTTCTGTTTAATTTGAAAGAATCCGTAGAATTCACACTAGTTTTGGCGTCTAGTAAATTTTTCTATAAATATATTTTCAATACTTTGTAATTTTTTTAGTTCTTGAAACAAGAAAGTTCTTCTAAACAAAATGAAAAATCCCAAAGTTACAAAAAAAATCGACTGGGAGCTAAAACTAAAGTAAACTCTGCGAGTTTTTTCGATAAACAAAACGTTAAATTAAACGACCGAGTAATAAAACCATCATTTTTGTTAAATTTAATTAATTATATCAATTTAATAAAATTAAAAAAAAAAATAAAAAAAAAAAAAAAAATAAAAAAAAAAAAAAAAAAAACAAAATAAAAAAAATAGAAAAATATATTTATAGAAAAATATTTTCTATAAAAAACCATTAAATAGTTTATTATTATTTTAACATTTTTAACAGAATTGTGTATTTCTTGATAATGTAATTTTCTTTTACACCTCTTTCAATCTCAAATCACTGTTATTTTATTAGAAACAAAAAAAAAAACAGAAAATGCTAAATTAAATGCGTTGTTTTGATTTTTTTAATTTGAAGCTTTCACGGTTGAGCGAGATAATTATGAAACGGGTGTGTCGAGGTTTATTCGATAACATATGTAATATATATTCTCTCTTCATTGCCTTCGTAAAAATTATTCCTATTTTCAACACCATGAAATATTTACAAAAAATTAAATTTCTATTTATTTTTATCTAGAAACTGAAAATTTGAAGTTTAACAGTATTTATAAAATTAATCACTATTCTTATCGTTAATAAAAAATTTTAAGTTTGGATTTTTTCAAAATTTAGTTTAAAATTTTACAATGAAAAATGAAGCGATTGGCCTACATAAAGTTTAAATTTTAATGTAGAAAAGCAAATTTATTTACTTATCATAATGAGAAAGCTAAATGACCATGAAATGAATAACTAGTTTAAATATTTAATTAGCCTTCTATTGTAAACACAGAAATTATAATTTATAACTTATTTAGTTTATTAAAATCAAATTAAATTTAATTTAAATTAAAAATTTTTAGTTCCATATTTTTAATTTTCACTGTTGTCAGAATTTTTCTTACAATAATATTCTACTTTATCAGAAATTTCTAAAGAATAATTTTTTTCTTTTTAAAAATTTTCAAAAAATAAATTTTCTATTAAGCTCTTAACAGTTCACTTCAATTTTTTCTATCTCTTTTATTTAAAAATCCTTCAGTTCATAGAATTTTTAATTTCTAATTTAGATTTTAGATATAACTGACATTTCTGAAAACATCAATTATTTAGCAGAATTTTTGTTCAATGGATTTTAAACTTTTTCATTGCAGATAATTGTCCCATATTCAAATTTATACCTATTTAACATAATTTTCATTTAACAATATTTCTATATTTACTACAATAGTTTTTTAATTGGATTTTTACGAACAGAATTATTTAATACGAATAAATTGAATTCGAAAAAAATATAAAATTTTAAAATATGTTTAACTTTTTATTTTAAACTATTTTAAACTATTTTGAATCGTTTGTGACTATTTTAAAAAGTTTTTAATTATTTGTAACAATTTTAAAATGTTTTGAACTATTTTGAACTATTTGAAAATTTATAAACTACTTATTTTAATAATTTAATAATTAGTGAAAAAGTTCTTTGAGGATTTTTTAAATTCATTTGTTTACAATTCAATTTTACAAAATTTCAATTATTCGTTAGAATTATTATTTATTAGAAAAAAAAACGAAATAATTTTAATGAAAAATCCGCAATCAAACATTCTCAAATTATTATTTATTAGAAAAAAAACTTGAAATAATTTTAAAAAAAGTCCTTAATCAAATTTTCTCAAAAAAAATTAATTCCACAGAATTGTTAGTTAATAATATGAAAAATTCAGATTTTCAAAGATTTTAATTTGAAACCGTTTCAAAAATCAATTATTTCTAAAATCTCACGCTCTAATCCTTTTAATATTCAATTACAGTGAGTTCTCGCGAGTCCTTCAATTCTCGAAAATTTTCAAGATCATAAAACTCACGAGTCGTTCAACGCATAAACCACGCCTCCAAGGCGATTTCAGGGATGTGTGAAACATATTTATCGCCCCGAAAGACACAATATTCAATGGCTTTGGTCCGTTTAAATTACGCAGCACTGAGCACCAGCGCGCGCATACCAGAAATTGAACGACTCGTGAATCGGACACTGATCAGCTGTTGAACGACTGACGAGTTTGAACGACTCGTGAGTTGAACGACTCGCGAGAACTCACTGTACAATCTAAAATTTTAACTGAAATCCATTTTCAAATCAATTTTTATTAGAAAATTCTTTGAGAGAATTCAATTATTTAAATACAGAAAAAATAATTTATTGAATAACTGCATATTTCTGAAAATATAATTCTCATAAAGAAATTTATCAATACATTTTTAAATAATTGAATTCTTTTGACGAATTTTAATAAAATTTTTAAGAATAATTATATTTCTCGAAGAATTCGATTAAAATTGTATTAAAAATAATTTAAATTCTGCAACGAGTTTTATTATTTATGAAAATAATTGAATTCCTAAAAAGAATTTTATTTTTTATGAAAATAATTGAATCCCTGTAAAAATTTTATTATTTATGAAAGTAATTGAATGATTGAGAAGAAATTTATAAAAAAATTTGTAAATAATTGAATTTCTGTAAAATTTTTATTATTTTATGAAAATAATTAAAGGTTTGAGTAAATTTTTTGTTAAATAATTGAATTCTTATATGGAAAATTTTATTAAAATAGTAGATATTAAAAATCATTGAATTGAGGAAAATGTTTGAAAATAATTGAAATTTTGCCATGAATTTTATTAAAATTCTTGAAAATAATTGAATTTCGGAGAAGAATTTAATGATTTCTAAAAATAATTGAAATTTTGACGAGTATTTAAAAAAAATTTTTTAAATAATTGAAATTTTGGCAAGAATTTTATTAAAATTTTTGAAAATAATTGAATTTCGGAGAAGAATCTAATTATTTCTAAAAATAATTGAAATTTTAACGAGAATTTAAAAACAATTTTTTAAATAATTGAAATTTTGACAAGAATTTTATTAAAATTTTTGAAAATAATTGAATTTCGGAGAAGAATCTAATTATTTCTAAAAATAATTGAAATTTTAACGAGAATTTAAAAAAAAATGTTGAAAGAATTGAAATTTTGCCAAGAATTTTATTAAAATTTTTCAAAATAATTGAATTTCGGAGAAGAATTTAATGATTTCTAAAAATAATTGAAATTTTAACGAGAATTTAAAAAATCTTTTTAAATAATTGAAATTTTGCCAAGAATTTTTTTTATTAAAATTTTTGAAAATAATTGAATTTCGGAGAAGAATCTAATTATTTCTAAAAATAATTGAAATTTTGACAAGAATAAAAAATTTTTATACATAATTGATTTTCTGCGAAGAATTTTATTACTTTTGAAAATAATTAAATTTCTGCAATCATTTGTAATTTCTCTAAAATTCTCTAAATTATATAGTACAATTTACGAACTTTTCGTCTTTTCTCAATCAAATTATGGACTTTACGGACTTTTTTTTAAAAAATTGTCTTTCTCCAACGCTTGCTCTGAAAGGAGTACTTTTCTTGGTTGAAAAGTGTGGCGAAAGTAGATCTTTTCTCAACTGCTCTGAAGAGCGTGGCGAAAGTAAAATTTGGCGTGGCGAAAGTAAATTCAGCGTGGCGAAAGTAAATTTGGCGTGGCGAAAGTAAATCATGAATTTATTCTTTTTTCTTGTTCTTTGACCGAGATTTATTTTGTATCTAACTTCTTCCCCACTCAAAAAATTCATCTTTTATTATATTAAACATAAGCACACGTTAAATTAAAATTATACGAAACTCACGAAGAAACCTTTCCTCGCAAGGCGTTGGAGAAAACGTAGTGCACAACTCGTGGTGAAAGAATGATTTTTCTCGAGCGATTGCTGCTCTCGCTACGCTCGAGCCGCAAACTTCACTCTCGAAAAATCACACTTTCGCCACTAGTTGTACAATGTACTATTTACGGACTTCAAGCAAATTTACCTTTAATTATAATCTATAAATTTATATTATACACACTGAAAAAAAAATTTATTTGATTAAAATAACCGATTACTTGTCTACTATTAAATAAACATTTACTTGAATCGAATAATTTTTATTAAAATCAAATAAATTATATTTAAACCCATAAATCTCAGTATTTTAAGCAAATATGAATTGAAGCATTTGATTTAAATAAAAATTATTTGTTTCAAGTAAATATTTATCTGACAATAGATTCGAAGTAATCGACTGTTTGAATAAAATACATTTTTTTCATTGAATCTAAGTCAGTAACTTCAAGAAAAAAACATTTAAATTTTAATTAAATTTAATAAATTTAGAGAAATGATAATTTTTTTAATAGTAGATAATAGAAAAATTAATAGCAATGGAAAAAAAAATTAATAGAGAATAAATAAAGAGAATAAAATAATAGAGAATAAAAAAATTCCTTTTAAATTCGGTTTAGAACTAATTATAAAAAAACTGACGATTTAATGAGTTTCCATTGTGATCCTCATGACAATTTCGACAAATAATATTATCATTATAACATTAATACAAAAAAATCTTTATCAATAAAATCGCTTATCAATATCATCATTAGGAAATTTGAGTGTAAAATAATGACTGACCTGAGGAGAAGCAGAAGAAGAATAAGAAGTGGCTAATTGATTCTCTATAAATGTCGGTTGGGAGATGGAAATTCTATTGAAGACTGCATGTGTACAAGGTGTCGATATAAGACACCTATATCCTCCACTGGGTTTGTTTCAGTTGTTTTCCAACAAGCAAGGCGAGTCGTTTACTCATCAAGATTTACTTTTTTTCCCAAGTTGTAAATCCAAATGGTTACATCAAGATGACAGATAGTCGTAACGAAACTCCTCACCGATTCTGGTAAATCGGTTGCATCACACAACTTTGACCGTGTCCCTCATGATTTTCATAAAAGGACTCGAGAATTATCCTGCAAAATACAAAATAGTGATTCAGTGATTTTACTTTCGAGATAAATAAACTTTTTTCTTCTAATTTAAGTGAATTTACAAAAAAAAAAGGAAAAAATGGGTATTTGTTTTTCCTGCTGTAGACCGAAACGCGATAGTGCTCGTGAAAAATCGCCCTTGGAATTAGGTGAGATTTTGTTTATTTACAAAATTCAATTTCACTATTTTATTGTTTAATTACAATTCAATAAAAAATTCGAATTTAATATTTCAATTAGAATTTGAAAAAAATCGAATTTTATATTTTAATAACAATTTGAAAAAAATCGAATTTTATATTTTAATAACAATTTGGAAAAAATCGAATTTTATATTTTAATTACAATTTAGAAAAAAGTAGAATTTAATGAATCATGTGAATTTAATACAAAGTTCGAATTCAAAGCAACATTCGAATTTAATACAAAATTCAAATTCAAAACAGAATTATAGTTCAATTACAAATTAAAAATAAAATTCGAATTCAATACAAAATTAAAATTTGAATTTAAAAAAAATTATAATTTAATTGCTAATTAAAAATAAAATTCGAATTCAATACAAAATTTGAATTTAAAACAAAATTATAACTCAATTGCAATTTTAAAATAAAATCCGAATTTAAAACAAAATTATAATTCGAATTTATATCAAAACTGTAATTAAATTGCGAATTAAAAATAAAATTCGAATTTAATACAACATTTTAATTTAAAACAAAATTATAATTTAAATTTCAAAAGAACTATAATTCAATTGCGAATTAAAAATAAAATTCGAATTTAAAACAAGATTGGAATTCAAGTGCGAATTAAAAATAAAATTCGAATTTAAAACAAAATTATAATTCCCTTACGAATTGAAAATACAGTAAAGAAATTATTTATTTAAGAATACCGAGCGGCGATTACAAATTTAATTTAAAATTCTCCTCTTTAATTACAAATTGCAAAGTTAAATCCCACAATTTCGTTAGAAATGAAAATAAAATTACAAATTCCTCACAAATGGAGACAAAACTATATTTCAATTACAAAAATCGAATGAGTTAAAATAAAGTAAAAGTTTATTTGAAATCCAATCATTAATTTATAATTAAAATTAGAATTAAATTGTAAATTTTATTTTCACTATAAAGAAGTAAAAAAAAAGAAAAAGAAAAAAACTGTCGTTGAACTTGAAATTATTTCCACAATATGAAAAGTTTCATAATTAGGAGAGATGCTCTAATTCTCCGAGGGCACATTAATTATATCTACAAAGTAAGAGAGATGAATTTTGAGGAAATTGTTAATGCTCCTTGTAAATTATAAATTTTGCAAAGCAAAAACAAAAAATATTGTTCCTCGTGATTTGTATAATTTAAAAATAGAAATTCAATCTCAATTATTTTTCTTTCCATTCTTTTCTATTTCTCATAAAAATTTATTAGATATTAAACAAAAAATTTCCGGAAATAATTATAAAGAAATAGCAACAAATATCTCTGAAGTTAAGATTCAGTAATCTGAATTCAAAACTCAATGCATTTGATCTTCCTATTAAAAAGGTTAATCGACTGCAGTCGCGAGGGTGAAAGAAATTAATTTCCATCACATTGCAAATTTTAAATAGCGATTTTTTACTTTTACGAATTATTTCAATTAACCATAATCACGCGAAAGTAAATATTTTCCTTAATTTATGTATGAAAAATATTGAGAATAATAATTATAATTATAATAATTTATTTACCTATTTTATTTTATTTTTAAACACTGTAATAATAATAACAAAAATAATAATAAAAAAGAATAACAATAAAAAATATAATTAATAGAAAAATAAAAATGTGTAATGATCAAAATAATGATAATAAAAAAATTATAATAATTAAAATATAAAAATAAAAATAAAATTATTATTAGATATGTTGTGAGCAATTATAATTTTTGTAATCATTAGAAAATAATATTGATTATTATGTCCCATCCCTCGAAATAAAAATGATGCGAACTGCAAATTTTCTTATATTTAAAGTTTCCCCTTATAAAAGATTCCATTAAATCAGAATTCTGCTAATTAAAAATTCGTTTAAACAAAAATTTGTACAAAAATTTGTTTAAATAAAATTCTCATCTGTATAAAAATTCGTTTAGATAAAAATTCGCGGAAGTAAAAATTCTTGTTAATGAAAATTCTTATAAATAAAAAGCCTCTAAAATAAAAACTTTTCTAATTTTAAAATTCTATCAAATGAAAATTTAACCAATAGAAAATTCTATACAATGAAATTCTGGCAACTGAAAATTTTGACAAATAATTTTCAATGTGTTTCAATTAATTTAATTTAATTTACATAATTTCAATTATTATTTTGCGAATAATTACAATTTTTTCAATTATTAGAAAATAATTTATTAATTATTATATTGCGAATAATTACAATTTTTTTAATTATCAGAAAATAATATTAATTATTATTTTAAATCAAATTTATAATTCTTACACCACTTTTTCTGAAAAATATCGAATTATTTAGTAGAAAATGTTGTTTAAACAATTTGGAGTGGAACTGACAGTTGTACAATTTCAACGAGAAGGATTTTCTCTTTCAAAGTGTTTGTTTGTAAAATTCAATTGCTTCTTAAAAATAACTTCCATAGCGAATTTCTCGAAATAGAGTTTTTACGTGCATTATGAATAAATATTTTCTTTTTTCGTTATTTATTTTTGTTTTTTTTTAATAATTTTTGTTATATTATAATTTTTCTTATTAACAATAATTGAAATTACTTTAATTTAATTTTTTAATTTAACATAATTGAAATTAAGATTCTTTTAAATTGAAATTATAAAAAAAAATTGAAAAAAAACATTTTTACTTTTCCATGGGTTTAAAAATAAAATAAGAAAAAATAAATGATAAATAAATAAAAATAGTCTAAAAATGGTGAATTTTAATTTCGACGATTGTTTATTACCAGGATTTGAAAGAAAGATCCTTTTTCATGAAATACATTTTAGATTAATTCGTAATTAACGATATTCCACCAAGATCGCCAAGTATGATAATAATTATAATTTAAGTATAGATATAAATGCAAATGACATATTGATACTGTCACGTGTGAATAAAATATTTGCCAATAAAATAAAAGTAGAGAAGATAATTTTTTATCTTTCAATTTTACATAATCGTTTGACAAAATAAAAATTTTTATTACACTTTTTTATTTAAACAAATGTTAAAGAATGAGGTAAATAAAGAGTAAATATTTAATTTCAATGAGTAATAAACGATACAAAGAATTTTTTTTACCAAAAATAATTTCATAAGTTTACTTGTCGAAAAATGGAAATATTAATCTTACTCTAAATAAAAAATATTAATAAAAAATTTCCCATGAAATATGTGTGTAAGACGATGGAAAGAAATCAGAAGAAGGATTAAATTTTGAAAAGGAGAATTTTTAAAAATTGTAAAGAAATTTAGAATTAGGTGCGATTTCCGCTTTCGCGTATGAGGGACCTTGACTCCGATAAGGACGTAGTATTGGCATATAAAATACTTGGATATGCTTGCACTTGATCATATATTTAGAAGTCAAGGACTCAAGTCTGCCATGAATGAAAGTGAAATTACACAACTTGAAATCCAACTGAATGATATCATTTCTTCTTACAAATTTCTATATTAATTCCGTTCGCCTAAAAAGTACACGCCCAAACAATAAAATTAATGAAACACGTGAGACAATTTTCTTTGAAATACTATTTCCTTTCGAAACTAAATTTGAAAATTTTACTTTTATAATAAAACATTTTTTATATTAAATATAAATTTTTATGTTTTTACTACGTTAAACATTTTAACTATTTTCAACTATTTTCAACTATTTTCAACTATTTTCAATTTTTAAACTATTTTTAATTATTTTAAACTATTTTAAATTATTTTATACTATATTTTCAATTATTTGGAACTATTTTAAACTATTTTCAATTATTTTCAACTATTTTTCTATTGCGAACTATTTTGAACTATTTTCAATTATTTTCAACTATTATCAACAATTTTAAACTACTTTTGTATTTTCAATTATTTTAAACTATTTTTAAATATTATCAACAATTCTAAACTACTTTTCTATTTTCAATTATTTTCAATTATTTTCAACTATTTTAAACTACTTTCAAATGTTTTGAACTATTTTGAATTATTTTATACTATTTGCAATTATTTTGAACTATTTTAACTATTTTCAAAAATTTTAAACTATTTTTCTATTGCGAACTATTTTGAAATATTTTCAAATATTTTGAAATACTTTCAAATATTTTCAATTATTTTAAACTATTTTGAATTATTTTATACAATTTTCAATTATTTTGAACTATTCGAAACTATTTTCAAACATTATCAACAATTCTAAACTATTTTTCTATTTGCAATTATTTTCAACTATTTGAACTACTTTCAATTATTTTCAACTATTGTAAATTATTTTCAATTATTTTCAACTATTGTAAATTATTTTCAATTATTTTCAACTATTTTCATAATTTTAAACTATTTTTCTATTGCAAACTATTTTGAACTATTTTCCATTATTTACATTATTTCCATATTTTCAACTGTTTTCAATTATTTTTTTAAATATTTTAAACTATTTAACAGCATTTTAAACTATTTTCAATTTTTATTTTTTAACTATTATCAACAATTTTAAACGACTTTTCTATATTTTTAATTATTTTCAACTGTTTAAAATTATTTTTAATTATTTCATACTATATTTTCAATTATCTTGAATTATTTTATACTATTTTAAATTATTTTGAACTATTTTATACTATTTTTCAATATTATTAACAATTCTAAACTACTTTTCTATTTTCAATTATTTTAAATTATTCTGAATTATTTTATACTATTTTCAATTATTTTGAACTATTTTCAACTATTTTGAATTATTTTATACTATTTTCAATTATTCTGAATTATTTTCAACTATTTTCAAAGATTTTAAACTATTTTTCTATTGCGAACTATTTTGAAATATTTTAAATTATTTTCAACTATTTTAAACTACTTTCAATTATTTTGAACTATTTTCAACTATTTTGAATTATGGTATATTATTTTCAATTATTTTGAACTATTTTCAATTATTTTGAACTATTTTGAAAACTATTTTCAATTATTTCTAAATATTTCCAACAATTTTAAATTACTTTTCTACTTTGAAAACTATTTTCAATTATTTTTAACTATTTTTTTATGCTGTTTTCTAACTTAATTATATTTCAATTTAAAACTAAATCACCTTTATTAATTTTTCATTAAATATTTTCTATATTAGTAATCGTTGTATTCCGGAATAAAAAATCATAATTTAATTTGTTAATTAAATTCAACATTCGAATTCAAACAAAATTTATAAATGATTGTAAAAAACACAAATTTTTATTAATGCATACTATGGTTCCTTAAAAATTTATTTTTTTATGAAAAACAGAATTTTATTTATTTTAATGTTTCGTTCTATGTAGAATAGAAAATTTTATTTTTTACAATTTTCACATCACTTTTGTTCTAATTACTTTACTTAGACCAAATTTTTATCAATTCAGATTTAGGAAATAAGTTTAGTGATATTATTTTTGCAAGAAAAATTTTGAAATTATTTTCTTGTCCACTATTTTGCGTAAATTTTTTTTAATTTAAAAATTTTTTATTAATTAAAATTAGTTTTTATTAAAAAAATGTTAGGATAATTTTTGTAACTGTTATAATTTTGAATATGAAATAATTCAATTCATAAATATAATTTTATTGCATCTTTTGAAAATAATTAGGTTGTTTCGAAGAATGTAATTAAAATTTTTGAAAATAATCGAAATCTTATAAACAATTTTGATGAAAATTTTTGAAAATAATAGAATTATTCTTGCGGAAAATTTTAGTCAAATTTTTGAAAATAATTGAATTTCTACGAAGAATAATTTAAGGAAAAAGTTTAATTTTTGCGAAGAATTTTATGAATATTTTTGAAATATCATAATTAATCAATTTGTTAATAAGTGAATTTTTCTAAATTTTCAATCTTTGGAAGATTCTTTTTGTATCAATAAATTCAATACAAAAATATTTTCTTTACAAGGAAGAAAAATATAAAAATTTGTCAATAACAATCAATGAAAAACAAATTTCTTTGTAAATTGTAATTTTCTCTGCAGCAAAGATGCAATTCTTCAAAATTTCGTAAAACACTGAAACAAAATAAAAAGTTTTGTATAATTTTGCATAATAAAATGGGAAGAATGATTTCATCGGTCATCAGAAAATCTGTTTTTTTCTTTTTTCTAATTGTAAATGTATAATAAATCAATTGGTCTAGACGTATTCTTCACGTAATATATTAATCACTGACAAAAAGAGATTTATTTACAAAAATATAATTTAGAATACATTATTTTTGCCTCTTATTTATTTAAAAACCGTTAAATATCATTCGTTACAGTATTTATAAATTTAATTCATTTCCTCTTTTATTTAAATTTTTTTTATTTTCTAATTATTTTTTTATTTTTTATTATTATGGTTAGTAAAAAAATTTTAGAAAAAATATTCATCAATATAAGTTGATACGTTGATTCGTTTAAGAATAAGAAAATAAAAATAAATAAGTCGTGGAAAAAAATTTGTCTACAATTAAAAAATATTTTTCTATCAATTAAAATTTGTATTGAAAAAACAAAAATTACTTTTGATATTTGACGTGGAGGATTGATAATTTTCTTGACATTTTATATTATCTTTTACCGAGTGATAAATTCTACAACTATTTAAAAATTACTTCTATTTTTTTAGATAAATTATTAATATTTTTTAATCTTCAATTTCATTGTTATCGATAATAAAAAAAAAATTTCCGAAATAGTGTTGATAAAAAAGGGCAGTGCCCGTTTGAAAATAAATAAATAAAAATAAAAAAGTTATGGAGGAACAATTTGTTTGAGAGAATTAAAAAAATATTGAATTGTACAAACTAAAATTTGCAGCATGACAATAAAAAATACTGATTTTTCTTTGCAAGTGCCAAAACATTTATTGTCAAAAACATTTTAAAAAAAAGTCGTTAAAAATATTTATGTGAAAATAGTGTATAAAATGATGAAACCGCGTGTGGTAAGAGTTTAATACAAAATAATAGACATAAATAAAAAAGAAAATGTAAATTATGCGCATCTATAATTGCTTCTTTTGTACAGAAGGTTTATTACACTTTAAGACTTTGAAATCCACACCTACAAGATTATGACAGCAATTTGTTTAAATTTATAAAATTATATATTTTTATTTTACAGCTAATTTCTATTTTTTGTCAAGAATTTTTTTTCTTTCTTCTCTTTATTATTTTTTTCTATAAAGTCAAACAATAAACAACTTGTAAACCTTATTAGAAAAATTAAAAAACAATTACTTGACAATTATATACTTTAAAAGTTAAATTAAAATTCTTTTCACTTTCCATCACTTTTTACTTTTTTTTAGATAACAGAATATAATAGATAATAGAAACTGTGTCATTTTTTCCATGATGAAATTCAAAAATAAATATTTTAGATATTTTAGACTTCCTCTGTGAGTAAGAAATGTAAATATGTAATAAAATATTTACATAAATATATATTGTAATAATTACGTAATAGATAATAAATTATTTCAACGATTTTATGGACCCAAAGTAATTTTTTATTCTTGCTATTTTTTCTGGTGTATTTTCTATTAATTTTGAAAATTTTAATATTTTTCCAACTTGAGCTTATAATTTTACTACAAAAATAAAGTTATAATCACATCAGAAAATTTTACTGCGTATTTACCATAAAGTGTATAATTAATAATCAATAAATATTTTTAAAATATACATTTATGACTCAATCAACGCAATTTTAACGTTTATATATTTTTCTACTTTTTGCCAGATTTTTGCGATTATGTAAAACAATATCTATCAGTGGGGACTTTATTTCGGAAACTCTTTGGAAAAAACGAAAAAATATTAGATAAACCAAAAGGTAAAGATAATTTTCAATTTAATTATAAATCGAATGAAATTTTTTTTTTACTTTTTAATTTGGAGAATTAAGTTTTGAGTGTTTTAACAAATTTTTTAAAAACTTCATTTTTATTTTATTTCATTTTTATTTACTTATATTTATTTATTTACAATGTCGATTTTCATTTAATTTACTTTTATTTATTTATTTTATATTATTTTATTTGTTTATCAATTTATTCAATATTTATTTATTTAAATATAAACTCTTTGGAGAAAAAGAAAAAAAATAAAAAATCAATCCAATAAAAATTCTTTGCAAATTTTTTATTTAAAAAATGAATTTTTAAGCATTTTTATTAATTTTTTAAAATTTATTTGATGTATTTGTTTACTTATTTAGTTATTTATTCAATAATTAAATTTTTTAAATTATTTTATAATTTAATATTAATTTTTAATTAAATAAACCACAAAGTAAAAACCAATTTCAATAAAATTTTAAATTAATCAAATTAAAATTCTTTGGGAATTTTTTATTCAGAGAATAAGTTTTTAAGTGTTTTAACAAATTTTTTAAAAATTTATTTTATATTTAATTTGTTTTATTTGTTCGTTTTTTACTTATTTATTTACTTATTTACTTACTTATTTCCTTACTCATTTATTTACATATTCAGTTAATCATTTATTTATTTACTTATTTATTTACATATTTAGTTACTCATTGATTTATTTACTTATTTATTCAATATCTGTTTGCTTTTTTGTTTCCTAACTTTTAAAATAATTTTTCTTTTTAAATGTATAAAATTTTTAAATTTATGTATGTATTGAAAATCACTGATTCTTGTAATGTATTTATAAAAAAAATTTGAAAATAACTGAATTTTATGAAGAATTTAATTATTTTCAATAATTGGAATAAAATTCTTTGCAAAAAGTCAATTTAAAAATAATAAAAATCTTCGTAAGAAATTCAATTATTTTCATATAAATAATAAAATTCTTATGAGGATTTCATTTATTTTCTATACAATTTTAAAAAAATTTCTTTGAAAATTTCAATTATTTTTAAAAATCTTATTGTAAAAATTCTCCGAGAAAATTCAATTACTTTTAAAAATAATGAAATTTTCGCTGGAGTTCAATTTTTTTAAATACATTAATTGAATTCCAGGGAAAATTAAATTATTTTTAAATATTTTTCTTAAATTCATCGAAAGAATTCAATAATATCAATAAATAGTAAATTTTTCACAGGAATTCAATTATTTAAAAGTTTTAATACAATTCTATTCAAGAATTCAATTATTTTCAGAAATAATTAAATTGTCGATGTACTGAAAATCATTGAGTTCTTGTAAAGTATTTTTAGAAAAATTTGAAAATAATTGAATTCATTTTAAGAATTTTATCAACATTTTTTTCAATGATTGAAATTTTTTCTAGAAAATGTAATTAAAACTGTATTAAAAATAATTTAATTCTTGGAAAGCTTTTTATTAAAATTCTTTAAAATAATTGAATTGTTGTGAAGAGAATTTATTTTAATTTTCTTAGAAATAAACAAGTTTTTTAAAAATAATTTTTACTGAAAATTTTGAAAATAATTGAATTTTAAAAAGAATTTCTTTAAAGTTTTTAAAATAATCATGTTTATTATTAATTGTGATTAACGATTTTCTTATTAAATAATATTAAAATTATTCATAGAAAATTAAATTCTTTTAAACAATTTTATTAGAGTTTTTGTAAATAATTTACATTTTTTTTTCTTTTTGAAGGATTTCATTAAATTTCGTAAAATACCTAATGTAATTTTTTAAAGTAATTTTAATTGAAAATTTTTGAAAATAATTAAAATTTAGATTTACAAAGAATTTTACTAAAAACTTTTAAAAACAACTAAATTGCTTAAAAAAATTTTATTCCAATTTTTAAAAATGATTTAATTGTTTCGAAGGAATTTATCTGAATTTTATTCAAAATTTTGAAAATAATGATTTTTTTAAAAGAATTTCATCAAAATTGTTGAAAGTAATTGAATAGTTGTATTCTTTCTAGAAATTTTATTAAAATTGTATTGAAAATAAGTGAATTGCTCTAAAAAATATTATTATTTATGAGAATAATGAAAATCTTGTGACAAATTTTATTAAATTTTTTTAATAATAATAAACAACAATATTTAATATTATATGTACTTAAAAAGTGAATTCTTTATATTTTAAATCTGCAATCATTCAAAAATAATTGACCTTTATTCTTGAAAATAATAAATTATTTTAATTTACAAAATAATAATAAATGGAATTGGCGAATAATAAATGGAATTAAATTTAACAATTTAATATTAATTTTTAATTAAATAAACCAAAAGGAAAATGTGAATTTCAATCTAAGCTTAAATCAATCGGATTAAGAATTTTTTGTAAATTTTGTATTTAGAGAATAAAGTTTTGTGTTTTCATTACTTTTTTTAAAATTTACTTTTCATTTAATATTTTGTATTATTTTGTTTATTTATTTGATTATTTACTTCCTTATTTAGTTACTTATTTATTTACTTATTTAGTTACTTATTTATTTATTTACTTATTTAGTTACTTATTTATTTACTTGTTTATTTACTTATTTATTTACTTATATATTTACTTATTTATTTATTCAATATTTAATTAGCATTTTCAAATTATTTTACAATTTTAATATAGATATTTCTTTAGACTATTACTCTCTTGAAATTAAATATTTTTCCGAAAAAATAATATCTTCGAACTTGAAAACTATTAACTTGTGAAAAAAATCAAAACTATCAATAGTTTCAAAATATTTAACTAAAATTATTAAAATTTTTGCACCTTTGCCAATATGTATTTGAAAATTTCAATAACTATTTCGAAACAAAATTCCTCTCGTCAAAAAATTTCAACAAATCAATTCAAGAAACTACTAAACAAAACTAGTGAAACATAAAGTAAAAAAAGAAATATTAGGAAATATTTCGAACTCAGGAAAATTGTCCTTTAGACAACCATATTTGAAAAAAATAATTTTCATATCAAACGTGAATAATAATTTTCTCTCACTCTGTGCATATAATTATATATAATTTAAAAAAATAAGATCGAAATGTGGGCGTCTTAGAAATCATTGATAAATATACTCAATTCACCATATTAAGGGGAAAATTATCCAACTAAAATACAAAGAGATGGAAAAATATTTTCGTTAAAGAAACAACTCTAATTTTAATATATGAAAACCATTTATTTATTTATGTTAATAGGCACCTACTCTAGTGCAATTTTATTTTTTTTTCCTATAAATTTTATAGTCTGAAACCATTTATGGTCGCGGCTCTTGATTCACTGTATCGAAGTGGGACCTTGAGGATCTCCTATTAGATTTTCAATAGAATGCAACAAGACTGTAGGTTTTTTAATATTTTTTTTCTATTCTTCATCTCAAAGATGAATTCTATATGCACCACGCAGCTTTTTCTGCACATGCGGCTCATTTTATAGAGGTAACTCTTGTAACTTGCGGTAGAAGAGAACTATTCAATCGTGTTAAAAAGGGAACAAGTGATTCGCGGCGAATAAAGAGACAGTGGAGAGACTGTTTTCCGTTTTCTCTCAAATTATATACGTTTGGTTTCAATAATATTAAGAAAAGAAGTGGGAGGAAAAAAAAAGTGCGTGTTTGTGTCTCGATTATAAAAATGTATTACAGATTCTACGATCGGTATCGTAATTATAATGATCGTCTTCGCAGACGATTTCCCTTTAGAATTTACTGTAAGTTTAGAAAAAAAACTAAAAAATATTTTTTTAACTCAAAACAAAAATCTATATTAATAATCGTTGTATTTCGGTAATTTGTTCCCAGTTTGAAATTAGTTGTTTGCTTTTTTGTTTCTTAAGTTTTTAAATAAATTTTCTTTTTAAATAATTTCCATTTTTTAAATTAATTTATTGGAAATCCTCGAATTGTTGCAAAGGATTTTATCGAAAAATCTGATAATAATAGAATTTCTTCGAAGAATTTTATTATTCAGGAAAATAATTGAATTCTCACGAAGAATTTTGTTAAAATTTTAGAAAACTCTATTTAAATTCTTTTTGAAGAATTTTTTTCAATTTTTTTTAAATAATAGAGTTTTTTTTAACAATTTTAATTAAAAATTTTGAAAATAATTGAATTTTATGAACAATTTCTTTCAATTTTTTTAAATAATCGTGTTTGTTAATAATTGAAATTGAACATTTAATTATTGAATTCTTTAGTGAAATTTTTTTGAAAATAATTGAATTTTACTATATATTTATAAATATAATTGAATAATTATTTCGAAGGATTTATTAAAATTTTAGAAAATAATTGAATTTTTTCGCAAAATATTATTAAAAATTAAAAAAAATTTAATTATTTATGAAATGTTATTAATTGTATTAAAACTAATTGAATTTTAGCAAAGAATTTTACTATTTATGAATATAATTGAATTATTTGAATTTTCCCAGAATTTTTCACGAAATAATTGTCAATTCATTAGTAGGTTCAAAAAAATTTTTTAAAAAATTGAATTGTTTCATGAAATGTTAATTCGTTAATTGTATTAAAAATAATTGAATTTTTGCAAATAATTTTACTACCTATTTATAAATATAATTGAATTATTTCGAAGGATTTATTAAAATTTTGGAAAATAATTGAACTCTATCGAAATTTTTTATACCGAATTAAGAAAAAAATTGAATTCTTTCATGAAACTTTTTTGAAAATAAATGAATTTTTGCAAAAATTTTATAACGAATAAGAAAAAAATTCAATTCTTTCGTGCAATTTTTTTTGAAAATAAAAAATAATTCAATTTTTGCAAAGATTTTACTATATTTAAAAAAATAATTGAATTGTTTCGAGGGATTTATTAAAATTTTGAATTTTTGCAAAAAATTTTACTATTTTTGTAATTTGCATAATAAAAATAAAATGAAAATCACGTTCCGCACGATAGCGCGCGTATCATTTGCTAGTGTAATAAATAAACTAAAAATTAAAATAACTAAAATTAATTTAAATGGATTTAAATGGATTTAAGTAAATGTAAATAAATTTAAATAAAATTAATTTAAAAAATTAAAAAACTAAAAACTAGGTTTTTTAAGACTTTTTCTTAATTTCTTTTTTGTTTTCGGTTTTTTGCTTTTCTGCTTTTTGAATTTCAAAATACTTTCAATCTAAATTTTTTTCTTGTCGCATTTTTTATTCTAAAAGAAATTTCTAAAAAATGTTGATTTTTTATTCAGTGAATAAAAATATTTATTGCGGAAAAGTTCCTTTCTTACAATTAATATTCTTATTCACTAAAATAGCAACAAAATGACATTTTTTAGAATTAAATTTAAAATGTGATAAAATAAAAGATTTAGATAAAAACGAATAAAAAAAATAAGAACTAGAAGAAAAAGAAATAAAAATTTGAAAAATAAAAAAAAGCAAATCAAAAATAAAGAAAGTAAAAGCAAAAAAAAAAACTAAGAACTAGATAAACGAAAGGAAATAGAAACAAAAAACCCAAAACGAAAAAAACCAGAAAAATAAAACGAAGTAAACCCAGAAAAATAAAATAAAAACGAAGAATAAAATTAAAATTTCCTTTTTTTAAATTTCGTATTTTTGGTAAAAAAAGAAAAAAAATTGACAAAAACTTTCCAATTTTCTTTGAAATTTCAGATGAGGATTACAGATCGACAGTTCTGACAGTGGATGCTCTGGATCCATTGATTGTGGAAAATGGCAGTGCTCACAGAACATCGAAATACGAAATAATGAATCGCGTTGGAAAGGAGGCGCTACTCGTGGTCCGAAGGGGTCAAGAATTTTACATAAATCTCACACTATCGAGAAATTACGATCCGATAAATGATGGAATATCGTTAGTATTTAAATTGGACGGCGCCTCACATACAACAAGTGGTCAGAGGACATTAGTGGCAATTCCAGTTCTGGGGAGAAATGAAACATCAAGTGATACCACCTGGCAAGCAACTGTCGCAGAATCACATGAAAATGAAATCAAAATCAAGGCAAGTTTTTTTTTTTTTTTTTGAAAAGTCCACTTATTTAATTTTGTTATTTTTAAATTATTAAATTTAAAAAAATAATTTTGTCCCCGAACTTAGCGTCGAAAACAATTATTTGAGATTTTTAGAGATGAAAATATGTCACTATTTTCAAGTTTTTCAATCTTTTTGGGAAATAAAAGAAAGTTCAGGAAAGAAATTTTAGTTTTAGAAAAACTAAAATCTTTGAAACAATTGTTTCATTTTTCGATTTCACGAAAAAAATTCCAATTTGATGAATTAAATATTAAAAATATTTCGATTTGTTTTGCAAATATTAAAAGGCAAAAAATTAATTAATTAATTTATTATTAATCTCCGTATTCTTTCATTCATTCTGTCCGCAGTTTGAAGAATGTTTCTGTGTATGCTTTTGTTTTTTTTTTCTTTAAAAAATATTGTTTGACAAATCGAAAATATGCAGGTATTTTTTCATGATTCATAATAAAATAATATTGGAAATTAGAAAATTTAAAAAAAATTATAATAAAAAAATGAAAAATATACCCATTTTGTTTATTAAATTCTTTTTTCTATAACAAATTTCGTTTGACTGATCTAAATTATTAGGCAAATTATTCTCTTTTTTATTTATAAAAAATACTAGAAAATTGTTAATTGTTACAAATTTTTTATTAAGAAGTAGAAAATATACCCATTTTATGCATAATTTTTATTTCTCAATAACAATATTGTTTACAAACTCATTTTTTTCTTTTGGGAAGAAAAACATTAGATATTCCTGTTTCTTAATATTTTTCTAGAAAATTCTCAATTTTCATAAGGAAATAATTTGCATCAATTCTATTTCTTAATTTCAATTGTTTTAAAAATTTTTAGAAAATAAAGGAAAAAATTTTATTGTCAATTTGAAAATTTGATTGAAAAAAATGTTCCGTTAAATTTATTTACGACTATTTTTTATTGTGAAATTACTCGACGACAATAATTTCTTTTTTAAATATTTTAAATATTTAATTATTATTATTTTCTCATAGGAATTAAGATTTTCAAAAATTTCAAATTCAAACCTTTTTGAAATTAATCAACTTTAAGGAAAATAATTTCTTTCTTGTTTTATAATAATTAAAGAGAATCGAGTGTTAAAATAATTATTTTATATTATAAGAATATTGTTACTGTAAGTTTTTAAAAATTAATTTCATATTCTTTATTATTATCTAAAATTTAAACTAAAATTAATTTTCAAATCAATTTTTATCAGAAAATTCTACGAGAATTCAATTATTTAAATACAAAAGTAAATTATTTATTGAATAATTGAATGTTTCTTAAACTTTAATTCTTATAAAGAATTTTATTAACAAATTTTTAAATAATTAAATTCTTTTGACGGATTTTAATAAAAGTTTTTAGAATAGTTATACATTTTTCAAGGAATTCAATTAAAATTGTATTAAAAATAATTGAAATTCTGCGATAAGTTTTATTATTTAGGAAAATAATTGAATCTCTGTAAAAAAATTTTATTATTTATGAAAATAATTGAATCCCTGAAAAAAAATGTATTACTTATGAAAATAATTGATTTATTGCGAAGAAATTTATAAAAAATTTGTAAATAATTGAATTCATGAGAAGAATTTTATTATTTTTTTTTAAATAATTGAATTCTTGAAAAGAATTTTATTAACAAATTTTTAAATAATTGAATTCTTTTGACAAATTTTAATAACATTTTTTAGAAAAAGTTACATTTTTCAAGGAATTTGATTAAAATTGTATTAAAAATAATTGAAATTTTGCGATGAGTTTTATTACTTCTGAAAATAATTGAATTATTGAGAAGAAACTCATAAAAATTTTGTAAATATTTTAATTCCTGTGAACTTTTTATTATTTCTGCAAATAATTAAATGTTTGCGGACAATTTTATTAAAAAATGTTTTTAAATAATTGAATTTTTTGGGTAATTTTATCAAAATAGTAGATATTGAAAATCATTGAAATGAGGAAAATTTTTGAAAATAATTAAAATTTTGACAAGAATTTTATAAAAGTTTTAAAAATAATTTAATTTTGAAGAAGAAATTTTTTATTTACAAAGATAATAATTGGGATTTTGTCGAGATTTTTTTGTAAATTTTGAACATAATTGAATTTTGTGATAAAAATTTTATTACTTTTGAAAATAATTGAATTTCTGAAATCATTTGTAACTTCTTCAAAATTAAATTTTTTTTTACTGTTTTTAACTAAAATTCTTCTATAAATCCATTATTTTTAAAAATTAATTATATCTATATTACAAATTTAACTTATTTTAGAAGATTTTGAATTATTAAAATTTTTCAAAAATCTAAGTTCATTAAAATTTCTAATTAAATTCATTTAATATTAAAATTTTATAAAATTACAAATTAAAACCGTTTAAAGTTCATTTATTAATGAAAATTGTAAACGCAACTCTTTTAAAATTGGATTAATTTTGAAATATTTAAGTAAAATTATTCATTAAATAATTTATTTATTCTATGATAGTTGTTCAACACTAAAGTTATTTAAAAAGAAATTTTTGTCAGAAATTGAAAAAATTGAAGGTTTTTTTATTAGAATTCGTGGTAATTTTATAGTTTACGAGTCAATGAAAAAAGACTTAAAAATTCAGAATTTTCTTATGAATTCTAAAAATCTAATTTTTTTCAGTACTTTTATTAAAAATTCCTGACTTTTCCCTGAATTCCCAATGTCACAATATATGATTATTATAATTATAATAATATTAAAAGTTTATATTACAATTCATATTTTATTTTTATAAAAAAAAATTTTGAATAACAAATTTTTACGTTTTATTATTTAAAAAATTGCTAATTTTATTTAAAAAAGTGACTGAGAAGTCAGAATTGTTGCTAGTTGAATATGAAAAATATTTCGATTTTTTTTATATCAAATGTCAAAAAATGAAATATTAAAAATATTTAAGAGGAACAAGAGTTATTCAAAAAAAGATTCAATTAAAAAATTTCCAGAAAGCGAATAAGAAATAAGTTTTTGAATATATTTCCAGATAAAAACGAGTCCAGATGCAATTATTGGAAAATGGAAAATTGAAATTGACACGAGAAATAAAGATTCTGGTGGTGCTATAAGTTCCAACGTAAATGAACCTTTTTATCTACTCTTTAATCCATGGTGTACAGGTACAAATTTAGAAAATTATTACGAATTATATTTAGAATTGTTAAGAGAAACCTCCCCCACTTTGTATTATAAATATAAATAGTTTATTGCAACATGGTCTAGAAATAAGATCACGAGCAAAATGTTACTAATTAGAAATATTAAAATCTCCCTCCCATTGAAATTTTAAATCAGATGGCATCATTTTCCATTTCCATATATGTATATTATAAAATTTATAATATTTCACAATTTATAAGCAAAAATATGATTTTTGCAAGAACAAAAGAAACATTGTTTCGAGTGTTTCTGAGTTTATTCATATAGTGATTTCATTACGCAAACAAAAATTATCATATCTTATAGAAATTAGATTCAAGTTTTGCGATTGAAGTAGAAAAAAAAAGTTTTCTATAGAGCTTGAAATTTATAAATTATTTATGTGCTGCTTGACACAATTGATGTCAATCATAATTTTTATGCGAACGTCATGGTAATTTTTACACTATGGTATATTTGAAAAAAAAATTTATCTGATTCATATAGTCCGTTTCACTTGGCTATTATCGAATAAAATATTTGTTTAAATCAATTGCTTTTCAGAAATGTAATTCAATTGTTTTTGAATAATTGTTAATAAAGAATTTAAATCAATTATTCGAAAATAACTGACAAATTTGTGTAAATCAATTATTCGTAAATCATTGACAAATTTAAATCAATTATTCTTCAATAGTTTTTTAAATTCTCAAACAATCTTTTAGTTTCTCTTGGGCTGCAAAAAAAATTGTTTTTTTCTTTCTTTGATTTTCAGACAGAATTTTGACTTTTTTTCTCTAACCCGAAAGTATATTCTGATTCACTCTATAAAAATAATTAGATACACAACAAAATGATTACAATTTATTTGTAAATCTTTTCACTTGTAAAATAATTATTCTAAACAACATTATAATTTTTTTTTGAAATAAATATTTGATCATATTATAACTATTGTTCCGAACGAATTCAAATTATCAAAAATTAAAATGTTCAAATTAAAAATTTATAAAAATAAAAACCACAACTCTTCAAAATTCAATTATTTTTTTACTCTTTCAAAATTTAATTATTTTTAGAATTATTAGTAAAATTAATCGTTAAAACAAATGTAAATAAATTTTTTTATGAAAATTCCTTGAGAATTAAATTACAATTTAAAATAGGTTCAATTGTAAATTTTCCAAAGTTCAATATTATTGTTAAAAATTGAGAAAGATTAAAGGGTTATATTAAAATTTGTAGTGATTTCAAAACTTTTAAGATGAAAAAAATTCAAGAAAAATTAAATATTTATAATATGTCCAAAAGATTGCAGAAATTCAATTATTTTCAAAAGTAATAAAATTCTTCGCAGAAATTCAATTATTTTCAAAAATTGAAGAAAAACTCTCGTCAATATTTCAATTATATTTAAATAAATAATAAAAAAAGATCGTCTCAGAAATTCAATTATTTTCAAAAAATTTCCTCTTTTCAATGATTTTCAATATTTACTATTTTAATAAAATTTTCCAAAAGTATTCAATTATTTAAAAAAAAATTAATAAAATTCTACCAAAACATTTAAATTTCTTTCCGATAATTTAATTATTTTCACAAATAGTAAAACTCATTATTGAATTTTAATTATTTTTAATAGAATTTTAATCGAATTCCTCGAAAAATGTAATTATTCTTAAAACTGTTATTAAAAATCTTCAAAAAATTCAATTATTCAAAAATTTGTTGATAAAATTCTTTACGAGAATATAAATTAAATTTTGAGAAACATTTATTTTTTCAATAAACAATTTATTTTTCTATTTAAAAAATTGAATTCTCGTAGAATTTGTCTAATAAAAATTTTATTTATTTAAAAATTTTCAGTTAAAATTGTAGTGAATTTTCAAAAATAATTAAATTTTGAAAAGGTTTTAAATTAAATTCTTTGATAATCTGAATTTTTCATACTTTTAACGCTTTTAACTAACAATTCTGTGAAATAAATTTTTTTTGGAAAAAGTGTAATAGAATTTTTTTTGAAATTATTTGAAACTTTTATTTTCTTTATTCTATAATATACTGTACCTTAAAAAATTTCCGACCAATCGAGATTTTCTTAAATTGAAATGTCAACAAATGTATTTGAAAATTTTCAAGAACTTTTACAAAAACTATTAAGAATAATTCATTTAAAGAATAATTTTAGTTAAAAATTCTAGAAAATAATAATTGAATTGAAATGATGAAAATAATTTTGAAAAAGTTACAGTAACATTATTCTTATAATATAAAATAATTATTTTATCACTCGCTTATCTATAATTATTATTATAAATTTACTTAAAAATGAATTTATTGATGTTTTCGAATAATTTTACAATTAAAGAAATTTGTAAATAAATATAATAGAACATCTTTTGAGTACTTAATTATTTTTAAAGTGAATCAAAATATTTTTTACGGTCAGGGAAAAAGTTAAAATTTTTTCTGGAAATTAGGGAAAAACAAAATTAAATTTTTGTGGCAACCCTGATTAAAATTCAAAAAGACTGAGTAAATTTTAAATAAATAAAAAATCTTGATAAATTAAAACTTGGATTAATTGATCATTTATAAAAATAGAAAAAGACGAAAATCAAAAAATCTGTGTTCCTTAAATTAATTTAAACTCAGGAATTGACAAGATTTGTTTGTGAATAATAGAGAAAAAATTTGAAAAATGCTTTTAAGTTTCTCAAAAAAAAAAAAAAAAAAATGAAAATTCAATAATTTTTACAGAGGATGCCGTTTACTTGCCCCTTGAGAAAGAACGAGCCGAATACGTTTTAATGGATTCGGGATTAATTTGGAGAGGTACTCACAACAGTATGTCGTCCACTGCCTGGAAATATGCTCAATTTGACGAGAATATTCTTGAATGTGCATTATATTTAATGCAAAACGTTGGAGGAGTCAGACCAGCTTCGAGAAATGATCCAGTTATCGTAACCAGATGTCTTTCGGCCGCCGTAAGTTTTTCCTGCGAAATTACCATTCAATTAATTTACATATTTATTTTGTTCACACACCCAGAAAAAAATTTGTATTTCAACCAAATATAATTCATTCGAGTTAAATAAAAGACATTTGTCCCAGAGTCTACTAAATTATTTGTTGTAAATAAAAAATTTAATTCGACACAGACAAAACTTTCATTTGTACAAAATAAAATCTTATTTTGAGCTAAATAAAATTTATTTTTATCAAATAAAATCTTATTTCGAATTAAATAAAATTCATTCGAAACAAATAAAATCTTATTTCGAACTAAATAAAATTCATTCGAAACAAATAAAATCTTATTTCGAACTAAATAAAATTTATTTGAAACAAATAAAAAGTCCAGTTAACTCTGAGTCAAAAATATGTTTTTCTGGGTTTAGGAGAATGACTCGCATTTTATTCGAAATAAATTAAATTTAAAAAAGTGAAATAAATCAATTTGCCAAAATTGAAGAAAACAAAAAAATTAAAAACGTAATAATTATTAATTTTTTCCGTAGATAAATGCAAACGACGACAACGGTGTAGTGACTGGTAATTGGTCGGAGGACTTTAAGGACGGAACGGAACCAACGAAATGGTTGGGATCGAGAAAAATTTTGCAGGAATATTTCAAAACAAAAAGGTCCGTAAAATACGGTCAATGCTGGGTGTTTGCCGGCGTTTTAGCAACAATTTGTCGAACTCTCGGCATTCCCTGTCGAGTGGTGACAAATTACCTCAGTGCACATGACACCGAAAATAGTTTAACAGTCGATTACTTTGTCGATGAGGAGGGAAAAATAATGAAGGAACTTGCCAGCGATTCCGTTTGGTAATAATTAAATTTGTTGTTGGTTTTAAACAAAAAGATTATTTAACTTTAAAATTTAATTAATTATTAACTAAATTATTAAATACTGAATTAATAATTCACATCGGTGAAGTTCCTAACGTTTATAATCAACGATTTAGAGGAAAACATATTTTTCAATTAAAATCTATATAAATTTTTGTATAAAAAATTTTTTTTAGCTTCTTGGTAAATAATTTACAACAAAAAAATATTTTAAACAAAAATTTTTATTGCTATTGTCAAGAAAAATATTTGTTTCTTCCGATCGTTAATCATAAACGTTCTGAACTTCACCGACGTAATAGTTCAATATTAAATTAGTAATTAAATATGTATTACATTAATAATTAACTAAATAAGAGAAAATTTTAAATAAATAAAAAAGAGGAATAGGAAAAATTTTCTTTAAAAAAAATAATAAATTTTTCATTAAAAATTGAAACAGGAATTATCACGTATGGAATGAGGTGTGGATGAAGAGACTAGATTTAGGTACAAAATATTCAGGTTGGCAAGCGATTGATGCCACGCCACAGGAATTAAGTTCCGATGTTTATCGTTGTGGTCCAGCTTCAGTCTATGCAGTGAAAAATGGAGAAATCCTTAAACCCTGCGATACTGCTTTCCTCTTTGCCGAAGTTAATGCTGATACGGTTTATTGGCGTTACAATGGACCCTCGCAACCTGTTAAACTTGTCAGCAGAAATATTAACTCGTAATTATTACAAATTTTCTAAAGTTTCTAAACCTGTAATATTAATTTAATATATTAATAACACATTAATTAATTTAATTAATAGAATAACAATTATTAATTAATATTATATTAATTATTAATATTAATGTGATGTTAAAAAAATAACCAAAATAATTATTTTTGCTATTTCTAGAATTGGACAATTCATCAGTACAAAAGCTGTTGGTAAATGGGAACGAGAAGACATAACCGACAATTATAAACATCCAGAAAGTGAGTTTATGTTTTATCAATAAATTAAAAAATCAGTTCAACATTAAGCAAATAAAAAATTGGCTTAATTAGAAATAGAACATTTTTTATTAATTAATTATTAATTAATTGGTTGACGAAATTAATGAATTGACTAATTGAATACATAGAGGATAAATCGAATGAAGAAGAGAAAAGTAAATTAATGTAGAATAAGATAGAAGTTTACACTGCGCCTGAATTTTGCTTTTCATTTTCCTTCAGAGACGACAGAAGAAAGAGACATCATGCTGAAGGCGTTGCGTCAAAGCGAAAGCTCCTTTAGTCGTTACTATTTGAACGAAGATTTCAACGATGTTAAATTTAATTTCGATCTACATGATGATATTATAATTGGACAACCTTTCCGGTAAGTAAACAAGAACTATTTTCGGGACATATTAACATTTTTCAAATATTTTCAATTAAATAAATCTTCTTTTATATTGTTAATAATCCTTGTATTTCCGATAATCTGCTCACAGTTTGAAGTTAGTTGCTGTTTGCTCTTTTGTTTCCTAACTTTTTCAATAATTTTTCTTTTCTTCAATATTTTCAATTTTTAAACTAATGTATGAAAATCATTGAATTCTTGCAAAGAATTTTATAAAAAAAAATTAAGTATAATTGAATTCCTTCGAAGAATTTTATTATTTATGAAAATAATTGAATTCTTGAGAAGAATTTTATTGAAATTTTTGAAAATCCTAATTTAATTCTTTGGAAGAATTTCTTTGAATTTTTTTTCAAATAATGGAGTTTATTTTTAAAATCTTAATTGAATAGTTTGAAAGTAATTGAATTTTATGAACAATTATTTTAAGTTTTTAAAATAATCGTGTTTCTTTAATAATTGAAATTAAACATTTAATTATTGAATTTTATTAAAATTTTTAGAAAATAATTAAATCCTTCTCAGAATTTTATTACAATTTTCTAAAATAATTTAATTTATTTAAGAAATTTTATTAAAACATAGAAAATAATTAAATTCTTTCGAAGAATCGATAATATTGGAGGTTTTGAAAATAATTGAATCCTTTCAAAAAATTTCTTTAATTTATTGAATATAATCGATTTTGTTAATATAATTGTAATTAATAATTCCACTATTAAAATTTTATTAAAATTATTGATAGAAAATTAAACTCTTTTAAAAAATTTTATTAGAGTTTTTGTAAATAATGAAATTCTTTCGAAGAGTTTCTTCAAGTTTTTTGGAAAACAATATAGACTTTTGAATAATTTTAATTAAAAATTTTGAAATAAGTAATTGAATTAAACCAAGAATTTTTTTTCAACTTTTTAAAATAATCGTGTCTGTTAATAATTATAATTAAATATTTGATTATTAGAGTTCATTAAAATTGTATTGAAAATAATTGAAGTCATGGGAAGAATTTCATTATTTATAAAAAATAATTTATATATCTAGTCAAGAATTTTAATACTTATAATAATAATAAAATTGTTTCAAAGGATTTATTAAAATTTTAGAAAATAATTGAATTCTTTAGTGAAATTTTATTGAAAATAATTGAATTTTGCAAGGATTTTACTAGGTATTTAAAAAAATAATTGAATTCCTTTGTGAAATTTTGTTAAAAATAATTGAATTTTTCCAACAAAATTTATAAAAATAATTAAATTCCTCCGCAGGATGTTATTTATTCATGAAATTAATTTAATTCTTGCGAAGGATTTTATTACAAGTTTTGAAAATAATTAACAATAATTATTAATTATGTACTTAATAAGTGAATTTTTTAAATTTTAATTATGCAATTATTCGAAAATTTATATTTGAAAATAAAAAATGTTGTAATTTGCAAAATAAATAATAAGTAAATTATTAAAAAATAATAAATATAAAATTAACAAAAAGCAGTAAAAAGTCCAAATTAATAATAAAGAATAAATATAAATTATTAATTATTGTGAATAAAGAAAATAATTCTTTTAATTTCAGAGTTCGAATGAAAGTCGAGAATATCAGCAGTGACGAGGACTATCGTGTGAATTTAATTTTACGAGTGGACGTTGTATCCCATAGAGGAATAGTTGGAAGAGATGTGAAAAAAATTAAAATCGACGATATGCTAATGAAACCAAATCAGGATGAGACAATTGATTTGCCCGTTACTTGGGAGGAATATTCTCCACATTTACAAAACGACACGAATTTCCAAATTTCATGTTTAGCAACAATTGATGAAACAAATTATGAATATTACGCCCAAGATGATGTGGCAGTGAAGAAACCGGATATCATCGTCAGGGTACGTTAATAACCACAAATTTAAACCTAAATTTAAAAAAAAATAATTTTCTTTCCTACTGATTAAATAGTGTTTGGAATTGGAATCTGAAATTATTTATAACTTATTTTACTCTCTAAATTTTAAATAAGTGGAAATTCACTTAGAATGGGTCAAAAGCAGACAGATCGTGATTTTTCACTTATTTTTGAGTGAAAATCATTTATTGCTAACACTTATTCTATAACGTAACCGAATTTTCACGAATTCTAAGTGAATTCTCGCACTTATTCGGATTTAGAAAGTAGTTAGTTGCTTTTGATTCCGATTAGTTAGTTTTTTTAAAATTATAATAAATAAATATAAAATACAATAAATAAATAAATTTGCTAACTTGTAAATTATTTTTTGCAGATACTAAGCGATCCAAAAGTTGGTTACGAGCTCCAAGCCTCGGCTGAATTTTCCAATCCACTGCCAATTTCATTGAAGAAAGGAAAGTTCATCATTGACGGTCCGGGACTTGCGGAACAATTGAAATTAGTTTTATCAGATCCCGTACGGCCGGGACAACTTGCCAAATGTTCCTTCTCAATGATGCCAAATCATTCGGGAAAAGCCACAATAGTTGTCAAATTTTATTCCAAAGAATTGTCGGATGTCGACGGTTTCAAGGAATTCATGGTGAAATCTGTAAATTCGTATTATCGAAATAATTATTAGCCATCAGAAGAAATTAGTAATTGTTTTAAATAATTAAAAAAATCAGAGAATTGTGTGCCTCGCTCTATACACTGATTAAGAAGGAAAATAATTTTAATAAATAATTTTTCCTTTCTTTCGGCGTATACTTAAAAAAAACATAGACCAATTGTATTCAAAACTAAAATTCTAATATAATAATATTATTTATATTGTCTAGAAAGAATTTGTATTTTATAGACCAAAGTTTCATTTTAAGACACAGATTTGTTAAAATGTCAAAAGATCTCAAACGTTAAGAAAAAGTATATTCTCAAATAGATTATAAAAAATATTATAAATATGAAATAATATTTTCTGTAATTTCTATTTAATACATTTATACAAAAAAAATAATATACAAAATTTAGAAAAAATTTAATTTGTATATTTTCAATAAAAATTTACGAATTTAAAACAAATTATTTTTACTCCCGTTCTTATACTCATTAGAAAACATAGTTTCTAAATTATATTTCTATAATTAACTGAAAAATGAAAAAGTGTATATTTCATTCAAAATCTAAAAAAAAAAAAAAAATTAAAATAAGTTAAGAGTAAAATATAAAATGAAATAAATTAATAAGATTGTCAGAAAAATTGTAGTTTTGTTTTTCTCTTGTTGCCAGACATTTCGACTTTTTTCGGAAAGAATATTTTGACGAGTGTCAATTGTCAAGTTGTTTTATGTTTCTTTTATATTTTGTTTGTTAATTATTTAAAGTTTAAATTTCGTTTTTATTAATAAATAAATTTATTGATTGAGTTTTTAGTGTTTTATTTATATTTGTTGTGTAGTAAACCAAAGAGAGTACCAAAAGTTTTAGATTTTGGTAGCGTCTCAACGGTTAATTATTTTTTAAAAAAGGGTTCGTTGTGTCCACTTAATTTAGAAGCTGTTTGCATCTCGTCTTTTGTCTTCGGAGAAATGGGTTGTGATGGAATATTTTCGATTAAAATTGAACGTTGAAAATTCCACCCTTGCATCTTGAATACAATTATTTTCTAAAATTTTATTAAATCCTTCGAAACAATTCAATTTTTTTTAAATAGTATAATCTTTGCAAAAAGTTAATTATTTTCAAATCCAAAATTTCACGAAAGAGTTCAATTTTTTCTTTATTTGATATAAAATCTTTGCAAAAATTCAATTATTTTCAAATCCAAAATTTCACGAAAGAATTCAATTTTTTTCGTTATAAAATTTTAAAAAATTTTTAATGAAATTCAATAATTAAATGTTTAATTAAAATTTTTAAAGAAACTCCATATTATTTAGAAAAAAATTCAAAGAAATTCTTCAAAAAAAAAAAAAAAATGTAATTAGTTTTCAAAAATTTTAACAAAATTCTTCGCAAAAATTCACTTATTTTTCTAAATAATAAAATTCTTCGAAGACATTCTATTATTATCAAATTTTTCGATAAAATTTTTTGCAACAATTCGATGATTTTCAATAAATTAATTTTAAAAATGGAAATTATTTATAAAGAATAATTATTAAAAAAGTTAGAAAACAAAAAAGTAAACAACAACTAACTTCTAACTGCAAACAGATTACAAATTAAAATTTTGAATAAAAAATTTATAAGAAAATTTTAAAACCAAAATTAACTTAAAAATACACACAAGCGGAGAATATTTTTCAGAATATGTTATAAATTATTTTTTACTGTTATTATAAAATATAAAAATTAAACATTAAAATAAATAATAATTAAAATAGAAAAAGACGAAAAAAAATAAAAAATACCTATTTACAAAATACTTATAAAAAAATATTTGCAATTACCGCTAAAAAATGCAAAAGTGTACATATCTTTCAAAATATATTTATAATTAAATAAAAAATGGAAAAACATGTTAAATTCAAAATTTTAAAAAATTAAAAATGTAAAAACATGATAAATTCAAAATTTAAGAAAATTAAAATCGAAGGATTAAAAAACAAAAAAAACAACACAAGTGGAGAACGTCCTTCAAAATATATTTTTAATTATTTTTTATTGAAAATCATTAAATTCTTGCAAAGAACTTTTCTAATTTTTTGAATTTTTAATTAATTTTAAATTCTTCTTAAAATCAATTATTTTTAATAATTTTTGAAAAAGTTCTAGTCTTGAAATCCATTTCTTTACAATTCAATTTCACGAAATTTCGATATTTTTTTCCATACAAATTTCATATCACTTTTGTTTCTAATTAGATCAAATTTTTATCAATTCAGATTTAGAAAGTAGGTTTATTTTTGAAATATTATAATTAATTAAGTTGTTAATAAGTGAATTTTTCTAAATTTTGAATCTTGTATTAGAAGAAGACTTTTTTTGTATCAACTAGCTCCTCCGACGGCCGCAAGCGGCCGTCTACGGTGCTAGTTTTTATATGTCCATTGTCCAAGTCCATTATTTCATTAATAATAATATTCAAATTTTTTCAGTTAATAATTTTCTAATTTATATTTGAAATGTTGACGTTTTTTTTGACAATGCAAAATAAGATTTATTATGAGTACTTTCTCTTAACAAAAATAAAATTTATATATTCGCGCTCTTTTTAAATAACATACGACTGCAGCGCCACCTTCACATGTACAAACAATTTTAAAAACACCCTTCTATTAAGATTTTACATTCTCATTGCCCATTCTTTACTTCGATACTTTTCGATACATTCGACCTTTCCACTCCATGTCTTTTTTAAGAAAGGATAAATTTAATACAAAAATAGTTTCTTTGAGAAAAAATAGAAAAATTGCTCGGTAACAACTAACAAGAGAAAAGCAAAAATATTTTTTCTTTAAATTGTAATTTTGTCTGCAGCAAAAATACAATATTTCTTCAAAATTTCGTAAAACAGTAGAACAAAATAAAAAGTTTTGGATAGTTTTACATAATAAAATGAAAAGAATGAATTCATTGGTAATTAATATTTTTATTTCCTATTATTATGGTGAGGAAAAAATTAATTTTTTTTAAACTCCAATTTCTTTGTTATTGCAAGTGCCAAAACATTTATTGTCAAAAAAATCATTAATTTTTTTCAAGAATTCTTTTCTTTCTTTTCTTTATGTCTTTCCTATATTGGTCAAATAATAAACAACTTGTAAACCTTAATAGAAAAATTATAAAGTAATTATTTGTTAATTAACTTTAAAAGTTAAATAAAAATTCTTTTCATTTTTCATTAATTTTGAGTTTAGATAACAGAATAATACATAATAGAAACTGTGTCATTTTTTGCATGATGAAATTCAAAAATATATATATTAGACTCGTTTGTGAAATAAACGACTCTATTTAACCCATTTCGTTTGAAAAGTCCGTTTTTTCCCTTTACATTTGAACTTATCGTGTAACTTATCGTTAAAAAAAGTTTTGTTTTGTGTCCCGATTAAAAATGTATAACAGATTCTACAATCGGAATCGTATTTATAATGTTCATCGTCGCAGAAGATTTAAACCTTACTGTAAGTTTTGAAAAAAAAATAAAAAATATTTTCTTAACTCGAAACAAAAATCTAATAAATAAACTAAAATTAATTTAAATAAAATAAATTACGAAAATAAAGACAAGGTATTTAAGACTTTTTTTTGTTCTTTCAGAAAAATATAATAAAAACTAAGAATAAAATTAAAATTTTATTTTCTTTTAATTTTACATTTTTGGTAAAGAAAAGACAAAAATTGAAAAAACTTTCAAATTTTCTTTCTAATTTCAGATGAAGATTGCAGATCAAGAGTTCTGACAGTAAAAGCTCTGAATCCGTTGATTGTGAAAAATGGCAGAGCTCACAGAACATCGAAATACGAAATAATGAATCGCGTTGGAAAGGAGGCGCTACTCGTGGTCCGAAGGGGTCAAGAATTTTACATAAATCTCACACTATCGAGAAATTACGATCCGATAAATGATGGAATATCGTTAGTATTTAAATTGGACGGCGCCTCACATACAACAAGTGGTCAGAGGACATTAGTGTCAATTCCAGTTCTGGGGAGAAATGAAACATCAAGTGATACCACCTGGCAAGCAACTGTCGCAGAATCACATGAAAATGAAATCAAAATCAAGGCAAGTTTTTTTTTTTAAAGTCTACTTATTTAGTTTCGATATTTTAAAAATATATTAAATTTAAAAAAAAATTATGTCCCGAACGTAGCGTTGAAAACAATTATTTGAGATTTTGAGAGACGAAAATGTTACTAATTTCACGTTTTTCATTCATTTTGGGAAATAAAAAAAAACGTTCAAGACAATCTTTGAAACAATTGTTTCACTTCTTTCGATTTCGCGAAAAAAATTGCTTTGGACTTAAAAGATTAAATATTAAAAATATTTCGATTTTTTTTAATATCAAATTGCAAAAAATAAAACATTAAAAATATTTAAGGGAAACAGGAATTATTCAAAACAGAATGAATTTAAAAATTTCCAGAAAGCGAAAAAATAAGTTTTATATAAAAATCATTACTTAGTTAAAAGTATTAATTACTTAGTTTTTTTTTTTTTTTTTTTTCATTACTTAGTTTTTACTTAAGTTCCGGCGTAAATGAACATTTTTATCTACTGTTTAATCCATGGTGTATAGGTACAAATTTAGATATTCTAAAAACCAAGTTTTTGTTTAAAAAAAAATCTTCAAAACATGTAAAAATCAATTTTTTAATTCGACAATTTTTTTATATATTTCCAGATAAAAACGACTCCAGATGCAATTATTGGAAAATGGAAAATTGAAATTGACACGAGAAATAAAGATTCGGGTGATGTCGAAAGTTCCGGCGTAAATGAACATTTTTATCTACTGTTTAATCCATGGTGTACAGGTACAAATTTAGATATTCTGATTCATTCTATACAAATAATTAGATATACAACAAAATGCTTACAATTTATTTGTGAATTTTTTCAGTTGTAATATAATTATTCTAAACATTAATTTTTTTTTAAATATATATTTAATCATTATAATTATTTTTACAGAGGAATTCAATTTATCAAATTATCAAATATTTAAATTTTCAAATTAATAAAAATAGAAACTTCAATTCTTTCAAAATTTAATTATTTTTATATTTTTAAGTTTTTATCGTTTTTATATATAAAAATTATGATCTGAAATCAGTTAGATTTTTAGTCTAAAAACCAAGTTTTTGTTTAAAAAAAAATCTTCAAAACATGTAAAAATCAATTTTTTAATTCGACAATTTTTTTGTGAACAAAATTTCAAATAGAAAAATTTCAACCAAATATATAATTTATTCGACTTAAATAAAAGACATTTTAATAAGTGCCAACTTGTGATGACCATAAATATCAATTTTGATAAAAAAAACCGACTATTTGATCAAAATATTTTTTTTCAGTCCAGTATTTATTTTTATCAAAACTTAAAAATTGGTAAATTAAAACTATATGAAAAAATGAGCGACTCCTGAGGATCAAAATCCAGGACCTGATTGAGACAATTTGTTTGTGAATACCTAATTGAGAAAAAATTTCAAATTTTAAAAATGTTTTTAATGTTCTTTTAATGTTCTTTTTAATGTTTCTTTTAATGTTTTCTCAAAAAACATAAAGAAAAATTCAATAATTTTTACAGAGGATGCCGTTTACTTGCCCCTTGAGAAAGAACGAGCTGAATATGTTTTAATGGATTCGGGATTAATTTGGAGAGGTACTTACAACTGTATGTTCTCCACTGTTTGGAAATATGCTCAATTTGACGAGAATATTCTTGAATGTGCATTATATTTAATGCAAAACGTTGGAGGAGTCAGACCAGCTTTGAGAAATGATCCAATTATCGTAACCAGATGTCTTTCGGCTGCCGTAAGTTTTTCCTGCAAAATTACCATTCAATTAATTTACATATTTATTTTGTTCACGCACCCAGAAAAAAATTTGTATTTCAACCAAATATAATTTATTCGAGTTAAATAAAAGACATTTGTCCCAGAGTCTACTAAATTATTTGTTGTAAATAAAAAATTTAATTCGACACAGACAAAACTTTCGTTTGTACTAAATAAAATCTTATTTTGAGCAAAATAAAATTTATTTTTATCAAACGAAATCTTATTTCGAACTAAATAAAATTCATTCGAAAGAAACAAAAAGTCCAGTTGGCTCTGAGTAAAATAACTTTTTTCTGGGTGTAGGAGAATGACTCGCATTTTGTTCGAAATAAATTAACTTAAAAAAAATGGAAATAAATCAATTTCATAAAATTGAAGATAACAGAATATAAAATTAAAAACGTAATAATTATTAATTTTTTCCGTAGATAAATGAAAACGACGACTTTGGTGTATTGATTGGTAACTGGTCGAACGACTATAGGGACGGAACGGAACCAACGAAATGGTTGGGATCGAGAAAAATTTTGCAGGAATATTTCAAAACAAAAAGGTCCGTAAAATACGGTCAATGCTGGGTGTTTGCCGGCGTTTTAGCAACAATTTGTCGAACTCTCGGCATTCCCTGTCGAGTGGTGACAAATTACAACAGTGCACATGACACCGAAGGTAGTTTAACAGTCGATCGCCTTGTCGATGAGCAGGGAAAAATAATGGAGGAACTTTCCAGCGATTCCGTTTGGTAATGAATAGAAAATGTTAAATATATATATATACAAAAAATGGAAGAAAAAAAATTTCGCCAAACAAAAATAATAAATTTGTCATTAAAAATTGAAATAGGAATTATCACGTATGGAATGAGGTGTGGATGAAGAGACTAGATTTAGGTACAAAATATTCAGGTTGGCAAGCGATTGATGCCACGCCACAGGAATTAAGTTCCGATGTTTATCGTTGTGGTCCAGCTTCAGTCTATGCAGTGAAAAATGGAGAAATCCTTAAACCCTGCGATACTGCTTTCCTCTTTGCCGAAGTTAATGCTGATACGGTTTATTGGCGTTACAATGGACCCTCGCAACCTGTTAAACTTGTCAGCAGAAATATTAACTCGTAATTATTACAAATTTTCTAAAGATTCTAAACCTATAATATTAATTTAATATATTAATAACACATTAATTAATTAAATTAATATAATAAGAATTATTAATTAATATTATATTAATTAATTATTAATGTTAATGTGATGTTAAAAAAGTAACCAAAATAATTATTTTTGCTATTTCTAGAATTGGACAATTCATCAGTACAAAAGCTGTTGGTAAATGGGAACGAGAAGACATAACCGACAATTATAAACATCCAGAAAGTGAGTTTATGTTTTATCAATAAATTAAAAAATCAGTTCAACATTAAGCAAATAAAAAATTGGCTTAATTAGAATAATTAGAAATTATTTTTATTAATTATTAATAAAAATTAATGAATAAATAATGAAACCAAATTAATGAACTGACAAATTGAATACATAGAAGATAAATTGAATGAAGAAGAGAAAAGTAAATTGATGAAGAATAAAATAGAAGTTCACACTGCGCCTGAATTTTGCTTTTCTTTTTCCTTCAGGGACCACAGAAGAAAGAGACATCATGCTAAAGGCGTTGCGTCAAAGCGAATGCTTCTTTAGTAGTTACTATTTGAACGAAGTTTTCAACGATGTTAAATTTAATTTCGATCTACATGATGATATTGTAATTGGACAACCTTTCCGGTAAGTAAGAAAGAACTATTTCCTTATTGTCTTTAATAATAAAATTTTTATTCGTTCGGACAATTAAAATGTCCTCCAACATACTCGGATTCAGATTTCCTCTGAGGGTTGAGAAAATAAATCTCATTCTTGAGAACAATCTTTCGACACTGACCTGAGTCATCTGAGCAGCGTGAACAATTATCGCCAATTGATACAATTTTGGGTATATTGTTTTGCGACTTTCCTAAAATTGTAAGTCGTTCAAATCTCCATTAGCTGTAGGAGTTTTTTCAAAATCTTAATTAAGGAAGATTTCGACTATATCAGCAATTAGTGACATCTATTAGACGTCAGTTGAACTCTTCTCTTCTGAATTCTCAATCAGCAAATAATTTCCTACATTTTTTCAAAATCGTTTAATATTTGGTCCAAAGTGGAGAAGTTGTTCGCCAATCGTTTTTGTCTCTCTGCCTCCTTCCTCTTTCTCTCTTGGTCCAAAATGTTAACGTCCTTATCCTCAATTATTAACTGAAAAAAAATATATAATATAAAATATCATGAATCGAAAAAGACGTTATTTACAAGAAAAAAGTATATACTGTTTGCCCATCTACTAATGTGGAACTTTTACACTTGAGTACACAGGCAACGGCCACACCACGATGAAAAAACCAGTTCTCGTCCGATCACTGAAGTTAAGCATCTTTGGGCGCGGTTAGTACTTGGATGGGTGACCGCTTGGGAATACCGCGTGCTGTTGGCTTTTTTTTATTTTTTTAATAAAATACTTTTAATAAATAATTTAATAACCGAAGCCTTTTTAACATGTCTCCAATAGGACTTCTGTAAGAAAACTAAATTTTTATGATATTTTTCGAATTCTTAGAAACTTTTAAAACAATAGTTTTAGAAAGTACAATATTATTTCTATGATTATATGCATTTAAAAAATGTTTAAACCTCAGTTTTATTTATGATAAAAATGTTCAAACTTTGTTTTCAGTTTTAGGTTAAAATTTCCTCACGATGATTATTGATATTTTTATACATTAAAAATATCCTAAACAAAATTTTAACGCACATTAAAATAAAGCTGATAATCTGATGTTCAATTTGCCCATTATAATAATACAATTATTTAATAATAGACGAGTAATCGGTTCTTTGAGTCAAATAAATATTTTTCAGCGTACAATTATATAAAAGTAATTGTTTCTTACGTCTTTTTCGAATGCAGTACTTTCTGCAGATTGACCAGTTTTGATGCTAAATTGTTATTTATTTGGCCCTTGAGCAACTTGCACTCTCACTCTTGCAAAGAAATCCCCAGGTAAAAGATTTTCCCGTTGCATTTTGAAAGTTGCCTTTTTACATGGTTAGCAATGCATTTTTGAAAAAGTTTTGCAAAAATCTTTTGCAGACAATAGAGAAGACAACATATCTGCTGTCAAGTTCCACCTCGTTGGGACGTCTAATAGTGGCTTTTTCACATTTAACTTGGCTAACAGGCCGGTATTGTTGCGCAATGTCTTGACGACATTTTGAGTCTGCAATAATAAATAATTTCAATTCAATTATTATTTTTATGAAATTTCTATTATTAGAAATAATACCGATGAGGTTAGAACCCTTTAGGATCCCATTGACCGCTAATTGAAGAGTATGTATCCCGCATCGCAATAGTAGAGCTACCTCAACTTCTGCATTTCGTCGTACCTTTTCTAAATAGAAATATCATTCACTGCCCAGTAAAAAAAACTAATTCAAATGGATTGAAATGAATTAAGATTTCTGGTAGAAAGCGGGATTCATTCTAGCTCTTTGCTAGATTCTTCATTTATAAACTAGATATTCAATCCAAGGAAGGAATTATTGTGCCGAGTTGCAATATCGATTTTAATACTAAGAAGGGGAATCTGCAAAGATAATAATATTAAAGGCTTAAATAATAGTTATTTGTGATACAAGGACCTTAAGTAGCACTTTATGGCAACGAGAATGAGCCCTTTGACACTTTTATTGGAATCATCGTGGAAATTAATAATAAAGAATAAATTAATTATTGTGAATAAAGAAAATAATTCTTTTAATTTCAGAGTTCGAATGAAAGTCGAGAATATCAGCTGTGACGAGGATTATCGGGTAAATTTAATTTTACGAGTGGACGTTGTATCCTATAGAGGAATATTTGGAAGAGATGTGAAAAAAATTCAAATCGACGATATGCTAATGAAACCAAATCAGGATGAGACAATTGATTTGCCCGTTACTTGGGAGGAATATTCTCCACATTTACAAAACGACACGAATTTCCAAATTTCATGTTTAGCAACAATTCACGAAACAAATTATGAATATTACGCCCAAGATGATGTGTCAGTGAAGAAACCGGATATTATCGTCAGGGTAAAATTGATAACCACAAATTTTAACCTGAATTCAAAAAAATTATTTTCTTTCCTACTAATTGAATAGTGTTTGGAATCTGAAATTATTTATAACTTATTTTACTCTCTAAATTTTAAATAAGTGTAAATTCACTTAGAATGGGTCAAAAGCAGACAGATCGGGATTTTTCACTTATTTTTGAGTGAAAAACTTTCTATTAATTAATTGAGGCCTTGGATCCAATAACTCGCCCGACGCTCGGAGGAACGCGCAACTGCCAGTCAGTGAGCAGTGAGCGCCTCTGGGCCACTCACTGCTACCCGACTGGTATTAGCGCGTGCCTTCGAGCGTCGGGCGAGTTATTGGATCCAAGGCCTCAATTTTTAAAATTATAATAAATAAATATAAAATAGAATAAATAAATAAATTTGCTAACTTGTAAATTATTTTTTGCAGATACTAAGCGATCCAAAAGTTGGTTACGAGCTCCAAGCCTCGGCTGAATTTTCCAATCCACTGCCAATTTCATTGAAGAAAGGAAAGTTCATCATTGACGGTCCGGGACTTGCGGAACAATTGAAATTAGTTTTATCAGATCCCGTACGGCCGGGACAACTTGCCAAATGCTCCTTCTCAATGATGCCAAATCGTTCGGGAAAAGCCACAATAGTTGTCAAATTTTATTCCGAAGAATTGTCGGATGTCGATGGTTTCAAGGAATTCATGGTGAAATATACAAAATCGTATTATCGAAATAATCATTAGCCTCTCTGAAAAGAAAGGTTTTTTCTATTTTTTATGTTGTTTCTTTTCATTACATTCTTACGAAAATAGTATATTACGATACTAGGCCAGAAAGTTGGATTTCCTGGCCGGCGTGATATATAAGGCCGAGGCGAAGCCGAGGCTTTATATATCACGCTCGCTAGGGTATCCAAATTTCTGGCCGTGTGTCGTATACAATTTTTCTGTATCCCCAGCCGAAAGTACGTTAAATAATTATTGTTTGAATAATAAAATAGCTCAATAAGTTGCCCGCCCGACTTTTGCAAAGTCGAGGCGAAGCCGAGACTTAGCTGGTCGGGGCGGGCATGAAAAAAAAATTATAAGTAAAAAATAATTGGAAGTAAAATTTAAAAAATAGTAAACAAGAAATTTTCTTTTACAAATATATATTTAATAATTAAAAAATAATAAAAGAAAATAAGAAATTTCATGCATTTTTTTGATGACTGTCAGTTGTTTTCAAAACGTGAGCTCTGTAAGTAACGTGTCTGTGTGGTTGCTATGCTAACATGTACGTGTGTTGAAATTCTTGTAACCAATCAGAGCGCTCGTTGGGTCTGTCGAGCCGGCCACAAAAGTCGCTATTCCCGGAGCCAAATCAGACCGGGAAGACAGCACTTTCGGCAAAGGGATACAGAAAAATATTTTAAAAGAAATTTTAAATTTAAGATTCGTTATTATTGAAAGTGATTTAAAAGGAGTGGAAATAATTATAATATCAATTTTTCAATTTGAACTTTATATTACATAAAATTTGTATTATTATAGTTTATTTTAGGATTTAAGTTTTAGTTTATTGATATAAAATGTTTTATTGTGTGGAGTTGAACAAAATGTACGGTTTTTATGTTTTGCGTAAATATGAAAACTTGATAAGAGAATATGTAAGATGTAATCCGGAAGTTGGTCCGAAACCGAAAGGTATGGACTATGAATAAATAAAATAATTATTAGCCAGAAAAAATTAGTAATTGTTTTAAATAATTCAAAAAAATATCAGATAATTGTGTGCCTCGCTCTATACACTGATTAAGAAGGAAAATAATTTTAATAAATATATAATTTTTCTTTCTTTTCAGTGTATACTTAAAAAAACATAGACCAATTGTATTCATAACTAAAATTCTAATATATTAATATTAATTATATTGTCTAGAAAGAATTTGTATTTTATAGACCAAAGTTTCACTTTAAGACACAGACTTGATAAAATGTCAAAAGATCTCAAACGTGAAGAAAAAGTATTCTCAAATAGATTATAAAATATATTTTAAATATGGAATACTATTTTCTGTAATTTCTATTTAATACATTTATGCAAACAAAAAAAGTAACATACAAAATCTAGAAAAAATTTAATTTGTATATTTTCAATAAAAATTTACGAATTTTAAACAAATTATTTTTACACTCGTTTCTTATACTCATTAGAAAACATATCTTCTAAATTATATTTCTATTAGTAACCGAAAAATATAAAAAGTGAACATTTTATACAAAATCTAAAAAATTAAATATTAAAATAAGTTAAGAGTAAAATACAAAATGGAATAAATTATCAAGATTGTCAGAAAAATTGTAGTTTGTTTTTCTCTTGTTGCCAGACAGAATTTTGACTTTTTCGGAAAGAATATTTTAATGAGTAGGTATCAATAAATTGTCAAGTTGTTTTATGTTTCTTTTATATTTTGTTTGTTAATTATTTAAAGTTTAAATTTTGTTTTTATTAATAAATAAGTATATTTTTTTATTAATTGAGTTTTTAGTGTTTTATTTATATTTGTTGTGTTGTGAACCAAAGAGAGTACCAAAAGTGTTCGATTTTGGTAGTGTCTTAATAAAATTTTTCCTAAAAATTAAATTATTTCAAATACAATTATAATTAAATTCCTTGAAAGAATTTAAATTTTCATCGAAACAATTATATTATTTTTCAAAAATTTTAATAAAAATCTTTAAAAGATTTCAAATACTTTCATAAAAAATAAAATTTTGCAAATGATTTCAATTATTTTATTAAATATTAAAATTGTTCGGAGGATTTCAATTATTTTCAAAAATTTGAAACAAATTCTTTTCAAGAATTTAATTATTTTTCATAAATAATTGAATTCTTTACAGAATTTCAATTATTTTAAAAAATTGGAAACAAATTCTTGAAAAGAATTTAAATATTTACAAAAATCCTAACAAATTTTGTTAAAAGAGTTTAATTTTCTATCGATAATTTTAATAAAATTTAAATAGGTAAAATTTGAAATTACAATTATTAACAAAATTGATTACATTCGATAAATTATAGAAATTTTTTGAAAGAATTAAATTATTGTCAATTAAACTTTAATAGTATTTATTCTTCGAAAGAATTTAATTATTTTCTATGTTTTAATAAAATTTCTTGAATAATAATCCTTGATTAAATTAAATTATTTTAGAAAATTTGAATAAAATTTTAAGAAGAATTTAATTATTTTCTAAAAATTTTAATGAAATTCAATAATTAATTATTTAATTTTAATTATAAGAAACACGATTTATTTTAAAAACTTAAAAGAAATTGTTCTTAAATTTTAATTACTTTCAAATTTTTCAGTTAAAATTATGAAAGAAACTCCATTAGTTTAAAAGTAATTCAACGAAATTCTTCAAAAGAATTTAATTTTCACGAGAATTCGATTTATTTCATAAATAATAAAATTGTGCGATGGAAGTTAATTATTGTCAAATTTTTTGCCTAAATTCTTTGCAAGAACATTTTCCAAAAATCTATAAATTAAAAATCAAATCATATTAAAATTTAAATAAAAAATTTAAAAACATATTTAATTCAAAATTAAAAAAATTAAAATTCAAGGACTAAAAACAAAAAAAAAAACACAAGTGGAGAACGTCTTACAAAATATATTTTTAATTATTTTCTATCGAAAATCATTGAATTCTTGCGAAGAATTTCTTTAATTTTGTATTAATTTTAAATTCTTAAAATGAATTATTTTTAATAATTTTTAAAAAAGTTCTTTTCTTCAAATCCATTTCTTTACAATTTTAAAATTGTATCTTTTATAATTTTAAAAAATAACAATTTTATTAAAAAAAATGTTCTAGTTTTTGTACTTAACTATTATAATTTTGAATAGGAAATTATTCAATTGGTACTCATAATTTTATAACATTTTTTGAAAATAATTAAATTGTTTCGAAGAATTTTAGTTAAAATTTTTGAAAATAAGCGAAATCTCATTTTAAACAATATTTCATCATAAATTTTGAAAATACATAATACATTTCTTGTGGAAAATTTTAGTTAAATTTTTGAAAATAATTGAGTTTCTACGAAGAAAAATATTATTATTTAAGGAAATAATTTAATTTTTGCGAAGAATTTTATTAAAATTTTTGAAAATAATTTAATTGTTTTGAAGAAATTTATTAAAATTTTTGAAATAAATTTAATACAAAAATAGTTTTTTTACGAGGAAGAAAAATATAAAAATTTCTCAATAACAATAGAAAAACAAATTTTTTTTATTAAAATTGTAATTTTGTCTGCAGCAAAAATTCAATAATTCTTCAAAATTACGTAAAACAGTAAAACAAAATAAAAAGTTTTGTATAATTTTGCATCGATTATAAAATGGAAAGAATGATTTCATTGTTAATAATTTTTTTATTTTGTAATTATTTGTTTATTTTTTATTATTATCATGAGTAAAAAAAATTTCAGAAAACATATTCATCAATATAATTTGATACAAAACGGTCAAAAACATCCTTAAATAAATGTCGTTAAAATAATATATTTTTATTTTACAGATAATTTCTATTTTTCTCAAGAATTATTATCTTTCTTTTCTTTATGTCTTTCTTATATTTAAGTCAAACAATACACAACTTGTCAACCTTATTAGAAAAATTAAAAAATAATTACTTGACAATTATGCTTTAAAAGATAAATTAAAATTCTAATCATTTTGCATCACATTTTAGTTATTAGATAACAGAATAATATATAATAGAAATTGGGTAATTTTTTTCATGATGAAATTCAAGAATATATATTTGAGGATCCAGATTTTAAAAGTTCACTTGTAGTATTGATTTTAAATTGTAAAAGTGCCCTATTAAGATAAAAAAAAAAGTTTTGTTTTGTGTCTCGATTCGAAAATGAGTCTCAGTAGATTTAAACCTCGCTGTAAGTTTTTAAAAAAAAACTAAAAACTATTTTCTTAACTCAAAACAAAAATTTAATAAATAATCTAAAATTAATTTAAATAAATTTAAATAAAATAAATTAAAAAACTAAAAACTAGGTTTTTTAAGACTTTTCCTTCATTTCTTCTTTGTTTTTTTTCTTTTTTGCTCTTTGAATTAAAAAATGCTATCAATCCAAATTTTCATATTGTCACTTTTTTATTCTAAAAAATATTTATTTCTTGACATTTTTAAGTGAATAAAAATATTTATTGCGAAAAAATTTCTTTCAATTATTAATATTTTTATTCACTAAGATGGCAAAGAATTAATTTCTTTTCAGAATAGAAAATTAATTGGGAAAAATTTGTTTGCAATTATTAATATTTTTATTCATTAAAATGTGAATGAATGAAATTTTTTCTAGAAATTTCATTTATTTTGTATTTAATATTTTTATTCCCTAAAATGGCAACTAATACAATTTTTTAAGTAATTTTATTTATTTTGTTAAATTCAAGAACAAATAAAAATAAAAAAACTAAAAACACGAAAAAAAAAAATAAAAACGAAACAAAGTAAAAACAAAAAGAATAAAAAAAATAATATTAAAATTGTTTAATAATAAAAAGTGTTATCGAACATTTCTATAATTTTTATTTTATTTTTTAAATAATGAAACTATTTTTTATTTTCTTTCCTTTTTTTCGTTTTTGTTTATTTTCATTCTTCATGCAATTAATATTCATTCTTCTTCTTCATTCATTTTTCTTGCAATTAATATTTTTATTTACAAAAATGTCAATGACTAAAATTTTTTTTAGAATAGAAAATTCAACAAAATAAAAGATTTAGATAAGAAATTTCCAACTATAAAAGACAACAAATGGAATTTTTTAGAATTAAATTAAAAATAAAATAAATAAATAATCAATTTAATTTAGTCAATTTTTATTTGAAAATTAATCGACAATTTAATTATTTAAATACAAAAAAAAATAATTTATTCAATAATTGCATATTTCTTAAAATTTAATTTTTATGAAGAATTTTATCAAAATTTTTAATAATAATAATTGAATTCTTTCATGGAATTTTTAAAAAAAATTGTTAAAATAAATGCAATTTTCTATCATTTTGTTTAAAATTGTATAAAAAATTATTGAAATTCTTCGATAAGTTTTGTTATTTATGAAAATAATTGAATTCTTGCAACAAATTTTTATTAAAAATTTTTTAAAGAATTGAATTCCTGTGCAGAATTATTTTATTTGTGAAAATAATTGAATTCCGGAGAAAAATATTATTTTATTTATGAAAATAATTCATTTCTTGTGAAGAATTTTATTCAAATTTTGTTAAATAATTGAATTTTTCAGAATTTTTTAAAACATTTTAAAAATAATTAAATTTCATCTAGAAATTTCATTAGAAAATTGAAAATAATTGAAATCTGACAAAGTATTAAAAAATTTTGTTTTTTAAATAATTGAATTTTTCTCAGAATTTAAAAAAAATTTTTTAAATAATTAAATTCCATGTAGAAATTTCATTATAAAATTGAAAATAATTGAAATCTGACAAGGAATTAAAAAAAATTTTTTTTTTAAATAATTGAATTCCTGTAAAAATGTTTATTCTTGAAAAGAATTGAATTCTTGGAAAGAATTTTATTAAATTTTCTCAAATAATTTAATTGCTTCGAAAAATTTTTATTTTTTACGAAAATAATTGAATTGTTTCGAAAATTTTTACAAACATTTCTGACAATAATTGTATTCTATGATCAATTTTATTATAATTATTCAAATTTATAAAGCATTTTATCAAAAATTTTTTAAATAATTGAATTGTCAAGACAAATGTTGTTATTTATGAAAATAATTGATTTCTAGCGAAGAATTCTATTCAAATTTTTTTAAATAATTGAATTCCCATAAAAAATGTATTATCTGCAAAAATAATTGAATTCTTAAGAAGAATTGAATTGAAAATAATTTAATTGTATAGAAAAATTTTATTAAAATTACAATTTTATTAACTAAAATCTTGTAAAGAATTTTGTCAAAATTTTTTAAAATAATAGAACTTTTAAAATAATTTTATTTAAATTTTTCGAAATAATTGAATTTTTTAGAACTATTTTTTTTCAATTCTCTGAATATATTTGAATTCTTTGGAGAAACTTGATTAAGAAATTAAAAATAATTGAATTGGTTTAAAGAAATTTATAAAAAATTGGTAAATAATTGAATTCCTGTTAAATTTTGATTAAAATTTTGTTTAAATAATAGAATTCTTTTGGAAAATTTCATTAAAATAGTAAATATTAAAAAATAATTGAAATGAGGCAAATTTTTTGAAAATAATTGAAATTTTGACAAGAATTTTATTAAAATTTTTCAAAATAATTGAAGTTCGGAGAAGAATTCTATACTATTTAATTTATAAAAATAATTGAAATCTTGACGAGGATTTTAAAACATTTTTGAACATAATTGAATTTATGCTATGAACTTCATCACTTTTGAAAATAATTGAATTTCTGTAATCAGTTGTTTTTAAAATTTCTATTTAAATTCATTAAAATTTGATATTTTCTAAAATTTCAAATTGAAATAATTTCTAAATATAATAATTTTGTGATAGTTCTTCAAGAATGAAGTAATTTAAAAATAAATTATTGTCAGAAATAGAAAAAATTGAAGGGTTTTTGAATTCTTGTCAATTTTATAGTTGAGGCAAACAAAAAAGACACAAAAATTCAGAATTTTCTTATAAATTTTAAAAATTTAATTTTTCCAGTAGTTGTGATATTTTTTTTTTAATTTAATTTTTAAAAAAATTTTTTTTGATTTAATTTTTTTTTTAGTAGAACAGTAAAAAAATTAAAAAAACTTTACAATTTTCTGTCAAATTTTAGATCCGGATTACAGATCAACACTTCTATCAGTAAAAACTCTGAATCGGTTGATTGTGGCAAATGGTAGAGCTCACAGAACATCGAAATACGAAATAATGAGTAGCGTTGGAAAAGAGGCGCAACTCGTGCTACGAAGGGGTCAAGAATTTTACATAAATCTCACACTATCGAGAAATTACGATCCGATAAATGATAGAATATCGTTAGTATTTAAATTGGACGGCGCCTCAAATGCAACAATTGGTCAGAGAACATTAGTGGTAATTCCAGTTCTGGGGAAAAATGGAACATTAAGTAATACCACCTGGAAAGCAACTGTCTCAAAAACATATAGAAATATAATACAAATCAAGGCAAGTTATTTTTTTAAGTCCCTTTTATTTAGTTTCGATATTTTTTAATATTCAATTTAAAAGAAAATTATATCCCCGAACTTATGAAAAGTTTTTCATTCATTTTTTGGAAAATAAGAAAAAAACGTTAAGGACTATCTTTGAAACAATTGTTTCATTTCTTTCGATTTTGCGAAAAAAAATTTGTTTTCGACTAAAAAGATTGAATATTAAAAATATTTCAATTTTTTTAAATATCAAATTGGAAAAAATAAAATATTAAAAATATTGAATGGAAACAGGAATTATTCAAAATAGAATCAATTAAAAAATTTTCAGAAAGCGAAAAATAAGTTTTTGAATATATTTCCAGATAATAACGAGTGCAGACGCAATTGTTGGAAAATGGAAAATGTACATTGTGACGAGAAATAAAAAATTGGCTGGTGCTAAAAGTTTCGGCGTAAAAGGACATTTGTATTTACTCTTTAATCCTTGGTGTACAGGTACAAATTTAGAAATTTTGATTCACTCTATAAAAATAATTAGATATTTTGTTGTATATATAAATATACAACAAAATGCTTAGAATTTATTTGTGAATTTTTTCAATTGTAAAATAATTATTCTAAACATTAATTTCTGTTTTGAAATAAATAATTAATTTTTATAATTATTTTTCCAAAGAAATTCAAACTATCAAAAATTTAAATTTTCAAATTAAAAATGAATAACAATAGAAACTTTATCTCTTTCAAAATTTAATTATTTTTAGATTTTTTTTATATTTTTTAGTTTTTATCGTTTTTATAATATAAAAATTATTATTTGAAATCCGTTAGATTTTTAGCTTAAAAACAAAATTTTTTTTTTGAAAAAAAGCTTCAAAACATGTAAAAATCAATTTTTTAATTCATCAATTTTTTTTGTGAATATAAAAATTTATTTTTAACAAAATTTCACAAGGATTTAAATTGAAAATTTCCCAAAGTTCAATATTATTGTCAGAAATAGCTTTTAAGTTTCTCAAAAAAAAAAATGAAAACTCAATAATTTTTACAGAGGATGTCGTTTACTTGCCCCTTGAGAAGGAACGATACGAATATGTTTTAATGGATACGGGATTAATTTGGAGAGGTTCTTACGGAAATATGTCTCCCTTTGCTTGGAAATATGCTCAATTTGACGAGAATATTCTTGAATGTGCATTATATTTAATGCAAAACGTTGGAGGAGTCAAACCATCTTCGAGAAATGATCCAGTTATTGTAACCAGAAGTCTTTCGGCCGCCGTAAGTTCTTTCTGCAAAAATATCAATCAATTAATTTCCATATTTATTTTGTTCATACACACAGAGAAATATTATTTTAACCAATTACAATTTATTCGAGTTGTTTGCAGAAATTCAATTATTTTCAAAAATAGTCAAATTTTTCTTAGAAATTCAATTATTTCCAAGAATTTTAATAAAATTCATGGCATTAATGAAATTTCTCGAAAAATAAAAATATTCTTAAAAATTTTATTAAAATTTGTCCAGAGAATTCAATTATTTAAAAATTTGTTTGATAAAATTCTTTATAAAAATTTGTATTTAAATAATTGAATTTTCGAAAAATTTTTTAATAAAAACTAATTTAAAAATAAATTTCAGTTAAATTTTTGGATTATTATTAAATATTAAAAGCAATATAGCGTAAATTTTTAGAAATAATTTAATTTTTATAAGGTTTCAAATTAGAACTTTTCGTACTATTTGATTAACAATTCTGTATATTTCATTTTATAAAAAAGTTTAATTGAATTTTTCTTTAATTCTTCATGGTTTTTTTTTAATAAATATTTAATTGAAGAATTTTAGAATAATCGAAATTACATAACAATTAATATTGAAAATAATGGAATATTTACAAAGAATTTTATCATTTTTATAAATAATTGAATTCTTGCTGAGAATTTTATCAAATTTGAAAATAATTGAATTCATGCGAAGAAATTTTGTCAATTTTAAAAATAATTAAGAATTATTTGGAAGAATTTTATTCATATTTTTAAGAATAATTGCAATCCTGCGAATGATTTTATTTATCTATAAAAATAATTAAATTTTTGACAAGATTTTTAGCGAAATTTAAAATTAATTTTTCTCAAAAAGTTTAATAAAATTTTTTTTAATTATTAATTATTTGAAGTTTTTAATTTCTAATTTATTTAATTGAAGAATGTCAAAATAATCGAAATTTTAGGTAAAATTGAATTGTAAACAAATGGATTTAAAAATTCTCAAAGAAGAACTTTTTAAAAAATTATTTAAAAAAATTGATTTAAAGAAGAATTTTAGTTTAAAATTCTAGAAATGAAGAATTGAATTGAAAATAATTTTGAAGAAATTACAGTAATAATATTTTGATAATATAAAATAATGATAGTATCAAGTTTTAATGATTATAAAACATGAAGAAAGCGATTACTCCGAGTCGAAGACTCGAAGTGATCGATAGCTGCATGTTTTGTAATAATATTCTTATATTTTATTGAATTTAAAATTTTTGAAAATCTTAATTTCTGCAGAAAAATAATAATGATTAAATATTCATTTAAAAACGAAGTTATTGATGTTTTCGAGTAATTTTACAATCTGTTACAATTAAAGAAATTCGTAAATAAATGTAATACACTGAAGTCTTGGTTATACGGACAACTCGGGTGTGTGTCCGTATAATCCAAATAGGTCACCTTGACGAAAAAGTATAAATATGCAGGACAGTACGAAGATTCTTTTTGCCCTCGGTTGAAATAGAATCGCCTGCTAATTTTTTTTACATCTTTGAAATTTATTAATATAGTGTAAAATTGATAATTTGAATTTATTAAATTACATTTGTAGACAAATAAATAAATTAATTAATATTGTCTGATAGCTCACTAACAATTTTGAGGTTAGGTTATATCAAGGGGAAAAAAGGATCCAGTGATAGGTGCGCTACTGACATCATCGAGTCAAGCACGACCCTCCCTTCACCCCTTATCCCGTTTCAGCGCCATCACATTCCGTATAACCAATTTCCGTATAACCAAGACTTCAGTGTAGAACAGGAAAAAAGTCTTTTTGTCTGGAAATCAGGGAATTTGGTAAAAATAAAAATAAATTAAAAATAAAATTTGGTAAAATATAAATGTAGTTTTAAAAACCTGGAAGAATTCCGTTTTTTAACCTAGAAAACCTGGAAAAGTCAGGGAATTTGAAATAAGGAAAAGCGTGGCAACCCTGCTCTGAGTAAAATAACTTTTTTCTGGATGTAGTAGAATGACTAGCATTTTGTTCCAAATATAAAAAAAAATAAATCAATTTCACAAAATTGAAGGAAACAAAAAATAAAATTAAAAATGTAATTAATTATTAATTTTTTCCCGTAGATAAATGCAAATGACGACAACGGTGTATTGACTGGTAATTGGTCGAAGAACTTTGTGGGTGGAACGAATCCAATGAAATGGTTGGGATCGAGAAAAATTTTGCAGGAATATTTCAAAACAAAAAGGTCCGTAAAATACGGTCAATGCTGGGTGTTTGCCGGCGTTTTAGCAACAATTTGTCGAACTCTCGGCATTCCCTGTCGAGCGGTGACAAATTTCAGCAGTGCACATGACAACGACAATAGTGTAACACTCGATGTTTTTTTCGATGAACACGGAAAAGTAGTGAAACATCTTTCCGAAGATCCCCTCTGGTAATAATTAAATTCATCAATTAGTAACTAAATAATAAATTCATAGTTAAATAAAAAATTAATAGTTAAATACCAAATTAATAATTAAATACTAAAACAACTTTAATACTAACTAAACAAATTTTATTTGGTTTAACTAAAATTTTTCTCTGAGTGTAAGTTAATATTAAATTAATATTTAAATAAATAAATGCAAAAATAGGGAAGAAGAATAGTTTCGCTAAACAAAAATAATAAATTTGTCATTAAAAATTGAAATAGGAATTATCACGTATGGAATGAGGTGTGGATGAAGAGATTAGATTTAGGTACACAATATTCAGGTTGGCAGGCGATTGATGCCACGCCACAGGCATTAAGTCCCAATATTTTTCGTTGTGGTCCAACTTCAATCTATGCAGTGAAAAATGGAGAAATCCTAAAATCCTACGATACTGCTTTTCTCTTTGCCGAAGTTAATGCCGATGTGGTTTTTTGGCGTTACAATGGACCCTCGCAACCTTTAAAACTTGTCGGCAGAAATATTAACTCGTAATTATTACAAATTTTCTAAACCTATATAAATGTTAATAACACATTAATTAATTACACTAAAATATTAAACATTATAAAAATTTATCAATAATAATCAATTCATACATTAATATTATATTAATTAATTTTATTAATAATTAATATTAAGATTGTCAAAAAATAATCAAAAAAAATTATTTTTGCTATTCTAGAGTTGGAAAATTCATTAGCACAAAAGCTGTTGGTAAATGGGAACGAGAAGATATAACCGACAATTATAAACATCCAGAAAGTGAGTTTATGTTTTATCAATAAATGTAAAAATCAGTTTAATAGTAAGTAATTATACAAAATTAGATTAATTAAAAAATTTTAATTAATTATTAATTAAATGGTTGATCAAATTAATGAACTGACTAATTGAATACATAAAGGATAAGTTCAATGAAGAAGAGAAAAATAAATTAATATTACAATAAGATTGAAATTGTCACTGCGTCTGAATTTTGCTTTTCTTTTTCCTTCAGCAACGGCAGAAGAAAGAGACATCATGGTAAAGGCTTTGCGCCAAAGCAAAAGCTTGTATAGTCATTACTACTTGAACGGAATTTTCCACAATGTTAAATTTAATTTAGATCTACATGGTGATATTGTTATTGGACAACCTTTCCGGTAAGTAAAAAAGAACTATCTCCGGGGACATATTAATATTTTTCAAATATTTTCAATTAAATAAATTATATTATTACATATAATAGGAAATGTCTTCGAAACTAAATAAAAAGGAAAAAAGAATTAATTCTGGTGCAGTAATCAAAACTAAAAGGTCCCTGCATTAAGTTTTCCTACTAGGATGAGTCTACAATAGACAAATTATCTTGAGCAATGTTTTTTAACCTTATCATCTTTAATAATAAAATTTTTATTCATTCGGACAATTAAAATGTCCTCCTACATACTTGGATCCAGATTTCCTCCTAAGGTTGAGAAAATAAATCTTATTCGTTTAATATTTGTTCCAAAGTGGAGAAGTTGTTGGACTCTCTGCCTCCTTTTTCTTTCTCTCTTGATCCAAAATGTTAACGTCCTTATACTCAATCATTAACTGAAGAAAAATATATACAAATATAGAATATCATGAATTTCATAAGATATGGAAAATTTTTTTCGACTTAACAGGGAACGGAAGTTAGGGAAAGTAGAATTAGTTAGGGGTAAATAATAAACAAATGAATGATTTTAAAAATAACAAAGATTAAATTAACGACAAACAGTAAAGACTAAAGGAATGATAAACAATAAATTAATTATTGTGAATAATGAAAATATTTCTTTTAATTTCAGAGTTCGAATGAAAGTCGAAAATATCAGCAGTGAAGAGGACTTTCGGGTGAAATTAATTTTACGAGTGGCTGTTGTATCTTATAGAGGAATAGTTACAAAATATGTGAAAAGACTTAAAATGAACGATATACTAATGAAACAAAATCAGAAAAAGAAAATTGATTTGCCCGTTACTTGGAAGGAATATTTTCCATATTTACAACACGACACGAATTTTCAAATTTCATGTTTAGCATCAGTTCACGGAACAAATTATGAATATTACGCTAAAGATAATGTGGCAGTGAAAAAACCTGGTATCATCGTCAAGGTACGTTAATAACCACCAATTCTAACCTAAATTTAAAGAAAAATTATTTTCTTTCCTACTAATTGAATAGTGTTTGGAATTAGAATCTAAAATTATTAACTTATTTTACTCTCTAAATTTAAATAAATGTAAATTCACTTACAATGAGTCAAAAGCAGCCAGGTCGTGATTTTTCACTTATTTTTGATTGAAAATCACTTATTGCCAACACTTATTCTCTTACATAAACGAATTTTGACGAATTCTAAGTGAATTCTTGCACTTATTCGGATTTAGAAAGTAGATACTTACTTTTTATTCCTATTAGTTGGGTTTTTTAATTATAATAAATAAATATAAAATAAAATACAATAAATAAATTTGCTAACTTGTAAATTATTTTTTGCAGATACTAAGCGATCCAAAAGTTGGTTACGAGCTCCAAGCCTCGGCTGAATTTTCCAATCCACTGCCAATTTCATTGAAGAAAGGAAAGTTCATCATTGACGGTCCGGGACTTGCGGAACAATTGAAATTAGTTTTATCAGAACCCGTACGGCCGGGACAACTTGCCAAATGTTTCTTCTCAATGATGCCAAATCATTCAGGAAAAGCCACAATAGTTGTCAAATTTTATTCCAAAGAATTATCGGATATCAATGGTTTCAAGGAATTCATGGTGAAATTTGTAAATTCGTATTTTCGAAGTAATCACACTGGAAAATCTATAGAGAGTGACTGCATCGAGAGTGATTCAATAGAGAGTGACTCCATAGAGAGTGACTGCATAGAGGGTGATTCAATAGAGAGTAACTCTAAAGAGAGTAACTCTAAACAGAGTAACTCTAAACAGAGTAACTCTAAACAGAGTAACTCTAAACAGTGTAACTCTAAACAGAGTAACTCTAAACAGAGTAACTCTAAACAGTGTAACTCTAAACAGAGTAACTCTAAACAGAGTAACTCTAAACAGAGTAACTCTAAACAGAGTAACTCCATAGAGAGTGACTGCATGGAGAGTGATTCAATAGAGAGTGACTTCATAGAGAGTAACTGCATAGAGAGAGACTCCATAGAGAGTGACTGCATGGAGAGTGATTCAATAGAGAGTGACTCCATAGAGAGTAACTGCATGGAGAGTGACTCCATAGAGAGTGATTCCCAGACCCGTTTGCCTTCTATGAAAATCGTAGACATTTAACGATTCCATGGATGGTGAAATTTACTAATTCGAAAACAAAATGTCAATGACGAATTGAAATTAGTAAACACTTTTACTTGATCAAGAGAGAGAATAAAAGTTCTTAAAAATAAATAATGTGCCCTATTATTTCCATAATATCTTCTTCATGATCTTTGCAGGAAAATTGGATTATGATTAGATTAGGATTAGCAGAAACTTCCTTCAAAATAAGATCAAAAATATTGCGACCACATTGCATTAATTTTATCCAGGCTTCACAGTCTGTCTCCTATTTCCCTAAAAGTCCCCTTTTTTTAATTTTGGCCACTGACCGTACCCTTTACATTAGACGTTCCAACGAGGTGGAACTCGATAGCTGATATGTTGTCTTCTCTTTTATCCGCAAAAGATATTTGCAAAACTTTTTAAAAGGATAAGCCGAAACTGAAACTAAAAGAGAGTGAATAGAGGAACATCGAAGACTGTCTGGCGGCATTGCTACCGTGTAAAAAGGTAACTTTAAAAATGCAGAGAGAATATGTCTTTTACCCGGTGATTTCTACGGTATCTGGGTAGAGTGCAGGTTGCTCACAAAAGAGATAAAAAACTTACATCCATGTTTCTTGATCCGAAATATTTGCCATTTCTCAAGGAGGGAGACTGTCGACAAGCAAAACATGTCTAAAGACATTATTACTAACAAATGATGCTTTACTTACATCCATGTTTCTTGATCCGAGATATTTGCTATTTCTCAAGGAGGGAGACTGCCGACAAGCAAAACATGTCTTAAGAAGAGTATGGGACACTATTAACTCCATCAACTCCAAAAAGAGTCCTGCCGCTGGAAATAGTGGGGCTACAGAAAGTACTAGAGTCGCCTTCTTCGGATCCAAGCATTTTGGAAGATATTTTAATTGTAGGAACGAACAAAAATTTTATCACGAAAGTCGATAAAGTTAAGAAAGCGTAGAAACAAAAAATTGTTACAGAGACTGTAGTAGAGACAGAAAAGAGAGTCGAAACAGAAACAAGCTCAGGAAGCAGTACCGAACTGATTAGTTAAAGGAAATGACTTTTCTACTAAGAAATTAGTGAAATTCTGCTATTTATTAAGTAGAACTTTACAAATTAATATTGGGAGAGTAAGATTTCAATACTATTTTCATCATAGCGCACAACTGCGCATTTCTTTTTATCATAGTGCATGATATAATAATAGATATATCATAATAGGTAATAACTCCGCCACTGGTTGTCCACTGCCGAACATCATTGATGTCTTTGATGTGCTGGGCGAAGCGGTCCCACTGCCAAATGTCATTGATTTCTTTGATGTGCTGGGAGAAGTGGATCCACTGCCAGGGTTGGGAACGTAAACTACCTAAGGTAATCTACGTAGTTGTTTACAAGTAGATTACTTGGTAATTTACGTCAAGAGTTTTCTACGTAATTTACATTAATGTATTTTGTCACGTGATATAACCTGAAAAGCAAACTTTTCAAGAGGTTATGTTATGTTTTTTTAGTCTTTTAATGGCCGCCATCTTGAAAATGTAAATTACATGGGTTTTCTACATTGTCTACGTAAATTACTTATTCTACGTAATCTACATCAGAAACCAAAAATGACGCGTCATTTTCCAACCCTGTCCACTGCCGAACATCATTATAATTGAAATAAATTAAAAAGAATTCACAAAGAGCTCTGTGACAAATACGAATTGGAGCTATGTTGCAATTTTCCTGAATTCGTTAAACTGTATTGAACTTTCAAACCTTCTATTCTTACTAATTCAGTGGACAAGTTTTGTAGCCATTAATTTTTTTTAATTCGTCAGCACGAATTCAATGCATGCCTTGGTCATTTCTGTCAAATGCGAATTCGTTTGCACAAATTGAGGCAAATTGAATCGAATTGAATCGAATATACAAAGAGCTTGAATGAATCCCGCTTTCTACCAAAAAACTTAATTCATTTCAATCCGTTTGAATTAGTTTTTTGTTACTGGGTAGTTAAAATTTAATTTCATAAGAAAATAAAACAACATTTAAAAAATGTATTCTTTTGTATCACTAGACTTTTAAAGGAATCGTGTTTCAATTAATATTAGGCATAACTGAATCCTGTAAAATTAGTTTGTTGCACAATGCAACGGCTGAATGAGTAAATGCTGAATTTCAATCATTTTAAAAAATTCTGAAAAAATAGTAAAAATTATTTACCCACGACGGGACAAGGCTTAAAATTTGCATAAAAATTAAATTTTAATCTTGGAATTTTTAAAAATGCAGTAAAAAATTTTTTTCATAAAATTTTTGAAAAGTTTATGAAAAAACAAACAATTTTCATATAAGAAAATTTAAAATTGATAGGGGAGTGTAAGGTATGGTGGCGGACAATTTGTTTTTTGCGTCTCTCTCTCTCAAAAATTAATATTTTTCAAAATTTCAAAAGTAGGCAGTTGCTGACTTCTATTAAGCATCCATCTGTCAGAAGCGGTTGTTAAAACTTAAATGCGGATTTGGTGTATTCAACTAAAACATTATGTAGATGTTAAAATCATTTATTAAAACTACTAGAAATGATGAAAAATAACAAAAAGAGAAAAAACTGATGATTTTACATTATAGAAAAAAAAGTTTCACTTCAGTTATGGTTACAATTTGGACATGTGAAGTAGCTGGTGGCTGTTTTAACGCAACTAGAATAAGATAAGACCGCAAGTGTCACATATTCGATAATTGTTGAGGTGGAGTACAAGAGGCATTAGTAAAAAAAAAATGCAAGGACAATTGAAACTCGTACAAAAAAATGATCCGCCAGTGTACATTACAAAAATTACACCATCATACCTTACAAGCTATTGATAGAAATATCCCAAGGGGCACACGATAACTAAAATGTTGACGTTACATGCCAGATTTGACAAGTCTGCCAACATACCTTACACGCCACGATACCTTACATTACCCTACACATTTGTAGAGGTTATGAGCATTCAAAAACAATTTTTTCTTTAAAACGTAAAATTTTGAAAAACTCGTATCTTGTAAACGGCTGGGTAAAAAAATTTGAAAAAAATCATGAAGCTCTTTTTCAACTAGTACTAAAAGATTAAAATTATATTTAAAATAATTGATATTGTGGGATGAGTTTTATTAATTATGAAAATAATTGAATTAAAAAAAGATTGTGTTATTTATAAATATAATTGAATTATTGAGAAGAAAGTTATAAAAAATTTGTAAATATTTGAATTTTTGGAAAATTTTTATTATTTATGAAAATAATTAAATATTTGCGTACAATTTTATTCAAATTGTTTTTAAATAATTGAATTCTTTCGGGTAATTTAGGGGTCGTACACATAATACGTCACGCGATTTTTGACCATTTTAGACCCCCCTCTCCCCCATGTCACACACTGTCCCACACATTAGCGCCATTTTTTCTATAGGTCGTCACAAATGTCTTGACAAATTTAACTAATTTTAGAAGATTGGGTTTTTTCTTAAATAAATAAAATAAAATAAAATCTAAGTTCATTAAAATAGTCCAAGAGCCAAAAGTAATTGCAAATTTCCTGTTCTTTAAATAAAAAATCAATTCACCGCAAAGTAGATTAAATAAAATTAATTTAAAATTAAAGAATTTAATTAAGTTCGATAATTTTGTTTAAAAAGGGAACTTCAATTAAATGGAAATACCTTAAAATAAAAAATTTCTATTTTGTAAAAACTAAAAACAAATATAAAAAGAAATAAAGTTTCTCAAGCGAGTCCAAGTCGAATTATTAATTTATTATTGAAATTGTAACAAATATTAATTACCATTTTGTAATGCGATTAGTTAATGATGAAAAGAAAGAAATTAATGACGGGACTACATGCTGATGATAAACCATGTATCATCATCTAGGAAATGAACGTTGAAATATGTTCTTCATCGGTTCTGAAAGCTTAGATGAATATCGTTGAGTGGCGAGTAAGCGAGAGAGATTTGAGAAAACTTGAGATAAAGAAGGAGAGACAAAAGAGTGAGTTTTTTTTCTCCTTTTGAGTCATAAATGTGACGTGTGATGGACAGGGCGTGTTGTCTACGGGGGTCTGAAGTAAGGCCCCTTATTATTGGGGCCTGAGTGTATAACCCCCTGCATGGACTTGCTATGAATCAAATCCCATTATATACCTCATCAAAATAACAAACTCGTCTCTTTCTTGACTAAAAACCAACATTCTTTGTTGCCATCGCGAGTAACATGTATTCATCAAAATTAACACGACATATAAAAATTATTGTTCCATCTCTTGAGAATTTTCTTGATTTATTGGAAAAATTTCTCATTTTTTTAAATATATAAATATTTTTGAGATGGAGATGAGATTTTCTTTTGATTCAGGGAAATGTGCATTAATTTCTATATATGGTTTTGTAATGATTTCTTTTGTGATGATAAATGTGGTCATTAGTGTTTTCGGTTGTCTGATTTGAAGGTTGATTTGTATTTTTTTATTTATTATGACAGGTGGATTTAAATACTTTTGAGACCACTATTAGTGCTTCTTAATTCAGTTGATACATATAATTATTTATGAGGAATATAGAATCCTTTCCTTGATAAAATCGATCATTTATTTTATTTGATGGGTAACTTATCGGTATAGGATTATCGAAGACGTGTCATTTTTTGTATTTGTTAGGTAATTTCGAATATATTTCGCAGGCCGTTGTCCACTTTTTTTTATAGATAAATTTGAATCTACAGACTTTGCACTTGATAGCGAAAAATTAAACTTGACGACCAAAAAAACTTGTTTTAGACACTTCACAAAACTGACAAAAATTCCATTATATTTTATATATTTTATTTTCCTGACTTTTTCCTAATTTTCATCAAAAAATTTTACTTCTTTCTCATCCTGCTAATAAATTGAATTCCTGCAACAAATTTTATTATTCATCAAAGAATTTAAATATTTATAAAAATAATTTAATTCTTGCACACGGAGAAACTTTTAATACCACTAATTCTTAAAACTGCACGGAAAGAAAAATCAAGACTTTATAGCATGAAATAGACTGCTACTACTTTTGTATAAACTTTTCTAGCCAATAAAGCAAAGATTTGAGAATTTTTAGTGTAATATTTTTCCGTACTAAATATGCATAGTACATATGCTTCTATAGTAAGAAAAGTGTGGTTTAATAGCAACGACGCCACGCGGAGATTGCATGTAACATCATCCTACTACGATTGCAGAAGTTCTATGCTTTTTCGGTATTAGACTCTTGCAACTGGCGATTAGGCCACGCCTACCAGGCATATATTTATTTGTTGCGCGCATCACAACTTAATATATTTAAGTTTTATATATATTCATTATTAATATTCCTTTCCAGGTTAAAAAATGGAATTTTTCTAGGTCTAAAGTTTTAACTGAAATTCATATTTCAATCAATTATTATTAGAAAATTCTACGACAATTCAATTATTTAAATACAAAAAAAAATTTTTTTTGATGAATTCAATGTTTTTTAAAATTCAACTCTCATTTAAAGAATGTTATCAACAAATTTTTAAATAGGTAATTAAAATTCTTTTGACAAATTTCAATAAAATTTTTAAGAATAATTGCATTTTTTAAGAAATTAGATTAAAAATGTATTAAAAATAATTGAATCTGTGTAAAAAAATTTCATTGAATTGAGAAAAGTTTTTGAAAATAATTGAAATTTTGTCAAGAATTTTATTAAAATTTTTTTAAATAATTGAAATATTGACAATAATTTTATTTAAATTTTTAAAAATAATTGAATTTTAGAGAAAAATTTTAATATTTCTAAAATTAATTGAAAATTTGACTATAACTTTTTTTAAAACTTTTGACCATAATTGAATTTCTGCTAAGAATTTTATTTTATTACTTTTGAAAATAATTGAATTCTTAAGAAGAATTTTTTAATAATATTTCTTTTTAAATACCTAATTACTTTTAATACAAAAATAAATAATTTATTGAATAATTGAATGTTTCTCAAAATTGAATTCTCATAAAGAATTTTATTAGCAAATTTTTAAATAATTGCATTATTTTGACGAATTTTAATAAAATTTTAAAAATAATTACATTTTTCGAGGAATTCGATTAAAATTTGTATCAAAAATAGGTAATTAAAATTCTGCAATGAGTTTTACTATCTATGAAAATAATAATTGAATCAGTGTAAAAAATTGTATTACATATTTATAAAAATAATTGAATCTCTGTAAACATAAATTGAATACTTTGAAAATAATAGTATATTGCGAAGAAATTTTGTTAAAATTTTTAAAATAATTTATTTCTTTTGGAAAATTTTATTAAAATAGTAGATATTGAAAATCATATTGACTGGAGGAGAATTTCCGGAAAAATTGAATTTGTTAAAAAGAATTTCATTAAAATTTTTGAAAATAATTGAATTTTTGAGAAAAATTTTAATATTTAGAAAGATAATTGAAATTTTGACGATAAATTTTTTAAACTTTTGACCATAATTGAATTTGTATGTGAATACTCACTCACACTTACACTTACTCCAAACAGTAAAGGTAGGCGTGGCCTAATCGCCAGTTGCAAGAGTCTAATACCGAAAAAGCATAGAACTTCTGCAATCGTAGTAGGATGATGTTACGTGAAATCTCCGCGTAGCGCCGCTGTATTTTAAGTATAATAAGTATACAATAAAAGGCTATATGACAAACTTTATTAGTACTGAAAAGTTTCATGGTAAATAGGCATTAAGTTGTACTAAAATTACTCAAATTTTACGCCTATGTGGCATATAAAAGTTCTGTGCGTTAAATGTAAACCTTCCTATACTGTAAAAGGCAGATTTTTCTCTCCGTGTGGTGAGACATTTTAGTATGTTAGGTTAGATTCAAGGGAAAAACGACATAGGTTATAGAAATTGCTATTGAGACTATCAAAAACACTCATTCAGTATATATTTTACAGTTCTTCATAAGGAAACTAACGAAAATTAGTATGTTGTTTTAGAAAGAAAATAATAATTTTTGCAAAGTTGGGAAAGCCATGAATTAAAAAGAAACACAACAAATTAATTGTCTATAGATACTCATAGAGACGATAGTGATACTTGGATCTGATGGTAGATGGCATTAGTGAATGTCACTGTAACTGTAGGTAAATATATTTAACACGACGTAAGAACCTAACCTATATTAATAACGCACACACGCACACGCAAGTAAAGACACGACGATTGGTCACGGAAACCGAAAGATCGCACGAATCGTTAGAAGTACACAGCTGAATCGTCCTTATATATTAAACGAGTGGAAAAATATGTGCCTTCGAGAGAGAGCATTTTTTAAAATAACTTACTAATCAAATTATGTAAATAAGTAAAAGTCGTGAAAAAAATTATGTTATATTGAGGAACAGTTCTTGAATTTAATTTGGCATGAGGAGACATTCACGTTTATTAATAAAAGGTTTTTTTCTTTCATACACGTGTGAATTTCAACTTCGAAAACATTAGGGTTAGTTCGCGACGTCAGGTGATGGACTCGGTGATGCTCGGGCGAAATCGGTTAAGTCCGCCCGCAGTCCTTCCAAAATTGGTATGTTACGTTAGAATGTCTCTTATATATTCTATCTATATGTGTAAAAAAGGTTAGAATTACCGTATTATTTCACAAACAAAAAATGGCATCTTATTCTTTTCTAAAGAAAAATAAGACTATTTCTAATGCAGATAGTAATTTTTGTACACCGAAGGTTGCTTAATATATAACGAACTTATCATATTTTCGTATTAATGTTGAAATTATTAGCACAACGCACGAAAAATCCTCACATTCTAACGTACTTTTAGAATAAACATAACCAAATATATTTAATATTATAAGAAAAAGTTTCTCCGTGCAAAGAATGTTCTAAAAAATTTTAAATAATTAATTTGTTTCGACTAATTTTATGCAAATTCTAATTTAAACAATTGAATTCCTAAGAAATTTGTATTCCTTATGAAAAAAATTGAAATAAAAAAGATTTTTACAAGAAATTTAAAAAAAAATTGAATTCTGTTTGGAAATTTTATTAAAATAGTAGATATTGAAAATTATTGATTTGCAAAAAATAATTAAATTTTACAAAGAAATCTATTAAAATTTTTGACAATATAATTAAATTTCTGTGTGAATTCTTCTGATGAATATTGTTATTTATGAAAATAGTTGAATTTCGGTGAAAAATTCCAATATTTTTGTAAATAATTGAATTCTTCCAAAGAATTAAAAAAAAACATTTTTTTAAATAATTGACTTTTTCGAAGAATTTAAATTCAATTTTTATAAATAATTAAAAATTTTGAGCAATTCCTGTAAAATTGTATTAAAAATTATTGAAATCCTGCAATGAATTTTTTTAATTATAAAAATAATTGAATTTCCAAGAAGAAATTTATTACTTTTAAGAATAATTAAATTCTTGTGATGAATATTGTTATTTATGAAAATAATTGAATTTTGCAAAGTATTTTATTAAAATGCCTCAAAATAATTGATAATTCTCGGGAATAATTTTGTTATTTTTCGACTTAATTGAATTCTTTCGTAGAATTATTTATATAAATAATTGAATTCTTGGAAAGAATTTCATTAAAATCTAAAAGAATAATTGAATTATTTCCAAAAAAAATTTAGTTTAAATTGTATTTCAAATAATTGATTTCTTTCGACCAATTTTATTAAAATATTTGAAAATAATTGAATTCCTGGGAAAAATTCTAATATTTTTGTAAATAATTGAATTCTTCCAAAGAATTAAAAAAAACATTTTTTTAAATAATTGATTTTTTCGAAGAATTGAAATTAAATTTTTATGAATAATTAAATTTTTTGAGCAATTCCTGTAAAATTGTATTAAAAATAATTGAAATCCTGAGATAAATTCTTTTATTAATGAAAATAATTGAATAACTGCTAAGAATTTTGTTAAAATTTTCAAAAATAATTTAATTATTGCGAAAAATTTCATTAAACTTTTTTAAAATAATTGAATTTCTGTGGAAAATTTTATTTTTTTAAAATAATTGAAGTATTCCTAAGAATTTTATAAATATTGTTTTAAATAATTAATTTTTTCGAAATATAATAAATATTATGAAAATTTTATTTTTAATAATTGAATTCTTATGTAAAATTTTATATGTGAAAATAATTGAATTTTTTGATTAATTAATTTAAAATAGTATTACAAATAATTGAAATTTTTCGATGAGTTTTATTATTTATGAAATGAATTGAATTCCTGCTTCGAATTTTATAATTAAATTTTTTACAAAATTGATTTTTAAGGAAAAATGTTATTATTAGAGAAAGAAGAATTATATAAAATATAATATTGTGAAGAATTATTGTGAAGAATTGTATAAAAATTTTGTTAAATAATAATTTCAGAAAAAAATTAGTAACATTATCTTAGGTCTTGGACAAATTTCATTAAAAAATAGTAAAATGTAATATTACAAATTTTTATTTCCAGAATTACTTAAACTATTTTCAAAGACAATTTTTTTTTTGAAAATTAGAAAAATTTACTTTAAAAATAGTGACTAAAATTTATGCAAAAATAATCATGTTTAATAGCTAATTGTAATGTTCGAGGGAAATTTGAATAATTTTTATAAGAAAAAAAATAACATTGAGATTAGTGATTAAATTAACTAAATTAATTAAAAAATTCATAATTAAAAACAAGCTTCAAATAAAAAAAGAAATTTGAAATTCGAAAATATGTTTGAGAGTAAAATTTAGAGGAAATTTTTTCCATTACTTACCATCTGCGTTTCAAGAAGGTTTCACCGTCAGCAAACAGATAGAGTTACCAGTTTCTCATTCATCAATTCCTCTATTTTTCCATTTCTTTACTCGCTTTCCCATTTTTCTCCTTCATCTTTTTGAAAGTTCCTAAAATAAAAAATCGATTAGAATTTGAATTCGGATCCATTGTTATATTTAGTAAAAATTTCGTTAAACTCCAGTTGAAAAATAATATTAATTATCTATACTAATAATCTTTGAATTCGAATAATTTATGAATGATTTTAATTGAAAATTTTGAAAATAATTGAATTAAACAAAGAATATTTTTAACTTTTTAAAATAATCATGTTTGTTAGTAATTATAATGAAATATTTGATTTTTTAAGTTTATTAAAATTGTATTGAAAATAATTGAATTTCTCAGGAGAATTTTATTATTCATAAAAAATAATTTAATTTTTGCGATGAATCTTTTACTTCGAATAGATTTCTTGACAAGAATTTGTTTCAAATTTTTTGAAAATAATTAAAATTCTACAATGAATTCAATTATTTATGAAAAAAATTAAATTCTTGACAAGAATTTGTTCCGCATTTTTGAAAATAATTGAAATCCTCCAAAGAATTTTATTATTCATGAAAATAATTGAAATCTTTCAAAGAATTTTATTTTTTATGAAGATAATTGAATTCTTGGGAAGAATTTTATTAAACTTCTTGAAAATAATTGAAATCTTCAAAAGAATTTTATTATTAATGAAAATCATTGCAATCTTCCGTAGAATTTTATTTCTTATGAAGATAATTGAATTTTTAGGAAGAATTTTATTAAAATTGTATTAGAAATAATTGAAATTCTCCGAATAATTTTATTATTAATGAAAATAATTGAAATTGTCCAAAGAAGTTTTTTTTTTTCTTTTCGAAAATGGCCAAATATATACTAACCTCCACTCTGCCACTGTCTGCCACCATGGAGAATTGTGGAGAATGTTAAACAAAGCACTCGCGATCACATCCAGATGAACGATAGGACAACGATATTGCTTCTTGGAAACACCTGCGGGCAAGTTCGTGCCTAAAACAAGATAAGAAGAAAAAATAAAAAAAAAGAACCATCACAGGGGATGAGAAGAGACGAAGCAGGGTTGCTGTCACCTTTTTCACTGATGGCTTTTACACCCTCTAACATGCAGAACAAAAGAATATTCCTAATCGGATTAGATGTTCCGAAATGATGCACAGCATCCCTGTTATAAGCATATTATTATTATTCTGTATTTTCTGACTCGGAAAATTTATCGTTGACAGCTCATGTTAACTTTTCACATTTTTCCCATAAAAGACTTCTCACCAATGTAATTTGAATTTTATGGGTGTTAGAGGTCAAATTAGATGGAAATATAAAGCTCAGAAAAATTCACCATAGAAAGCACTTTTAACTCGTCTTCTATTTTCTATTTTCTATACTTTGCTTTTCGTCATTTACGATCAATTTTATTATTTGTTTCCTAAAATCTTATTTTTTTAGAGGAATTTATATTTCCGAAAAATTATATATATTTTTTAAGAGGAATTTATGTTTGATTCTTAAAATCATTTTAATTGAATTGTTTTAAAGAATTTTATAAAAAGTTTTTCAAATGTTTCTAAGAAGAATTGTATTATATCAGGGTTACCACAAATATTTAATTTTATTTTTCCCTGACTTTTCCCTGATTTCCAGACTTTTTCCTGACAGATTTTCACTTTTTCCCTGACCATAAAGAATATTCTGATTCACTCTCAAAATTATTAGATACTCAAAAAAACATTCTATTACATTTACTTACGAATTTCTTAAATTGTAAAATTATTCGCAAACATCAAAAACTAATTTTTTAAATAGGTATTTCATTATTATTTTTCCTTCAAAACAATTCAAATTCAAACATTTTTAAAATTAAACAACTTGTAAGAATATTATTATAAAACATGACTTTTTATAAAACATGAACTTCGACTCGGAGTGATTGATATCTTCATGTTTTATAAAAATATTAATTTCATAAAATTTTTCAAAAAAAGTTAAATTATTTACAAAAATTATAATAAAATTCTTAGCAAGAATTCAATTATTTTCATAAATTATAAAATCACTGTAAAAAAAAAGAGCGTCTTGGTTTAAGACGTTTACGTGGTCACATTTTAGACGTTTATAAGCGTCTTATTTGCCTTCTAAAATGTATGTATTTAGAGGTTATGTTTTTCATTTAAGACGCTCAAATAAGACGCTTATTTACATAAGACGTTTATAAACGTCTAAACGTCTTATTTTTAGACGCCATTTTTTCAGTGATTTTTCTGAGGATTTCAATTATTTATAATAGAATTTAAAGTAAATTCCTAGAAAAATGGAATTATTCTCTTAATTTTTTTGTAAGAATTTAATTACATTTCACGAATATAATGAAATTCTTCGTTGAAACTCAAATATTTTCACAATCTACTTTTTTAATAAAAGTTCTCAAAAGAATTCAATTATTTAAAAAAATGTAATAAAATTCGATGCAGGAATTCAATTATTTTCATAAATAATAAGATTCATTACATTATTTCAATTATTTAAAAAAAAATTTGAAAAAATTATTGCAAGAATTCAATTACTTTCATAAATGAATAAAATTCTTCACAGGATTTCAATTATTTTTAATACAATTTTAAGTAAATTCTTCGAAAAATGTCACTATTTTCGAAAATTTTGTTAAAATTCTTCGAAAGAATTCAATTAAGTATTTTATCAATTATGTATTTTTAAAAATTCATGCTATAATGCTTTTAATATTCAATTATTATCTAAAATTTTAACTAATATTCATTTTTAAATCAATTTTTATTGGAAAATTCTACAAGAATTCAATTATTTAAATACAAAAATAAATAATTTATTGAATAAATGAATGTTTTTCGAAACTAAATTATCATAAAGAATTTTATCAACAAATTTGAATTTTTTCGAGAAATTTTAATAAAATTTTCAAGAATAATTAAATTTTTCGAGGAATTCAATTAAAATTGTATTAAAAATAATTGAAATTCTATGATGAATTTTATTATTCATGAAAATAATTGAATTTTTGTAAAAAATGTTATTATTCATGAAAATAATTGAATTATTGCGAAGTTTGCTTAGAATTTTATCAAAAAATTTTTTTTTAAATTATTGAATTCTTTTGAAAAACTTTATTAAAACTGTAGAAATTGAATATCATTGAATTGAGAAAAATTTTTTGAAAATAATTGAAATGTTGCAAAGAATTTTATTAAAATTTTTGAAAATAATTAAAATTTGGAGAAGAATTTTATTATTTTTAAAGATAATTGAATTTTGACGAGAATTTTTTTAAATTTCTGAACATAATTGAATTTTTGCAAAGAATTTTATTACTTTTGAAAATAATTGAATTTCTGCAATCGTTTGTAACTTTTCCAAAATTCAATTTTTTCCAGTTACTTAAATAAAAATCTCTGACTTTTCCCTGACTTCCCTGACTAATTTTACTTTCCCTGACTTTTCCCTGAATACCCTGATTTCCCTGACCTGTGGCAACCCATTATGTACAATTTTTAAAAATAATTTTTTATTTTAAATATTAGCGGATTTATAGTAGTGTAAATTTTCGAAAGAAAAAAAATTGCTTTCAGCGTCACAATATCATTATTGAAAAAAAAAAAATTCTGAAGTCAAGCAAAAAAAAACTTTACCAAAACGTAAAGCGATCGTTATTAAAAAAAACCTCTTTAAATTAATTTAAACTCTTTAAACTCTTTAAATTAATTAAATAATAAATCTAACTTGTACAATAATGCCACCAAGTATTTTTAATTTTTTATTATTATTTTTGAAGTTGGCTAGTTGGCTATTAGCGAAAAAGACTTTGTCCTCTTACATACCAGTTAAAAAAAAAGAAAAAAAAATTCAAAACCCCCTGTCAATCAAAATGACATTATTTGTATATCAACGCTAATATGCAAAATAACTAAAGCCATGCGACTATAAAACATCAGCTTTAGTCACTTTGAAATCCACAACAGTAACACATGGTACAAAATGATCCCTCTCTCTTTCTCTATAAAATTTTATGCAAATTAAAGATGCGTGGCACTATTTACTCAAGGATTTCTCAATACCGCACATTTTATTTAAAAAAAAAGATTTAATCCGATTTGAAAGTTATATATACAGGGGTTTGGGATAATGTGCGAGGGTGTTTTTCCACCCTCTCCATAAATGACAAACAAATATATATTCCTTTTCTTTTTGGGAGAAAATAATTTGATACTTGAAGGATGCGCTCTTTCGGGAATGAAACGCGGAAAGGAGGATAAATGACTGTTGTGCTCATTGAGAATGCACCCTTTTTATATGTGTAGGACTGACAAAGTGACTGACGTACGGCTCAGGTAATGTACACATGCACATAAAGATTATTTGCGTATATATGTATCGGGACTATTCACATTATGATTTTATGAAATTTACCAAACGCGGACAATATCACCCCAATGTAGTGTTTGCTGTTCGCGACCAAGAGCCCTCCCTCTATGTAAACCCACCCCTTTTTCCCGCCCTAATTGCAACAACCCTGCCAGCCAGTCACTTTACCATAATCTCTCCAAAGTAATGGGGTTCCCGACACACGAAGCGACCTATACGAAAAAGACAATTTCGCCTCATCGCTATATGTGTGTCATGTCGCCATTTCGCAAATATTGCCAGACAAAAATATGACTTCTTAGGTATTCAAAATTTAATTTATAAATTTTTGGTTTTTTTATTTAAAACAAAAAAATGTTTAAAAGTATGTTTATTTGGTTCCTTTTACGCAAATAATAATCAAGAATCTTTATCAATAGGTTACCAAGTGGATGTTTTCTTTTTTGATTATAATAAAGTTCTTCACAAAAATTTAATTATGTTAAAAAATTAAGGGGAGGCACCACCCCCAACATTGACCCCTTTAAATTATAATTATCAAAGAAGGTTATATTTTTTTCTTGCACCATTTTTAACCCAAAAATATATAGGATGGTCAAAAATTTTAAAATTAAATTTTTGAAGAGGTTAGAATTTTTATTTTTTAACTCGTTGCATATTTTTGCAAAAATCATGTCGAATAACTCATTTACTAGGTTAAAATTTTAACTTAGAAAATAAAACTAATTTTAACAGTTGTTAAAATTTTAACCTAGTAAATGAGTTATTCGACATGATTTTTGGATTCAGTGAATAAATTTTTGTAAACACTTATATTTTCAAAAATATTATTCGTATAGAACTTTAAAAAAATGTCAAAAGTATTAAAATTTGAACATTCAAAATTGATCTTCTCTTACAATTTTTAATATTTTTCAACGAAAATTTTTTTCTAAGCTTATTTTATAATTTTAAACAACCTCTTGCATGGATTTGCAAAAATATGCAACGAGTTAAAAACCGCTGCCAAGTTTTATATTTTTTTTTTAATAATTTTGGTGCGCTCATTTCATGAACACTTTGCTTCCTCATAGAGATAAAAATAAAAGAAATATATGAATAACTTTTTATAAATATGGTAAAAGTGATTGAATTTTGGGTCAATCAATTTATTTTTAAATACCCTACAAGATAGTTACAATAATTTAATAGTTAAACAAAAATTTTCAAACAAAAAAGTTGAGAAAATGTCATTTTTCACAATTTTTGGTTTTTAAAATACCAATAATTTCGAAATTTATTATCGAATCAGGTTCAAAAATAGGTCAATCGAAGCGTTTTTTAATGCTCTACAAGTTGGTAACGATAATTTTAAGATTACTTTTACATTTTTCAACAAAATTTTCAAAAAAGTCTTATTTTTCAAAATTTTTGATTTTTAAAAGTTTAATAACTCCGGTTAATATGGACGAAAAAAGTTTAGGCTCAAAAGATGCGTCTAAAAAAACTCTACAAAATTATGGAAAAATATTTATAGGTGTCCTAACATTTTTTAAAGTTATGGGCAAAAAACTTTTTTTTGCAAAATTAAAATTCCAAAAAAAATGTATTTAAACTTTATTAATTTATCAGAAAGTACTCTCATTTTATGTCCGCAGGTGAGATCTACAATTTAAAAAAAAATTCAACCCAAAAGCTCTTGATGATTTTGAGATATTTATGAAAATGTGATGTTTACACACACACACATAC